CGTTCTGCATAAATTAAACAACCGTTTGTCGCAATGGGCTTTTCCTATTACCTGCAGTGGAATTTCCTGCAATTTTCCTAGGATTACTACCGTCTTTTGCGGAACTGGACCCACGTGCTTTATACTCGGGTTTTTGCAAAAACGTCATTTGAACCGAATAAAAAGCACTGTTTGGGAAAACGACGGAAATTAAAGCACCCCCCGAAAATAAAGCACTGTTTTTAAATTACCCGTTACAAACCGATGGAAATATAAACAAGAATGAAAGTTAATAAAAGAGACACCAGAAGTGCATCAACCTTTCTATAATGAAACGCTTGTTTTCGCTTTTTCACTGATTTATTTTTGTTTTGAAGGTTATATGTTGAGTGTTTGCAAAACGACGGAAATTAAAGCACTTCACGAAAATAAAGCACATGTGCTTTATATTTTTAATATAAAGCACGTGGGTCCAGTTCCGCAAAAGACGGTAGGATTCCTAAGATTCCTAGAAATACCATGCATAGGAATCCTAAGCATCCTAGGAATCCTAGGAAAATTGCAGGAAATAGGAAATGTAAATAAGAAATTATTCAATGTATCTAAAGTATGAATTAAAAGTCTAGGAAATGATGATAACAACCAATGGATCATCCAGGCCGATGGATCCATAGATTCGATTGTATTACGTAATCATTTTATCATGCAAGCGTATGTGAAACGAAAAAGTTAGTTTTGAACATAAAATAAGTGTCAAATATATTAAATAGGTATGGTATTGTGTGAGAAATGGAATTGTGGGAAGTCAAATATGTGCCTCAGTGTGTAAATTAAATGATTAAAATATTTACTTGCATTATTTTCCATCAAATTAAACACATGGTTATTTTAATTTTTATAGGCTTTATTGCGACTTTCAAAAATTTGTGTTTTAATCTTGGTTTGTCTTTAAAGTTTTTCTTTATAAGAAATAGAATTAAAAATTCGTAGAAATGTATAATAGAAAAGAAAGAAATTTAACGGCATTTTAAAATTCAAAAATAAAAGCTATTGAGTTTTAGCTTTCAATTGCTTTGATATCATAGAAAAGCTCATTTTTTCTTAATCTCATACTATACATGCTTACACACATTTAATAAATAAATTAAAATAACTAATACGAAAGAAAATGTAAAAAAGAACAACACATAGCAAACTCTTATTTTATCTATCATCAACTTCATAATGTTTGAGTGAGTGACATTTAGTAAATATTTGAAAACATTTAAGCTTCTTGTGAAGTTCATTTGTAATTTTAAAGAGTGAGGAAGATGACGCCCGAAGAACTAAATGAATGTTACAGTTTTGTGAAACAATTAGTTCAAAATTGTGGTGAAATATTCAAAGAAGGCTTCAAAAACACCGGAATCGTTTCAAATAAAGGAGATGCTTATGATCTTGTGACCTTTTGGGACGGCGAAATTGAAAAGATCTTAATAGATGGAATCAAAACCAAATATCCAAATCATAAGTAGAAATTGTCATAGTTCTATTAGATTTCACTTGATGTTTACATTATGGTGTTTATAGGTTTATAGCTGAAGAAGATAGTGCAGCAAGTGGAGAAAAAGTGTTGTCGTCTGACCCAACATGGATCATTGATCCGATTGACGGAACAATAAATTACGTTAACAAACTCAATTTGGTTTGTATCTCTGTTGCATTATCTGTCGAAGAAGACGTAAAGCTGGCTATTTTGTTCAGCCCAACACTTAATGAACTATACACGGCACGAAAAGGGCAGGGTGCTTATTTGAATGGGGAAAGAATTGAAGCGAGCAAGAAAAGAGATTTGAGAAAATGTTTATTAGCTCATGAAATATCTTTAGGAACACATCCATTATTCTTGCCAAAATATTTAGCAAGAGCAGAAGTTCTTCTCCCCACTTGTCTCGGATTACGTTCTTTAGGATCTGCAGCGTTAACTTTAGGTAGTAACTCAGACAGTTATGAAAGCATTAATTTTTTATTTTAATGACTTATTCTGAAATATCTTTTAAAAGGATTCGTAGCAAAAGGAGCTATTGATGCTTATAATATTGAAGATTTAAAACCATGGGATATAGCTGCTGGAGCTCTTATTGTACAAGAAGCTGGCGGAGTTGTTATTGATATAAATGGTGGAAATTTCAATGTAATGAAGCCAAATATTATTGCTGCTGGAACTCAAGAAGTTGCTGATGATATTAAAGAAATTTTGAACTCGTTAGACGCTTCACTAAAACTACAAGGAAAGTATCCAAAAACTCGTTGATCATTAAAATATAAAATATAAATATGTTATATTTATTTTTAAACCAAAATGGATATAAATAAAGTTTTTTTATTTGAAAAATAACTACGCTAGCAATCAGCATCCTAAAACTTTAAATCTATTTATTGTTCATGTGCACAGCCATGTAACCTATTCAATATTTTGATTTTTCTTTTATCTTTCATCTTCATTACTTTTTTATTCTATCAAAAGTTCATTTTCCATTGAATCCTTTTTCCTTTTATTCGTGAATATGAAAATTGAATTTCGGAAATGTTAAATCTTTTTAAAAAACCAATATAATTTGAGTTTTATAGTTGTAAATACCAATGATGGAATTTAAACAGCAGCATTAAAGAAACTTGTTTTATAAGCCATTTTGACAGTGAATAAAACTCGCTTTAGCATTTGAGTGAAGCAAGTAAATGTAACTCCGAACCTATGAAAAATCTGGGGAATCAATTTCACATATCCTTGGGAAACAGATAAAAATTTTATTTTCTAAAACGTTTCATTGATTAATGTTTAGCCGAGAATAAGCATGAGTAGCAGCTTCAACACGTTTTTTCTTAATACATATATTCACTATCAACATAATTAACAGAAATAAAACATAAAAACCTAATTGATAAAACCGACTAATGATAAACATTGGTGAATATATTAACAAATTGTTATCAAAAATTGCCTGAGCGTAACCAATTTTCATTGTTCCCATTCTGTATGAACACGTTGTGACTTGAAGCTCGATTATTTTCTTTTGTCTGTTCAAGAGATCAAGATCAAATATTTTCGGAGTTAATATAGGCGTGGGCCATTTATGACTGAATTTCAAAGCATCACCGACAATTTCCCTAGATCTGTGATCGTGGGCGCTGAAAATAATTGTAGGTTGAAATTTCTGGAGTGTTTTATATGAATTTCCGATGTTATAAAGGATAGGAAAATGACTGATAGTAATTCTAGTTGAGTTGAAATCTATCGAATCTTTAATCATCTTGTCTCTAATGAGCAAGCTTGGTGTAATTATTTGAATTTTCTGTTCAAGATTCCAAATTTCTTCTTGACCAAAAGCATTTTTAAAACGTATCACTTTGTCTGTTTTTACTGGTTCTGATCCTTCGCCTCCTATGTCATTGTCGCCTGGTATGTAAATAGTTTTCACATCATGTGGTGTTTGAAAAATATTTTGAAATCGTTTGTAGTAGTTTTGAAATTTCTCATCATCTGCAATGGATCCTTCATCCATTAAATCGCCAAGGAATAGAATAACTTTTGGTTTAACATGCACGACAGCTTGATGAAAGGTTTGCTTCAAATGTCTATCGTTATCCCAACGAGAAATCCAAAATTCATGATCTTCTCCTAATATTTGTGGGTCTGATACAAGGAGAATTCTCGTGCATTCATCTGAAATGTTCTTTGAATAATTTCTATTCAATAAATATGATTTTTTTTTTAATTTTTACCACTTTCACAAACAAACCTCTCCCATCGCAACTTCTGCAGATGGTAAATCAAAATTTCATTGAATAACACTGTCGCAACTACTGCCACTAAATTTAATTTGAGTAGACTGAATCTGAATAATGAAATGTAGAGAAACACAATCATGAAGCGTTTTCATTTATAATTTTTAAACAAACCGATAAGAGAACAACTTTATACGCTTCATGGTGTCAGGAATAGAAATCAGCTCTAAAATAAATCATTCGACACAAATCCAAAAAATTCAAGTTCTAAATGTTACTATTTAATCTTATCATACCGAAAGTTTTTATTATTTTCACGGTTCTTAGTGATAACGTTATCTCTTTTACTTTTATTTATATACAAACATTCTTTTTCACTGATAATTGAAAATTATGCAACCAATAAATTAGTCATCACTTATTAAGGTCAATTACACAGAACAATATTTTTGACACTGTTACATTGAAAATATTTTATTGAAATGAAGTAAGAAAACGTGAATAATTTTTTTAGGAAAATTCGCGAACTTATTCAGCTACGCAAGGCATGACAAATGAAGGTGGTGAGAGAAATAAAAATTCACTTATTTTTCTGAAAAATAAACAAAGAGAATGCAATATGTAGCAATACGCTCAAGTTTCGAAGATGAATGACAAACATCTGTTCGTGACATTGAAAGATAACAACACAAATGGAAGTTTAAATGACCGCTATTGATACTGAAACAACTGAATTCATTGTCATTTTAAATATGAAAAAATCCGGGATTATGCAAGAAATGAAGTGAATAAATTGTAATTTCTATTAAACGATACGATTTTTTAAACCATTAAGTTCAAGTTTAACACGACTTATTTCAATTTCAAGTTATTAAATAGTTGAAGAGATTTCAGAAAAAGAAATCTAAGATATTTTGCTAAATAGAGTTTTTATTCAAATATTTTAATTATTTCAATTACACTTTAATATACATTCGTAATCATTTATATGTTATATATTATGTATGTATATATGTATATATACTTTATTTCATACTCGTATAAGATTGAATTGTCAACAACCATTCATATATTCTTTACTGATAATCATTAAGTTCTTTATTTGTGGATTCAAATGATTCAAATCAAATCCAAATATCACGAAAGTTGTAGTAGTGGGAAGAATCGAAATCTGATGACGATTACGTTCACCCTCCGTTTAAATTTTAAACTACTTGAGGAAATTGAGACAAGGCAATAACAGGGACTAAAGCTCATCAATTATTTGGTTCCATTGACACTAAGAAGGATATGAGGCAGAAAATATTTGTTGAGATTTATAAAACAATAATTGCTTTTATAAGTTTATAAAAGTTATTACAATAATTTATTTATTGCGGAAGTCCGGACATAAGATATGTTGTCATTGTTCCCTTTCCTTTTACCTGCACTTGTCCGCGACATTTAAATGAATAAGTAGGATTATTTTTAACAATGTCATAAACTTCTTCTGTTACTTGAACATGATCAAGCACACCCGTAGAATCCATACGACTGGCTACATTAACTGTATTACCCCATATATCATATTGTGGCTTTCTTGAGCCAATAACACCAGCAACTACGCCACCAATATTTATTCCAACTCTCAATCGAAAATTATTAAATGAATGTTCGTTGACGCTTGTAACTTTTTGAAAGAGTTCAACAGCATAGTCAATCATAGCGTTGACATGTGTGAATTCTAATTTATCGCAAGTATAACGAGTCAATCCTGAAGCTGCCATGTAAGTGCTGCCAGTAGTTTTGATCTTTTCAATTGAACTAGATATAAACAAAAGAGAAAATTTCTCTGAAATTTTACATAAATTTGAAATAAATTATATTTAACCTGAATCTCTCTTGACTCAAGAGCTCATCAAAATCAACAATAATCTCATTAAGAAGTCGTAGACACTCAACACCTTCATTATTTCCTTCAAGTTCAACATAAAATTCTGAAAAATTGGCTATCGTTGAGAACATCACACAAACATATTCGCATTGTTCATGATAAATCTCGTCCATGTTTTTATCTCGTCGAAGAAAATGGTCGGCAACATGAACTGGAAGGATATTAGCAAGAAGTTTACGATTGTACGCCTGAAGGTTTTCCATGTCTTCCTTCTCCTCTGCAAGATGTCAAAGAAGTCAAAGCAATGAATGAAAGATGATATTCTGATTAAATTAAATAATTGAAAGACATTTTCTTTTGTATACCTGTTGCTTGCAACTTCCATATGAAATCTAATCTTCTTGTTATTTCTGTCTGTTGGCTATGAATGATTTGGCCAATAAGAAAGAAAACTACAAAGATGAGGTCGATAAAAAATCTTTCAGTGTTGAGAAACCACATTTGGCACGTTTTATAGCTCAACATTAATAATGTTCCGACACATCCAATAAACATTAAGAAAATTGTAAGTAATAAAATAATTTTAAAAAGAATTTTAATAAACTGATGGACAGCACATGTGATTAAGGCAAGAAGACTGAGAATTAGTAGAATCTGAAAAAAAATTGAAAAATTAGATTTACAAAATAAAATCTTTATGAGGGTAGGTCAAGAAGTGAAAATGACATTTAAAACGTGACTTTTTGGAAATTTCCATGTGGCTAGCCGCTTTTTCAGTGGACTTTAAAAATAATATTATAATCAGATGGCTTTTTGTCCTACCCTCATCTTCATTTTACTCACATCAACAATTTGGGTATCATCACAATGACTTGAAACGATTGAAGAGTAAGTCTTTGAAGATTTCAAAAAATCTAGAATCTGTAAAAGATTAAAATGAAGTTATAAGAAAATCTTTTCGTATGTTAATCTTAAATCCATTTCATCTTACAATTCTATGAAAAGCTAAAGATATCACAGTCACAACAATACATAAAGAAAGTTTTTGAGCAAGTATTCGCTGGTTGCGAAGATTTACAATAAGTTGATTGAAAACGTTGAATTTTATTTGATCATAGTGCAAAAGCACAGGGACGGAAAAGGATACGATTATAAAGGTAAAAAACGTGTAGATCCAATAATTGTAGGATTCACTGCAAATAACAAAAGTTCTTTAATTAAACTAAATAAAAGTCAATTGGAAACTTACATTGGATAAGACAACAATTGTATGAGCAATATTCCTATTGATATTATAATTGTGCAGTAAAAATATGTTCTTAGCATTGGATCTGGCTCTTGACAATATTTTTTCTCAATCTTTTTATCTTTAAAAGTAAGAAAAAACTTCCTACAATGAACTGATCTAAGACGGTCAATGCTACGAGCATCAATCGCTTTCACCAAATATTCATTGACTTCTTCTTCGGCTGATTTTATATCTTGTTTATCATTGTTACCATGTTTATTGTTCCAATGACCCATCATACGGAGCTCTTTGGATATACTATTACTATTCGCCTGAGCATGTTGCCTTGTAATCTTTTTTGAGGTTTTATATCGAAGAGATTCCTTGGGGACAATCAGATAAGTTTGTATTTGATGATCTTTAAGATATGAATTTCTTTCACTGCCATGACCATCTTCTATATCGTAATGATTATTGAGACATTGTAAAGTTTCTTTAGTTATGTGAACACGACCAGGAATGCCACCTGATTCCATATGATTAGCAAGAGTAACATCGTTTGACTGAAAGACATTCAGAATGTCATTTGCCAATAATTCTATTCTATGTATTAACTTCAACTTACCCAAACATCAAATTGCCATTTCTTTAATCCAAGTACACCACAATGCACACGACCTGTGTGAATTCCAACACGCATATTAACATTAACTGCCATTACTTCACGAACCAAAGCAATCGCATCAATCATGTCTAATCCCATTTCAACAGCACAAAGAGCGTGATCGGGACGAGCTTCAGGAAGACCAGAAACACAATAATAACAGTCACCAAGTAGTTTGATTCGTAAGCAATGATGTTCAGCAGCCAATCTATCGAATCTGGCGAAAAGCTCGTTTAAAAGTCGAACTAATTCTTCAGCTGTGCATTGATCAGAAAGGGAAGTGAAACCACAGATGTCAGCAAAAAGGATGCTGACGTTTTCATGACGTTGAATATAAATCTTGTGAAATTGAGCTTCTTTTGGTTGGCCTGCGATATCATTCTTCATTTCCATTGCAACATGTCTTGGTAGAACAGATAACAGCAGCTGTTCTTGTTGTTGATTTTCTCTTTGAATCTTTAAACGAGCTTCAACACACTGGCGTGTTTCCAAGAATGCCTTACGTTGAGCCTTCTCTTTTGGTGAGTGCAGAAGAATTCCAGTTATGTTTATACATAGAAGTGACACCATCTCCGAATATATCTATAGATGAAATATCATTATCACTTCTGTAAAATCAATGAAGCAATCTTATGTATACCATGTTCATAGTGTTCATTTTGTGAAGATGCACCAATAAAGTGATATGTGAGATAGATATGAGAATTCCTCCCACAATCGCCTCTTGAAGACGAATTGGAAGCATAGTGTAAGTAATATAAATACAAATCATTGTGCAACCCCCAGCTGAAGTATAATCTCTGCAAGAAAGAAAGTAGAATATTTGTGTAACTGTTGCATAAAGTGCATAAAGAAAATGTTGAAATAAGCAAATCTAAGAAGCAGATGCTGCAGAAAAATTATTCATATGTTTATCCATTTACTTACTTTCCCATATTTGTAATTGAAAAACTGATGTCAATGATTACAAGCGATATGATAATTGCATAAGATACGTGAAATAAATAGATCTCATTTATTCGTTGCTTGTACAAGCATAACAAGAGTATGGTGTAGAGTATTGAGCAAAGGCCAAGTAAAGAAAATTGAATGAAGTTTGTACCGAGAAGTTCATAAGTGTTCATAGGATCAATACATGTTTCAACATCAATAGGAACATTTCTTGAGACGTTGTTTAAGATATTAGTTGAATTAATTTCCAAATCGAAGACAATTTCACTGACATTTTCACTTGTTTTTGAAATTTCATCAACATACTCAATAGTTCTCGTGACATTTTTGCAAGTAAGTTCATCATTCCAACGATGCAATAAGAAATTAATGTGAATTATAGCTAAGACAAATATGAGCGCAAACAACAACCATACAATGTGAGCTGCGTTGTTTTGATTCATTCTTAAAAGATATCTTTGGTAGAGCATTTCAATTTGGATGTTCTTAAATTTCGTCGAAGCTAACTTCTTTCTTAACACTTTTTTAACGTAGCAGTAGCTAAATTTTTGATTACGATCATTATCATCGCTTCCAGTTTCATTTTCTTCATCCATTGTATAATCGATGTTGTAATTGTTGTTATTGTCACCATTCTGATTATTATCGATGATTGAATTTCGTGCTGAATAACCTGTTAATTCACTGTTAGTGTTATCCAACATACTTGTACAGCTTTTGCTGGTAAATGATGTTCGTTGATTTCCAGTTGATGGTCGAATATCGATGTTGAATGTCGTTATCCCAGCCTTCAATCCAAAAGAAAATTAATTAAGAACAATTCTAGTTTTATATTCTTTAAATAATCAAGGTTTGAGATAGGATAACGTAATTTTGCTTATTAGAGTTTTTTTAATGTCTACATACCGCTAAAAGGGAGCTGCTTACAGTTTCTCTTCCTCCTAATGCGTCTTTATAATGTTCGATTACTTCCCATTTTTTCTTTACGTCTCCTGTTCCACTTTGTGATTTTGTGTCTCCTGTTGCATTAATTTGGGAAGTGTTCATTGATAATGAACAGTTTCCTGTTGCAAGCGATTGCTGTGATAATGTTGTCGTTTGATATTGTTTTAAAGATGACCAGCGTCTTGTTAGATTTGTTTTGTTCTTCTTTTCTCGACCAGTTGAACTTGTTTCAGATGGATCCTTTTGCATAACGCCTTGATGTTGTTTCTGATGAAATGAAAATCGTTTGTTCATTCGACGTTTTGGTGGAGTTGACTGTGTATCAGATGAAAATGAACGTAGTAAAGAGAGCGATGACATGTTTATGGTTCTATATAATTTCGTGACAAATATTGAATTTTTATATGAAGTCTCTTTGTTCGATATTAAATAATGCTTCAGTTCAACTTTTTCATAAAACTGTAAATAAAAAATCATGAAATTTTATTACAATTTCAGTTCATCAGAGATCTTAATGAAACAAAACAAAAAATATTAAAAGAACAACATAAAAGATAATTAATGTATCGTGTTTCGAACACATTTAATGTCGATTCATAAACATGAAAATGGGGTTGAATAAGACCTAAAGCTTTGATTTATTTCCAAAATATTTCATCATGTTTATCATAATGTAAGATGAGGTATAAATAATAGAACGTAAAATTGAGATTTGAGATGATAAGGTTTGGTCATAAAATATTTGAGCCTTGAGACCTTTTTTTTATATAGAGTAACGAATGAGAAATTTTGGAAGGTATTTGATTTGATTTCAGTGTATCTTTAGTCCCTTTAGGATTAAAGAAATATCTGAAGAAGAATTCGTTATTCTTTAATGAAAATTCCTGATAAATATCAAAACAATATCCCAAACATTATGTCGCTTGGGAAATTCAACTAAACTCTACAAATTCTAAGCTAAATATTTAATTCAAGGCTATTGACGCTCCAGCATAATCTACCCTTCTTAACCGAAATAGAACCAAATTGTAATAGAATCAGCGCAACACGCGAAAAAGTGGCCAAAAATTAAAGTAGATAATGAAGGAAAAATAAAACACGGTGGAGGGAAATGTTGAAGGTTTCTACTAGGTAAAGTAAATATAAGGGGGGGGGAAATGAAAACAAAAGAAAGTTTAACATGAATCTTACCTTTTCATGGATCTATCAAAATGTTTTTCTTTCGAATGTATTTTCTTAATTACTTTTGGTACTTTGTTTCAAGCAGCCTAAGGTTGCATTTACAATGCCATAAATTCTATTTACATTGCCCTGTCTCATGTTATATTCAAATTGTTTGCTTAATTATTTTTAATTAAAATATTCCTCTTAAATTCGCTATTATTACACTGCTTAAATTTCCGACATTAATTGACTTCACTTGTGAAAAATAGACAAACATTGATTTAATACTTTTTTATTTACTATTTCCAATTCGATTATAATTTTCCTTCTTCTCTTTTCTTTTCATGTAAAAATATTTCTTCACTTTAAAGCTGTAGCAAATATTCAAAAACTTTTCTTTCTTATAACTTTTCTCATTTCAATCTAATACTGCACGTTTTAAATTCACTTATCTTCAAATAAGCATTTCAAAAGATTAGAAATATATTCTCAATCACTAATCCGTTTTGCTAATGGAGATTTTAATTCCTCTTAAGCTTCTAATAAAGCTCTCAAGGTGAGTGCTTGAGCAAAGCACACCTCACCTTTCATCTTGGCTTAAACTTAGTGAATAGAAAAAGCAGAAAGTTGATAAGGAAAAGCTAACTGGAAAGGTACACTGGAATAAAAGAATACTGGAATATTGTTTATAAATTTATATGATTGTGTTGGTGATGCTTTTATAAAAGCGAGAATTTTCTCAGTAAATAAAAATCGATTTACAATGGAAAGCATTCCAGGCTAATTACGTCATCAAAAAGCTCAAACGATGTGACTAGAGCTTTTCACGCATACATTTGTAACCAACAGGTTACTTTTATGGAAAGGGTAAAATATCACCCTTTTTTATGAGAATATCTGGAAAATCTACCATCTGATTTTCACACAGATAAGTGTATCGATTTTTCAGTTGTTGCTACTATGCGGAACCAAATTTGATAAGAACATAGTATTCAATATTGTGAATAGGATATGAATTCATTGTAGAAAGGACCGTGAAGTTCTTTTAACTCTTGTTAATATTCTATAGCTTATACTTACCCAGAAGCTGAAAGTATTGAAGCAATTGCCGCATAAAAGAAATATTTCAAGACAATGCTTCTTCTGTACCTTTGGAATTTTACCATACAACAATAAATAATTTTAATATTTAATGGAAAGCTTCCAAGAACTTTCACTTTGAAAAATCCTTTACACGAAGATATCCTGAAAATTGCATCAAAAGAATTAAAAGATTTCTTTTTTTTTCTTTATTCACTTTTTTGTCTCATTTTTGTTTTGAATGTATATTTTGTAACAATTTTTATTTTTTGCTGTTTTCAAATATGATTTCCACATGATTTTCTTTTTTCACCAAACATGATTTTCAGATGGGTGGGATCTGAATGGTATGTAATTTGCATGGGATCGTATCTTAGATATTTTAACCTTTTTTTTGTAATTTTCGTACCAGCAGTTAATTTTGTACGATTTAAAAATTGTAAATCATCAAATAATTTAATATCTGCTGCTCTGTTTGTCTTTGATAAATACAATTTATAAATTTCATCCGATTTTTGTCAACTAAAACTTTGATGAAAGTTTTCTGCTTTGAACTTCTAAAGTTCATTTATGTATTTAGAAAATAGAATTTTATTCTTGAATATTTTTATAACTTTTCTTACAGACTTTCTATCATTTTTTAAATAACAACAAAAAAATAAAATTTCAATATTTTTTACACAGATTATAAACGAAAGATTATCTTTCGTTTATTAACTTCTTTTTATCATTTGTAAGCATTGAAAATATAAAGTGCTTTGTTTCTTTTCTTTAATAATTTCTGGTCGTCTTGCCATATACAATTGTACAAACTATTTAATGTTAGTATTTTTATTTAACCAACTGTTAAAGAAAATGAATTTTTCATTCATTCTTAACATCAAAATATCATCGTAAGATTTTTTTCAATATTAACTTGTAAATAATCCATTAATTAACTCAACTACTTCTTTATAACAAACGACAGCTGTAAATAACTTGAAGCTGGGTTAAATTTTTCACATTTTGCAACCCCGCTCAGGTTTAAGAAATTTACTTCACTATCACATAATTATAAAGAAATCGATTATTTAATTCATGAATGGTATGTATAAATAAGAAGTAAAATTAAAACCAGCAATTCCTTTAGTTTTAAAGTAAAGTAAATAAAAATTATCTTCAAATTGTCGTCTTCGCTATTGTTATACTTTCGTTAATTTCTTTTATTCTGTTCTGCATTTAATCATGCAAATTTAAGTTCAAATTTAAGATCTCGATTAAATCTCAAGTTTATTTCTCAAAAGAACGCAAACAAAAAATTTTCCTCAGTGATGGTGGTCTGGAAAGGTTTTTCCGTTAAATGAAATTTCCACATTGTCTAATTAAATTAGGAAAATTGAAATTATTACGAATAATGAGAAAGCAAATTTATTCATATTTCCTGAAAGAGTTAGTAAAAGAATGGAAAATAAAAATTATGAAATTTATTAATTGTCTTTAGTGGCTTTTCCAAGAATGTTACTAATTAGGACTTTAAAATATTCCTCGAAATTAGTAAAAGCATCAATTATGTCACCGAATCAAGAATTTCTTAATTAAAATTAAAAATAGACATCTCAATGAAAATTTTCATTTTCTGCCTTATTCTTTTGATGACAAGTCTTATAAAAAACATGATTGACATCATGAGAAAAATTAAATTCAAGCGAGCTGAATTGCTTCATTAAAGTAAGATGAAATGATAAAAAAGAAATTTCAAATTCCAAATTTATTCAGAAAATTCAAGCTTCAAACTCAAAGAACCGATATTTGCTGTTCCTTATAGTTTTGTGCAACCCAAAACGTATTTCATAGATTTAATGTTTTGATTGTTGCATGTCATTCCAGATGCATTCAATTGCTTCTTGAATCCATTGAGATGAGAATATGCTCTTGTATTATAAAAACATAATTGAACGGAAACTTATTTTCGATTCATGCTTCTGTTCAAATCAATGCTTCAAAAAGCACTTCAATTTAATAATACTTGAGCCTTCATTGTTATTTATCTAATCTTTCACGTTTTATCCTTTATTGTTTGCAAAACTTTTAAAAATATGTTTGAAATAAGAATAATCCAATTTTCAGAATATCTTTAATCAATAAGGAAAAGATCCAAACTGAACTTATTTTCATGAATATAAATTAGCTCAATAAAATTAAATTAAAAAGTTAAATTAATTTTCAACTCAACAATAAAATTTTCTAAAGATTTTTCCAACAAATATTAGTTTGTTTTAACTTCTTTTAATTTTAATTAAAATGTCACCGATATGATAAAATAAATTATATTACCCTTCACCCTTTCACTTTAAGAGGAGAACTTATGTCATATAACGTTCTATAAACAGCTAGTTTTCAGCGTCATAAATACAAAAACGTGAGTTAACAGTTGCAAACGTGCTTGCTTGATGTATGTATGCATTTCTGTAGACCAATTCTGTATCATCCTGCCATGAATAAATGTCGTTGTTAGTGATATTAAGGTTCATCCGAAGATATTTCTATCACACTCTTGAATAATTTTCCTTCAGTTGTGCTTTTTTCATGTCTTTCTTTTTATGTTTTATTGCTTCTTTGTGTAAATATGTATGATGCATGTAACATTCTTGACATCTCAACAATTTGATTTTAACGTTAATTGAATATTAAACAGAACATAAAATTTAAATCGTCTATTGTATAAAAACGTTTGACTGATTTTCTGAGATTTTCTATTATTTTATTATAAGTAAATGTATCTATTCCCTCCTACAAAGTTATGATAAGGAATTGTGATCTTTTTTGAAACTTTTTCTTACAAATTTATATAACATTATGCATTTTTGAATAAGCAAACTTTGAAACAAAGAAAATATTTCAAATGATTTCTGTGCTTGTAACATTGTCGAATGATTTTATAATAATATTAAAAATATTCAAAAACAAATTTTTTTCATCACATTGTTTTCCTGCTTACTGTAAATTTTTAGATACTTCAATTTTTTCTTGGGTGGGATTTCATGATTATTAAAAATTTTGGATGAAGATTGAAGAAGAAACATGTTACATGAAGAAACTTTTTGTTGAAAGATGAAAATATCAAGAATTTTTGCTCTCAAAGATCAGTTCAAAGAATTTATTGTAGATGTGAAATTGAGGGCTTTCAGATGTAAAAGATTTAATTTGCTTTAAAAAAACATCGTAATGGATATCTCTTAATTATTTAGAAACAAAGTGTTTGAAAAAAAAATCATAAATAAGCTTACATCATTTATTATTAATTGTTTCTGTGCTAACGCTTCATGTTTTACAACAGCATATTGGCATTTTTCATTACATTTACGTTAGGTTAAGCACAAACATTTTGAAAATTGGTAGCAAGGAGAAAAAGTTTTTCATTTCTCAGATTATTATTGCATGTTCATAACTTGATATTTGAATTTTAGTTTTTAACATGAGCAAAAACGAAAGAAAAAAAAACTAAGAAGATTGACACAAAGAATTGTTCTGAATAGATCATGTTATGCTGCTGTTGATGCTGGTAATGAAAACTAGAAGTTACCCAAATAAAAGAGGATAATAATGAATGCCGTTTTTCAATCAGCAGGAGACTCGATGAAACTAACAGACGGTGAAGATTAACAGTGAAAAGAAACTTTTTAAGCTTCTACATTCACATCAAGAAAGCAACAACTTTAACAATTACTTTCATATTTTTAACTCGTCATAATAGTTTTAAGGCTTAAAATATCTTTTCGTCATTCATTTACATTTTTTTGTTCTACAAGATTCGTCTTACAATATATAGCTTTAAGCAGTTATCAAGAAGCAACGCCAATTGTGTTTGTCTTTAAATTGATTTGTTTTGTTTTTTCTTTATCGTCGATAGCTAAGAAATTTCCATGTGGTATTTTAGATCTATAGCCACATATTACAAAGAGCTTAACTTTTATTCCAGAGAACTTTCTATCAGGGATAATACTTTTAAAAACAGTCAAAGGACAAATTAAAGTATCAAAGCCGAACTGATTTCTTTTTATTGTAAATTCATTCAAATTGATCCACCGTGTTTTCAATTTCCGTTTAAAGAAACATTTCCTTTTATATTTTTAGTTAGTCTTTAAAGGATTATAATTAATAAATTTATCTAACTGCTCCAATCATTAATCATGAACGGACTGGCAGCTTCCTTTTTGTGATGAATAGTCTCAAATTAATCGAAGAAGTTTTTTTTGTTGAAGAAATTGCACAATGAGGCAAGATTTGGAATTAGTCAGAATGTCAAACCAGTTTAAAGTTCATTTTGAACCATGCTACAGTGAAGTTTTGATATTACAATCTCTCGATAGTACGATACTTCCCTTCAGTCAAAATTGCACCATTTTTTTATTGATAATACGATATCGTTTTGAAGGGACAATGTCGTACTATCAATTTTTTTACTGAATTTTAATTCTGAACTAATTCCAAGTCCAAATATATTTTTACGTAGAAAGCAAACTTGTGTTTATTGAAATCTTTAATTTGCTAGTAACATAATGAAGTTATGGAAGTGAAACCGATAAGCCATGCTTGTTATGTTCATCTCTGATTTAAACAACTACAAACTCGCAGATTTTCTCCACATAAATCATTATTTACAATCATGTTTGAAAGAAAGATATTGTTATGATTTACTATGTATTGTCCTGTCTTGTATTCAGAAGATGAAATTTGGCAATATATTCTAATCACGGAGGTGAGATAAATAAAGTTAATAATAAATTCAGCTACATATTTTTTAGCAAAATTATTTTGACGTTTAATCCTTCGAAGAAATTGTGCAATGTGTTTGGCATTTTAGTCCCAATGGAAACATAAATTTCTTACATCGATAGTGTGTTTAAGGTCTTAAAATTTACTAATTTTCATAGTTTTACTAAAACTACCAAAATCTTCACTTATGTAACTTCATCATTTATCAATGAATGAATAACATTAAATTTAAATTATGGATTAAAACTTTTATTTGAGCAATTACTATGAGAAATACTTCCATGAAATTAATCTTCATTTAGCAGTTCTTAAATGTGTAAACTAGTGAACTTGATGATCAAAAATTACGAGAGGGTAAATTAAAGTTAATTATAAGTAAACATTGTTTAGGGCTGAAAGGATTAAAGTTTTAGTGTCCAAACTCATTAAAATTTTGTGTTTTCATATAAACTATCTTAAATATTTTTAGAGTTCTTCCGTTTCCCATCCACTTGACACTCATCTTTAATCCTTTTCTTATATTGAAGCAACATTGAAAAACTCAAAGTTGCAGTAGGGAAAACATTCAATTCTCAATCAAATGTTTTTTTTGTTAAACGCTGGAAGAATGCTTCATTGATTTTGACAAAATGTAAATTTGTATCTCTTAAGGAGAATGTGCTCCTTTGCTTTAATTTTAATTTTCTTATTAAAATTATTTTATAAATTAATGATGAGCAAAATGTTTATTAGACAAATGAAATTATCTAAACGATAATCAAAAAATATAAATTTTCATGGTCGAATTAGATCGTAAAACTGATATGTCATAGAATACAAACGTTTATTTATTGATACCTTTTTGATTGTAAATACGTAAATATATTGTTGAAATATGTATGTTATTGAAATATGTTGTCTAATATCTGATTTTGATAACGAATTTATTAGCGAAATAAGCCTAAGTACTCGTAGGGAAAGGGATTCCTTTTCTTGTAAACTGTGATAACTTTTCATTTAAAATTATAGTAGTAAGTATATTCAAAAAATCTGATTATAGACTTCTCACAATTCATCTGATGTCTAGGAAAAGTTTTTCTGATAAATATAATATATTAAAGGTTCAGTATTTTCGATTCCTAATAATTGATAATGCGAGGAAATTGATATAAAGTGTCTTCATTACATTGCATTTCAACAAACAATTTTTTTTATATTTAACTTTTCTATGAGAATGATTTGATTGTTGCGAAACTCATTATATTAAACTAATAAAGTTCTGCTCGTAGATATTTTTACTTGCAAGAAGCAAAATGTTCAAGATAAGCAAAGCACAATGCATTTAATTGTATGTAGTTGTAGGACGACATTTATTAGAATGTTATTAGAAATATGGGCTATCATCTTTTCAGATTTATCTTACGTTTTCTTATTTAGATATTTAAACCCTTTTTTTACTTCAAGTCAATAACACGTATGTAATTAAGTACTTTAACAAACTTTTTATTTTTTTTTGTCTTTTGCCAAAAGTGAGTTTGAAATCAGGTCGAAATTGTCTTATCAAAGTTCATTTATTATTTGGCATTTCAGCAAAGAGTACTGCTTTCTGTTATCTTCTGTCAGTTTCTTTTACATATTATATTTATATATTCTCCATAACATGTTTAGAGCTGTTAAACTGTCTGATCATTTACATCTGCATTTATTTAACAAAAGCAGAATTTCATGCTTTCCATTTCACTTTTCTTATCTTTGAACTTACTGCAACCTATCAAAGGAAATTTATGGAGTGAATCATGAGCTCATTTACAACAGTCTATGTTTGATTTGAATACCTAAACTTTCTTGAAAATTATATTTAGTGAAAAGTGTAAGTTTCTGACTTATTCATACATGTACTTCTGTCCAATGTGATATTTAAATATGTTCAAAGCTTGATGAATGATTCAAGTGTAAATATATGTATTTTTATTTTTCTTTTATTAAAATTGGAAATCTTTTTGTGTTCCTTTCAATTGCATTTCAAAAAATATTATTTTTTTATGTTTTTTGTCGTTTTTGTAAAAAATATTCTTTATTTCTGATTTTGTATTCGATTAAAGCGATCAAAGGACTTATTTCTAAGCAATAGACAGATACTTCGTAAGATTTATTAAATTGAACATCAAAACTTTTGAAGTAAACCTAAAATGTTTTAATAATATTTCCGAACACTTTAATCGAATCAAACGCAGAATATTTCATGCTTATTTTGTTGTTTCTTGGGATTGAGTTTTCATTTCAATTTTTTCTTTTTCGTCTTGATATTCTTATTACAGGTTTATTCAAATAACAAGTTATAACGAACTAACTCTTCTCTTTACTAATTATAAATATTCTCTAGCGATTCAATCTAAACATCTTCAGCAACAAATCTAATTAGTTAAGAAAATTAAAAATTAATTGATAATACAGTCAAGTTTGGCTTTTGAAGCACGTGCTGCTGTTTAATAATGATAAGAGCATGCAGAAGATATAAGCAATTCTAATTGCATTTCAATTAGAGACAAGATTGGAATGGGAATTACAAATGGGGACTTCGCAAAAGTAGCCTTCTTCAAGTCTTAATAGAATTATACAAAGAGGCGATTGTTGAATTTATTTTCCGCCATATTCGCAAAATTAAATGTAACGTAAAATTATTTTTACCATAGGATGAAACATCAACGTTGTCCTCGCTCAAGCATCAACTAATCTCTTTATATAATAAACTTATTTCTTCCTAATTCAATCTTACTCCGGTTTCAATCGATGCCATTGAACGATTGTCTGACGTGGTTTTGAAATCATGTCTTGCCAGTGCTTAGTTTCTGATGCTCCCGAGCCATTCTTTCCTGTTGAGAAAGCGTTATAATATCAATATTAGAATTATGTGAAGTCTAACATTCAAAAGCTCATAAAATTAACTTCAGTAAGCATTTTCTAACAGCATGTGAATAAATTATGCAAATTGTTACAAAAAAAAAGTTGTCGTCGCTTGAAGAAAGAAATCAGTAAATCAACTCACCCGCTAACAATATTCGTCCAATCAATTCATTACGACCTATGTTATCAAAATCCATCACCATGACGTCTAATGAACATTCTCTTATCTTCTCCCATGGCACATTAAAACTAAATGAATCATTGAAGTGTGGATTTAATGTACATTTGAAAATTGGCGTCTTTCTCTTTTCTATTCGCTTATCACCAAATTGAAGCCAGACTTTAACATAAGGATCTTGAAATGAGATTTTATGAATTATGTAACGAATTTTAGTCATCACAAGCAGCACATTATAACTTACCAGATTTTCCATTGATATCTTTTGCCTTTAAGTTTCTTGCTTTAACAAGACTGAGAGTCAAAATGGAGTTCGATGGATGATAACATAACGAACATAACAACTCGCCGCACTTATCCTTTGCTGGTGGCTTCAAAGCCTTCCAAAATGAAGGTTTCCCGGTAAAGTCCACCTGACACAGTGGCAAGAACACCTCGCCAATCGAATCATCGCGCGAAAAACGATCATAGTCAAATACATGAAGGTGCAGTATCCTAGACTGGAGCTTTTGGACTGGGAAACCCTCAAAATAGAATGTTTCATTCCAGCGAGGATTGAGTGTGCGACGTTTTATTTTCGTTTCAAGGCGATGTTTTTTATCTGGAAGGAGGGTCACTCGTACATAAGGATCGGAAGTTCCACTAAGATCTTTTGCTGGAAGTTCCTTTCCCTATAATTCGTATAAATCATTGTAAGTTTTGTATATTAAATACAACAGCAAAAGCTACTTACTTGAATGACTTTAAGTATAAGTGTCGTATTTTGGAAATCATATTCCAATGAAAAATGAATTTGTCCAACATTTTCGCTTGGCTCAGAGTTGTCAATATACATATCAACCATTGACACACTCCGATTCTAAAATTATGTAGAAAAGAAATATGAGAACACGAAAAAGATGCTTAAGCGCTGTGCTTGGTGTGTATGAAAGTGTTTGCAAGATTCCTAAAGTTAAAAAGTCGACACAATGCCGATAAGCAAACTAATCGAAGACTTACAGTTGCATTATCTTTGTCCTTGTTTATAGTTGCCCCACGTGAGTCACCTTCAGCACCTGAACTAGAACCAGCAGGAGATTTCATTTGTGTGCTCGATGATCTTCAAAGGTCGGAGATAAAATATTCAATATTTGATTAACATAAATTATTAAGTTGATTGAATATTCATCATAAATAGCATAAAATCTTTGAGTATAAATATCACAATACAGAAAAAGTACATGTACTTTATGCTGAAAGATATTTTTTTCCTTGTGAAGTTTTTAAGAGAAACGAATACAAGAAAAATAAGACTTAGATAAATAATCTTAAATCAAGCATTCCTTACTCTTCTTTTATAATAACAACATAAAATGAGAGAAGAGATAATGAAAATGAAGACGAGACGAAACAACAAAAAGTTTTGAAAGTCAAGAGACAAGTGTCGACCAAAAGTACCATCAATTAACAATACTTAGCATTAGCACCAGGAAAATGGACAGCAAATATTAATGCACAACAAGTAAAATTATCTATTTGTAGATGAAAAGTCGTTGTAGCGAGAAAAATCTTATGTTTGTAATTTTTCTTCATATTCAATCGATAATTATTATAATGTTATTTATAACTTTTTTTTCAATACAAAACATAAAAATGTTTCTAAAGCTTCAGACGACAATAAATTAAAATGTTCACTAGACAATGTCCTTTAAAATACTTAGTTGATGTTAAAATAAAACATCACAATTCAATCAACTCACATTGTAATTGTGAAAAAGAAAATGACGGCGGATACAAACAATCAAGAAGACAGAAGAAGAGTGAGAGAGATAGACAGAGAGATAGAGAGAGAAAAGAAAAATCAATAGAAATAGAAAGTAAGTGAAAAGTATGAAATAGTTCGAGTGAAAACATTACAAATATACCAGACATTAAAGAATCTTTTTAACCCTTTCTTTTCTGGATAACATGATGTAAACAGATAATTTTTAATTAAACCATACCAAACTTAATATGTATGAAAAATGAAATTTCTAAATAGCTTAGATGGAGGAAAAGGTTTTTTAAAATTAGATTTTAATTTAGTATTAGCCTACATAAATTTATTTATATGATTCAAAAGAATCTACTTAGATATTGAAAGCTAAAATGATATGATATGAATACGCATTGTCGATTAAATCAAAACTAATAGGACGTTAATTAAATGAAAGTAAAAAGTAGTGACGTTGAAAGTGAAGCGTCGATTACTAAAAAAATAATTTAATCACGCTATATTCCGGGTTCCCAACAATGTTATCACATGACACGAAACCATAATGACATCATATCTGTCATGTTGACTTCAAGATGAAAATAAAAACATTTTCTGTATGACAACATGTTCTTAAAATTCATAATTTTGTTTTAGTTTTTTCATACGAAACACATAAACGTGACGACGAGGTGATGTCACTGTGAAATCGTAATGACAACCCTTTTTTTTTCATTAAATAATATTCTTTAACCATCAAAAATGATATTTACATCGATTGACATTATAACGACTCAAACATGAATATCACGTTGTCGAACTCTTCGACATTTTATATCACATAATCGTTTCAATAATAAAAAAAAGATTACAAAGCCAAGCAAACATTCTCGCACGAAATAATTAGCATTTGGTCATGTACACCAGCGTAAATTGAAAATAAGCACAAGAAAATATTCCAACTTAGAATTTTTGCTACATTAATAAGTTTCGATTCTTTTCCAGAACTAAAAATTTATTTCGTTTCATAAATTAAGCTCGACCTTTGGTTAGCGCCAAAGTGTCAATGGAAAAATATCCGTCATGACTATTTTATTGTGTCACATCTTATAACTTTCAACGCGCTTTCATTAGGTACATTTAAAGCTTCTACATTTGTTTCTGCAACATAAATTTGATCTGGTTTTGTTTTAACGTAACGCAAACAAATTTCATTTTAAATTAAACAAACTTATTAAAAGCTTTTTATGGTCAAAATGAGAACCTTCCATAAAAAAATTGAAGGGACGAAAAAAATGTCATTTAGTAAAGATTTGAATTAAGGATAAGCTAAAGTATCGGAGAATGATGCAACCAAAATTAAATCTAACATTGTTGGATCTCCCGGTCCAAATTTTTTCTACATGGTTATAGGCAGATTATTCAATTTTCTATGGAAAATTCTCAGTATTTAATTGTAGCACTGAATTATTTTCTGTCAGTGTATCGTATGAGTAAATTTTAAATAAAAAAAGAACCTAAATGAACTTTCTCCTTTATATGTAAGTATCATGTTATCAAAATATTCATCCCTTAAGTCATATAATAAGTATGAGTTTTTAGCAGAACTTTTAGTTTTTAATAGTAGCCACGTTTAGAAAAATAAAGCAAAGCTCGCCAATTGTAAACAAAAATTGATTTTTTGCATCAACAATTAAAGCATTACTTATGTTAAGCATGAAATATTTTATAACAATATGCAAACTGCCGAAGTCATTGTAAAAATTAATAAAGCTTTATTTAAATCACATTTGTTTTGTTATGTGGGTTCCTCATTAATGTCAACCCAAATAAAAAGTTACATTACATCAATGATAGGAGATGCGGTCTAGCAATAGACAAAAATTAAATCATATAAAGTTTGATAAGTTAAAATGAGTTAAAAACTATTATAAAAGGAAATACAGAAAACTACATTATGAAAAGTATTGTAAGTATCATGGGGTCATTGTGGAAATGAGAAAACGTTTGAATCTAAAACATATGGACGCCGATTTTGTGTTTTTTTTTGGGTTTACCATTTCAACGTTTTTGAAAACATATTTTTGGCAAGGAAAATGAACAATTGAATGCTTTTCCAATAATATCCAATTAAATATTCATTTTTATGCACAAGTATGCGATAAATAAAATTGAATTTATTTCATTGGGCAGTTTCCGGTTTATGGTCTGATGAATTTATTTTCTCTATTCCACCGCCCGGTAAAGGAAGAAGGACGGAAACATAAAACAAGGGAGAAATGAAAGTATTTAAATAGAGATCAGGGATGGCGAGATATCCGGATACAAGGATTGTAAGGATTTTTCAAGAATACGCGTTATGAAACTTTGGAAATTCAAAAAGAATCCTTTTCTGTTTCTTTTGATCCAAAATATTCAGATATTCTACAATCCCCGCAAGTTGCATCTACTACAAGGACCAAAGACCCTAGCAAAATGTTTACAAGAATCTCCTAAAAAATACAAATTGAGTGCACAGATTTATGTTAATCAAATGTTACGGTATAGGATGCAATTATAAACATTGGTATGGATACCTGTTGTCATGAGATGGCGTTGATTCTTCGAGCGCCGTACCCGGCACTACTACCGACACCGAATAATATTCGAAAAGAGCAACAATCATTTCTAGAGATCGTGTCATTGCCGCCCACATCTCCTGCCGATTTTCTGCGTTTTTTTGCAGCTTTTTGGGCTTTCTATGTGGATTTTTTATTCTACTCTCAACAAGGGAATAATGTTGATAAAGGAGATGGTTGATGAGTGTGCAGGATTATTTAATGATTTATCGTTTAAAGGTATAGGGAAATGAAAAGAAAGGAATTAAATAAGACTCTTTTTTGTTGTTTTCTTTTTGTTTTATCAAAATTCATTAAAACTTTGCAGGGAATGCAAATATTAATTAAATCAAAACTTTTTGCAATTCCTGAAATGTCTTTTTGTGGTTCTCTCAACTTACCAATTAAAATTAACATTCACAATAAGGAAAAAATGTTATTAACATAGCAAAATGGAAATGAAAAAGTAGAAAAAAAAAAATTATCGAGATATATTTTGGGAAAGCTGATCGAAATATTTTAACAACCTGAATAAAAAGAAATAAACGTGCTGAAGCAAGCACATGCTTATGAATGACTTTGTAGTAAAGCTTTTTAATTGACCCTTGAAGGATGTTTTAATGAGGTGGCGTTTGATTCATTTAGCTTGAAGGATTTGACTGATTTTATATTCAATTACCAATTAAAGGCTTATTTGTGCAACACAATTATTAATGCTTAAGCAAAATTATTGACACGCTTTTTTGCGTTTCTAGAATTGATTTGAGTGATAATTAACAATTATCTATAATTGGAATCAACGTTCGTAGCTTGAAGCTTTTTAATATTCAAAGGAAACACGTTAGATATACTAGAATTTTTGCCTCCTTACGGGCAGACGGAATTAAAAAGTTTAACAAAAATTGTTTGCTTTGTGTCGAAATTTAAGTTCAACATCAAAAATTAATTAAAGCAAAACTTATTTTGTATACTTTAAAAAGAAGATTATGAAAATGACTTTAATTAATAATCTTCATCTTATATTTTCAGTGAAACATGTATCCGATACTGATGTCGGAACTGTATAAAGTGAACTAGATAATACAAATTAGGTTTTTTTTGAATCGAAGTCTTCAATATAATAAAAGTAATAAGCGTGTACGAGAATGGCAAGGTTGAACTTTTATCTTTCCGTCTAAAATTTAAGGAAAATAAATATCACATTTTTTTCTTCCGTTTTCTTTGAAGCCTTCACGAAGCAATGTCAGAATTTAAACATCCAAAAGGATAAAAATAAATCATGAGCAGTAAAAACAGCTTCGATACTTGACAGACGAAAAGGGAGAAATTGCGTTTCCATATTTTATATGATCAATCAAACGCTATTTAAGAGCTTCCATGTGTCTTTTCACATGCTAAGCACCAAGCAACACAAGCGAAAATATTGTGATGCGACCTATCGATAGGCAACACACTTTCTCACACACTTTCAATATTATCACGATGGCACACGCATTCACTGACACAAGCCATAAATATTCATTTTGCTTTTTATCCAAAACAATTTATCGACAGTCGAGGATGCCGAAAAAATTCTAACAAGAGAAATGATTCAATAAAAAAGATATTAGCGTATGATTAAAGCGAAGACGGATGATTTGGTTGCAGAAAATAAAGTTTCTTTCGAAAATTAAAAAAAAGAGAATCAATACTATTACCAAAATGTTCTTTGTAACATGAAAAATAAAATTATTCTCCTAAATCGTTCCATATAAATTCTATTCATTTCCATAAATGTAATTTCTTTTAATTTTATAAGAAACCTCACATTTTCTTGGATTAAATATTCTAATTTTGGTCAGTAGAATATTTTTCCCTCTAATGGTTCACAAAGGTGAAAACTCCATGAAAAATCCTTAGAAATGGTTGCCACAATCTTTTCAGCTTTCCTTTACAACTCTCAAATTCTTCTTTCAAAAGTCAAAGGAATGGCAAATATGTTTATAATAAAATTTCCTTTTTAGACCCTTACAAATTATATTATTATTATTATTGTTGTTACTGTATTCTTCTCTGACATTTAAAGGATGTTTCTAATTTCAAGCCATTTCGAAACAAATTTTATCTTCAATTAGTTTTGACTTTAACTTAATTATAATTATTCTCATCAAAATTAAAAGAAAATTGGAAATTGATGTTTCCCATGGCATTTCTCAACTTTGTGGTCTGAATCCGTGAGGGCATTCGATATCATTAATACCCTTAGTCAAGATATTTATGAAGCTTGAAAATATTCATATCTCATTAAGAAACATGAGTTTGAAATTGAATATTTCTACAAAAATTCCAATGAACTTAATGATTGAATAATAAATTAAAAAATATTTACTTTCAAGGTTTTCAATTGGAATAAATTACGTTCCTATTATTTGTTCATTGGTTTGGAATTGATCAAGTGTCTTGCTTCATTATGGCAGTTATCATTTTTAATAACTTCTTTCGTGATTTACAGGTATTTTTACATTAAATTTTGTTTAATAAAAAGTCACGACTGCTTGTTTAAAAAATCAAGAGCTTCATACATATGAAATTGCACAAAAAGCTCCCTTTGTGACTATTTCTCATAATCAAAAATGATGCCGACTGTTCCTTATAAGATGTTTACTTTTTATGTATGAACGTGTACATTTATTAAGTATATATTCGAATATCTTATACAAATGGAGCTTTTATGAAAATTCAGTTAACTTTTGTGACGAAAATTACTTAATAACTACTTTTTTCATTCACGAAGTTTCTTTTATCGAGATATCTAATAATAATATACATAAAAGAAGTCAAAGTTCTATTTGGGTTATATAACATGTTTACGATATCTATTTGGATAAAAAATTCAATAATTTTACGTAACTCCCAGGATAGTTTTCCATTGTATTACATGCTAAATATTAAATATATTCTAGAGATGCAGAGAGATACAATATGGCATGACGTCATGAAGCTTTATTTTTGTTCTTCTTATAGAGAATGCCATAATTTTATAGTCGGTCTGCGCGACTGAAAGTTTTTGAATAAATTAACTGGAAATATTGTTTGTTTTATATTGTTGCATACAGCGCACGCTCGTAATACAACCACATAATACTATCAAATGATACTCGCACACTCTTATCAATCAACATCCCGCTCTTGTTATCATACAAGTCAAAAACTAGAAGTTTATTCACAACTGAAATGAATTTTTTCCATATAAAGGAAATAAAAATGATATCTAAATAATTTTAAAGCTTCTTTTTTGTTTGACGAGAACGTTAACAGAGAGAAGATTAATAACAATAAGCCATTTGAAGTTCTTTTGGAACATTAAATATTCCTAATGCAAAGATAATTTCTGTAATTCCTTATGGTCTAATTTATTATTATGTAGAATATTAAAAAAGATTTTATTTCATATGTGGCTCGAATTCTCTTGGCGCTATTTTCCTTTTTTAATACAGCTTTTTGGTTTTGCAAACTTTCTTTCATGTTTTCTCTATTCTTCAAAAATACTGTTTGCTCAGATATTTATTTATTTTCTATATAGGTACATACCTACCTAAATATTCAATTCGATATTGATAAGCATAAATAAATATTGGCTAGGAAGTGAAAATTTCAGTGATTCTCAAACTGTTTAACACGAAACAGTGAAATTATAATCGATCGAAGGATCCAAACATCATCGCATTCAGAGATCAGTAGTAAAGCTTAAAGCGTTTCGATCGTCCAATACTGATTATAATCAATTTATCTGAACGACAATCAGGTACATTGAATACTTAATGGCGAAGTAGAGCATTGTGAGATACAAAATTGTGAAAGTTTTAGAAACAATGAGGTGCTTGAATGAAATAACTTTCGTTTTCTATTTTCTAATCTACAAAATCCTTTGAAAAAGCTATAGAAAAAGCTTCTTCGTTTCATAGTCATGTTCGTTAAAATATTTACGTGATATCTTAATAGTCAAACTTTCCAAACTTTGTGTTTCTTTCTTTATTTTCATTTTTTTTCTGTGAACCTAAGTTGGGACTGCATACTAATGATATTTATTGATTACAATCCAACAGAAAAAATATGGAAGCAAACAACAGAACAGGAAAACAAAAAAAAAGGAAATATTTACAATTACGATGTGACATTAAATTACGTTTCGATTCTTTAAGCTCTAATTTTTTGTTTTTCTTTGTTATTTTTCTGCTTTTGTTATTAAAAAATTAACAATTAAAAGAAATTGATCAGGAAATAACGTGACTGCGAAATAATATAGAAATGGGAGAAATTTAGGGTACTTAAATTTCGATACACATGCTCCGTTTTCTAAGGTGCTTCATTTTCATGGTTTCTCTCTTCAGTTGGAGAAAGAACGCCTTTCAAAAATAGGAACAGGAGTGAAGCCTTGCAAAATAATATTGAAAGCTCAAGTGGATCTCTCAAGATTTTTGCTGACAGCGGAAATTGAAAGGAATTCTTGCAGGCTTTGGGGTTGTCAGAAAAGTTAGAAAAGTAAATTCCCTTTGCTAGCCCCATTGAGATTTCTTGTAAGAAATTAAACCTTTAGTTATTTGGTGTTAAACAATCCTGAAGCTGGTTCATTAATTTAGAAATATTACGTTCACTGTTATTATAATCCCTAGTTGAAAGGAAATGGAAATTTCCTTTCCATCAAAAAAGAAAAATTCGCTTTGATCTTAAAAATAGATATCGTTCTTTGAATGCTTCATAAAATTTCACTCTTTATGGGGATGACTGTGGTTATTAAAACTTTTACTAAAATGCTACGGTTTTAAAACAAGTTTTTCTTTCTGCCAAATTCTCTTGTTTTATTATTTTAAGCGTTCATTGATTCCTCAAAGCAAAAGAAGTTTTTCTTATATAAGCTATTGGCTGTGTAAGTTATTGTTTGTTCACCTTTTTCTTTACAACACAGAATGAATTGAAATTTCAAAAATTTATGTTCAGTTTTTTTAATACCTTGCTTTAAATATTGAATGAGACTTGAGTCTACTCAACTTCTTTAAAGCGGAGCTATAACCACATTTGAATTATCTACGATGACAAGACACAAGCTAAGAAAATATTTACCCTTTTCATAATTTTATGAAGAAATATGTTTTGTTTTATTTTTCCGAAAAAAAATTCCATTTAATCGAATCAATTTCACATACTTTGTGTACAAAGGCATACACATGTGACCGTTAAACAACCGACAAAATGTTAAGATTGGATTTTTCCGGTTATTTATTAATTTTGAAAATCGATCCTGATATTTTCGTGTTCAAAAAGTTTTAAACAAACGGCACTTTATATGAACATTGGTAATAACATTGATTGTTAAATATCTACCATACTAGAACCATTTGAGTATGCCACAAGCCAAATGTATTTATGTAAGATTGAGAGTTGATAAAGAAGCGAATGGAAGAAAATCGATTCAACTTTCAAGAACCAAATTATTTAAGGCAATGACACAAAAATAATAATATAAGAAACTCTTAATATTCAAGTGTGGATGAAAAGTAAAAACATAGCCTTAACTGAATTTTGAACGTAACACCCAAACAAAAGTTGGTTACATTATTATAATTGATCTGGAGACAGTTGAAAAATATCATCTAAAATCAAAACAAGCTAAAGATAGATACATACCCGATCAAGGGTGTCTTAAGGTTCAAAAATCCATTGAGTTTTCTGTTTATATTATTTTGTTGTGAACCTGCTTGTTGCTGTTGCTGTTGTTGTTTTTGTTGTTCCAAAAGAAGTTGTTCTTGTTGTTGACTTTCAAGAAGTTGTTGGAACTTTAAACTCCCACTGCTTGTCTCATTTTCATCTGTTGGTTCAACAAATTCAAGCTGAGAGCGCTTGTGCCGCCACCAAAAGTATGCTGCCGCCAACAAGATGAGCAACAAAACGATGATGCCAAGCGTTGAGAGCACCCCGATCAGTATAATGCGACCTAAATCTGCTATTAATGTGAAAATGAAATTTAATAAAAACATGTTTACAATCTGTCATCAAATCATATGTAAGTACATAAGTAATCAATAGGCATAATCTTGTGATTGTTTGCAAAACGTTCGATAAATATTTCATTTTCATATTAGAAACCTATTATTATCTAAATGACAATTAATATTTATTTAAGCACACAAGTAGAATACTCACCCATTTCTCTGCTTTTAAGATTTAAGGTCTGACTATGATAACTCTCATATTTGTTATATTTTTCCGTTGTTTCACACTACAAAACTTTTAACACATCAATCTAACTTAGCTGTTTATTTATTCATCAACTTTTAAATCTCCCAATGAAATCTGAATCAACTCCAAAAACTAAAAATAACTTTCAATCGTTTATGTCAAATTTCACTTAACATCGGCGATTCATTTTGTCATTCTGATTCATTTTATGAATTTTGTGCTTTTTTTCTTTAAATTGGTGATAACTATCCTCAATTTCTTTTTATTTCCTTTCGCTTCTCGTTTTCCCGCTTTTAAGAATCTTATTTGTTATTGCAATGTCGTCCTCCATATAATTTATTCTCTTTTCTTTTTTATGACACTCCACATGAGAATGATACAAAGTGTTGATTTTTGATCTTAAAAAATGAGAATTGAAAGCTTTTCAAGCTGGAGTGCTTCAATTACAATCTTCAATAAAAATTTATTCTCTTATCAATTTCAATCGAATATTGGAATAATTTTTATTCTTCTTTCAGAAAGAAGAATGAAGGAAAATATTTACGATAAACTTTTTTTTATGTAGATAACTCCAATGTTATTATCATTGCTTGCCTCAAATAATATATCACAAACAATTCCCTGCCCTTAATAAATAATTGTTAATCTATATCATTAAAACTTTTTCATCATTATGTTCTCATTTCATTTCCATGAAAAACAGATTCTCGTTGTGTCCTCTGTAAGAAAAAAAGGAAAAAACAAAACATTAACGTCAATTAATGAATCGATAAGAAACTTGTTATTTGATAAGAGAAATTAAAAAAAAAACACGAATAAAATCCAAAAATTTAAATGAAAACAAATTGCTTGTGAATGTCATGCAATCTAAATCGTGTCCACGCAATCTCTTTCCCAAAAGCTTTGAATTATGAATATATGACAAAAGTAGCACTCATGTTCCATTTATTTATTATTCAAATCTCATAAAAACTTGTGAGCAAATTGATGTCGAAGATGAGATTCATCTGGTGGTCGATTAGTTAAGTGTTGTATGGAAAAAAGGGTCATATACTAATCAACTATGATTCTGATGATTAATGGCAATAAATATTTGGCAGATTAACAAAAACACACAAAAGTATTCTCAAGACTGAGGGAATTCGGATATTAAGTGTCTTGGCACTAAAACTTCTTTCATAGCAAATTATCTCCTTCTGAATCCTTTGAATTTCATTTCAAAAGCGACAAATTATTATTATCACTTTAAATCTTAAATTTCTTAAAGTAAATAAATTGGACGGATACATGAAATTTGTCTTCCCGACGATCAAAAGTTTCCTAAATCGGTTACTAATCACGAATATTAACTCTACGCTGTTCTCAGCGTTAGCAAAGTCGTTTACGTTTCCTGCTTTCCCCTTAGAACCCATTTTATACTTCCTTGTCGTCGTCTTACACTAAAAAAAGCCTTAAAAATCTCGTTCCATAATTTTATCGCTCATTAAAATAAATAGAGGTGGCATGCGACGCGAAAAAAGAACGTGAAGAGAAAGAGACTTTTACAGTTGTAAATAGTTTACCAGCCCAACCATTCTTGCGATGCCAATCTAATTTTGTTTCATTCACCATGAATTGTTTTCATCAAATCAAAATATCGCGAATGGCTAAAAAGCAGCAAAATGTTTTGTCGGTTTTGGTGTGGCTATAGCCGAGGGAATAAGATGGTAAAATTTTTTTGCAAAATGATTAAATTCATTAACTCGTTATTTTTTGTGTTTTTGCTTCTGTTACTGAATTATTCACTTTTCTTGAATTGTCCTTTTGGGGTTGTGCATCATAATTTAAGCGTAATGGTAAATTAAATCATTTAATTTATGCATTGTTAAAGGCTCGATTTTTCATAAAAATTCTTTTCTTGCTCCAAATGTGAATCATACAATGATAGTCAAAATTGATAAATTATACTTTAAGTTATGAAAGCAAAGTATGATTAAGCAAAAAAAAAAGTTATTATAGGATTTGAAATGGAGATCAGAAATGCCTTCCCTTGGCATTGCTGGATAAAATATTTTGAATTTTATATTTTAACTCGAATATGCTACGAAATAAATGTACATAAACAAGTATTGTTTTACCCCACAAACCTCGCGTTTAACTTCAAACAGGATATTAAATTAATTAGAGAGTCGACTTGGGAAAAATCTTGAAATTAATTTCCTCCTTCCAATTTGCATCTTCCATTTGCAGATATCTATGAGAGCACTTAATTTTTCTCAAGGACATTCCTTTTAAATTCACGCTACATTTACGCTTTACGAAAAGGCTTTTGTGTCCTAGTACATCGTTTTGTGTTGGTTTAGCTTTCCCATATTTGAACGATTGAACAAGCTTTTCATGTTTAGATGAACTTTTGTGTAAAAAGTTTGGCAATTTCTCATGTATTGACAAAAATAAGTTGATTATGGGTCAATATTGCTAGATTTTAAGCAAAAAAGGTTCGTTGCAAAGGAACGAAAAATTTATGCAGCATTCTAATGACGTAGAAAAATACTAAGGATTTAAAAAATAAATATGTCAAAAACAGAAAATGGGAGTTAGAAGCTTAGCCATTCGTCGTCATCGAGACGAGTGTTTTATCTGGATTAAGTTCTGTTGAAAACTGAGAATTTTCTTTCATGGCTTTTTGTTTTATTTTCAGTCAAAATCTGTTTAGGGCTCAACAGTCGATAGAGTTGCTTGTAGCCGGATTCGTAATTTACACATATAAGGTACTTAATGTGAAGGTCAAATGCTTAAACTCAACAAATTTGTCTCGAAGATAACACTTCGCGACAGCTTTAACAACACTTAAAAAATGTATTTGTGTCAGCAACAGCTTTCGCGGCATATACTGGACTCTTTATCATCATGTAGATATCAGAAGGGTGTGGTGCGAGTATACTCGTCGCGTTCTCTTCTTATGTGTGATGAGTGATGAGAAGAAAAGAAAATTGATCGCAGGCAAGTTTATTCGAAGGACAAAAGTTGTCAAAAACTCATGTTTTACTAGCTTTTGAAGGGGGTGGAGATTGAAACTAAAAGGAAGATGTACGCAATATAAACAAAATATTAAAACATCAGAATTGGGAATGTTTTAATAACAAAAAATATTTACTCATCACTTTTATTTCACACAACTTTAACGCTTAAAGTTCAAATTACGAAATACATGGAAACAAAGTTTTATTCGAATTTTTGATACATAAAATACTTGAATTTATTTTATAAGCGTCTTCATGCAATAATATGTACATTAAATATTTAAGAATTTAGATACATCACGCAACCATCACCTCAGAGTCATTTTCCTTGGGCTATTTTGTGCTTTTTTCCTCTTTCCATGAAAATTTTCGAAAGAAACATTTGATTTTTATCATGTGCTTGAACTGATACCATCAACTTTAATCGTGAGTCATATTGAAGAAGTAAAAAGTTGAAGAAAAGTGTCTTAGACTTAGCTTAGGTTGTGTTTAAGGGAAGGAAAAATATGCATAAACAAGGGGAACTCTATGAATAAGGGACGATTACCGTCAGTGTTTATGGTGAAAAAATCGGTTGAAAAAGCGAGTATGAATCCAAATATTTGTTTTTATAGGGAGATTCGCTATGTGGGGGTTGAAATTTCTCAGTTACTAACTTCTACACAGTCTTACAATCTGGTTTTAATATAATTTGTAATTATTTTATCTTTCTCTTATCTTCCTGCATCAAGTTTCTTTAGCGGCAAGGGATTATTTCCATTAAAAGGGTAGCGAACACATGAAAATCTTTCACTGACCCTTTGACATTTGAGCACTATGTAAGTTGTGAAATGAAGCTCAATGTAAGAATTCAATTATTAATCGTCACAGAATGAAACACTGGAAATGTAAGAACGTAATCTATAACTCACGGTTTCTGTGTTCGGAGAATTTTTTTCTTTTTTACAGCACTTTTTATGCTGTGGGAGTTGGAATTCATTAAATTTTTATTAAATTCTGATACTACAATGTATGGAAAAGCGACAAAGCTGAAGTGGAAATCTTGGTAAAGATAGTGAAAAGGAATCATGAACAGAATTTTAAAAATCTTATTTCATTTGCAAATAATGTTCTTTATCAGTGTTTTAGAATCTCATCGTAATTATTCAAAAGTGTTGAAAAATATTCATAATTAAAAGGATGATTTTTAATACAAAACATTTGAAGATTTACAATACAGATTATCCATCATAAAAGTTTTATAACATGATTCGAGTGTTTGTTGAATTATAAATGTCAATGAGAGAGAAGGGGAAAGAGACGTGATTGTTATCTAAACATTATAGAAATAACATTTTTGATAACAGCTTATGTTCGTAGCAAATAAAAAACACAAATAAAATATAATAATGGTGTACTGACCACTGATTAGTTATCCAGAAATTTTAGTATTTCCTTGAGTTAATATTTTTATTTCACTCTGTATGTAAGGGAAAATTCACATTCTTAACAAAATGAACAAATTTTCACCTTTTTTGATTTTCTTCTTTTTCAAATGCGACTCAAAGTGAAATTGAAAATATTTTGCCACTGTTAATGTTTATTTTTTCTTATATCTTATTCATCGATTGTCTCAAATAAAACTTATTTTCTTTATATCTTTACACTCTTTTATGTAATAATAGCTTTCCTTCTTCACACATTTCTTAAAGTATGATATGAATTGAAAAAAGAAAAGCTTTCAAAAAATTTTCAACTTTTTTTTATCTATTTTGACTGTATGAAGTAGACGCTGCTTTTAATGCGCTTCACAGGTCACGATGCTCCTTCAAAAGCTTTAGAAAGCTTTGGATTTTAAACAGAAATTAAGAAATAAAATATCCAACTTTTATTTTATGAAAACTTCACGAACAGCGGAAAAATTGTTCATTTTCCAATTTTCTTCTGCGAATGATAAGTTAGAAAAAGGTTTTTCCGTTTTGCGTTTTCGGAACTTTCTGATGCCTTTACATTCATCCATTGGAATATTTTTTTCCATATTTTCCATCACACTCACACAATCAAAATGAGAGCTATTTTCCTGTACTTTATATAAAGTTGCTTATGCTTAAATTTGCCGACACTACTCACACATAAAAAAGCTTTCATCCCAGATAAACGTGTATAATGTTTGTTCGTAACTGTTTTGTGTTACCAGATTAACATGACTCATTTATCATACTCTTTCCATAAATTTTCTATTCATTCTTTTAATGTGAGTAGGGCTTCTGCTAGTTGACACCTGTGACTTTCCACTTAAAATAATCGAGTTAATTAAACGAAATTTATCTTTTTCAGAATTCTGTTCTGCTCGAAAAGTTTACATTTTAATATCTTATTGATCATAGGATTTATAAAGTTATGGATCTTCTTTTAAAGAAAAGCTTCTAACAAAACAACATAAATTACTGTTTGATGCTTTGTCTTTTGAATATAATAATAATATTTTTATTTTTGTTCTTCTTTCTTAATTGTTTTCAAATAAGTTTTGCTGTGTTTTGAATATAAGCACCAGCCTTACTAAACCTTTAATTGAATTTTATTTTTAAAAGTAATTTAGAGAATTTTTTTTCTAAAAAAGACTTTGAAAAACCTGAAGTTTAAAATGAAAACTTAGATTTGATTTGTGGCGGTTTTTAGAAGCCCTAAGTGTGCACAGAAATGGAATGAGAAGCTTTTTCACACACGCAACATAAGGATGACCTTGACTATGTATATTTATTAACAATATGATTCGGAGATGCGTTTCATCATTTTTTGTCTCGAATTGATACTTTTTCGTGAAGGAGAAAATATTTAATATTATAAGACATTCATAAACAATGTACATATGTCTGCTGGGACAAATAAAAGTTAGTGAATGTCCAAAAATATATCCGTAAACCATACAATGTTTATGTTTATTTAGCATTGGAATATTCTTTGATTCATGATATTAAAGGAAGGTTGTTGAAGCAGGCATTTCAGCCTCTCCAATCTAAGGACACTTGGAATATAATGTGTAGTTTAAAAGCTTAGATTCGACAAATTCATCTAAGACAAGCAGAGAGTAAAAAGGTAAATAAAAATAAGAAACTAATTAAATTATTTAACAAAACAATGGAACATGTCGATAATATGAACATATTTATTCAGTGTTGGATCAACAATGACGTTTATTCTTAAAACACAAATATTTCGGTAAATTTTCAGGCAAAAGGTTATAATTTACTCAGATTAGTTTTCATTATGGAAAATGTTTATTGGTTTTCTTAACTTCTTCGCCACTTGATTTAACTAAAGCCTTCAAAAGGTTTCATGTTCTGCTTCAATCACATATTTGAACAAAAGTTATTAATTTGATTTATAAAAATGAGTAAGAAATGATACTTAATAGCATCATTCACGTTAGCTGAAATATCGTCTCAATCTTTTTTTATAACAATCCGAAAAATAAAATCATGAACTTTTAAGACATGACAGAAAAGAGCATTTTAGAATCAGTAACTATTATAAACACTAAACTATTATAAACATTTTCTGTAACGCTTTTCTTTCTCATTCATCGAAAATATTTTCCTTTTATGCATCCGTTTGAGTTATTTTTTTAGTTATTATCACTTCTTGTAGATGGCGCAACATGTCATTTCGTGTGACTTAATGTTAACATAAAATAAACGTTAAAACTGAATATTAGCTAAACTTAAAAACAATGAAAATCATATTATAAAGCAACTGATCAGACCCATCATATCAGTAAGGTCTTTTAAGTCATTGAGGCTAATGTTAATAAGTTTATATAAAATTTTGACAAAGAATCTCTGATATGCTCTTTTTTCTGGTTGCAGCATGGATATTTTACACAATAATAATAATTCAAATAATATCAAAAATAAAATGTAATAAAAGTGCTTAGAATAAGATATAAAATTGGAATTTTTCTTAATTAGATATAATTTTTGATGTGCTATCATATATCTATTATAATTCAATGTTTTAAAACTAAGTTCACATCAAAAATTATATCTAATTAAGAAAAATTCCAATTTTATATCTTATTCTAAGCACTTATGATTGCTAACAATTTTTAGCGATACAAACATATCTAATACATTAATTTTTTTCTCTTTTCTATGTGTAATAAAATAATATAAATTTTGTAGCTTTAAAGTGTAATTCTTAATGAAATAAGAGGTCAATGAACTATATATAGATAAATTAAGGATTTTCACTAACCTGAAGATATTTTTAAGATATTTTACTTACCTGAAAATTCTTGAAAACTTTACTAAAATAACATTTAATTCATACCCATTTCTCCCATTTTCCCCGTGCATTTCGGTATAGCCTCGAATTGAAAATCATAAAATCTAAAAGCAGAGTATACTGAACGGATGTATATGAGTTTATAATTGATGTAATTTTTGCGATGAGTCGAAGTCTCTTTTTTATGTTGCGCTCTACTAGCCAACGGTAAAACTCTCTTTTATTAACATAAAAATTCAAAAAATAATAAAAAGAAGAAAACGAAAGAAAAAAAAATTACATGGAAAATATGCTAAGACGATAAAAAGTAAAGAAAAGTTTTTGAGATAGATATTTAAGATTTTTTATCTAAAATTTATATTCATTTGAAAAATATATTTTCTCTGATTTTTAATAAATAGAGGAAAGTTATTGGTAATTTTTATGTGATTACTTAATGATGTAATTTAGTATGCTCTCGTTTACATGAAATCATAAAATCATGTTATTTTCTTCAATGTTGTTGATACTTAATAATTATTCAGTGTTTTCAATATAGAAAGTTTCATTATTAATTAGTACATATCTATGAAACATGTCAAATTGACAATTTCATTTTAAAAACTATACATTTCTAAAAACAAAAACGTGAATTTCATGTAAGTAGCATCATATTTGATGTCAATCGTCAGTATTTATTGTAAATATTCATTTTGACACCAACAAATAAAAACAGGTAGTTGAACTAACCAAATTCTCGCAAGTCATTTTAACGAATCCAATCGATTTGCTTTCTTTCTTTTTTTCTCTCTTTTCTCACCGTCAGACTCGGAAATCGAAATAAAAAAAATTCGAATATCTAATGAAAATTTCTTGATTTTGTTTTTGCTTTCTGAGTCTCATTCGACATGATTTTTATTTTACTTTTTTGTTATCCACATTGAAGTTATTTTCGGCTCGTAATCTATGGTAGAACGCGATGTCACGTAGCAACAATACTCTTGAATCATTGACTGAGCCTCTGAATATATTCGACCACCGTGATAAATTGAACATGTTCTTCTCCAGACTTCAATACTATTTAAAGCACATCTATTCTTCCGTTTTGATTTCGACAGGAAAAGCTTTCTTAATTTTTTGAACTTTAAATTCATTAAATTCTTGATGACTTCAGAAATATCTTGAAGAAGCTTGAAGTTTATCTTTCTCGGAAAAGACAATGATGAAAGTTATAAATTCTTTTTAGTTAAGTTTATGTCTGTTATTCCTCTAAACGAAACCACCTGTTCGCTCATTTTTCATGTTCCCTATTTGCGCCTGAACCTTAAATTACACTCGTCTAACCGGAAATGTGTAAAAGGCATGAATATATCGTGTCTCTGTAGTGGAATATTTATATTGTTTTAATCACATTCAGAAATGACTGAAGCTATTTTAACACAACAAATGAAGGGTTGGTAAATTGTTCTTCTGAAGACGTTACAAAAACTTAGTTTTCGATAATGAAAAATCCAAGGAATAAAGGTTAAGACATCCAGAGGAAAGCTTCTTTCAGAAAAACTCAAAGCCTTTCAAATTCTTTTCCATCCAAAGCCATCATTATTTTTTAGTTTGAAGGTTCTGCCTCCTTGAAAATGACTTTATTGTTAGTAAATTTAACAAGAAACAATGAAAACAGAATTTTTGAAGACAAGAATTTTTATTCTTGGTCGACATTTGCCGGATGACGTAGATCACTGAAGGCAGTGGTGCGAGACTCCCCAATTTCCCATTGTGTTCTTCCGTGATGGTTGGAGGGAAGATGACACCTGAAGAAAAAATGAAGGCATTACTGGGTAAGAAAAGTTCTTCAAACAACTAAACATATGATGTTATATTTCTGCTTTTTTTTGTTCTTCAACTTTTATGATCATCATAATAAAAAGAAATTTACGCTTTTATGAAACTCTTACGTTTACATTTTGCTTTTTCTCACTCGTGGCATATCTCACATAAAAGTCTACATACATACATAAAATGTAAATTACTCTGCCTATCTTTCTTATATTTTTTCCATTTGGAAATCTGTTTCATTCTTCCCTAGTTTGCACGATGTACGTTAGATTATAATCAAGAGAAAGAAGAAAAATAAGAAAAACAAAAAATGATGTCGAGCATGGAGCATGGAGCGGCACGCGACTACCATAGCGTAACCGTATTTGATAAAATATTTTATATGTTATTACTATTATAATTATAATTCTCTTGACTTCTTCTTCTCCTACTTTTTGTTCATTGTCGACGTATTTCCTTAGCTACTTTATTGCGCTTCTTTTATTATGAAGAGTTCAATTTAAAAAAAAAGACAAATTTGTATGTGTTGGAATCTTTGTGCTTTATGAAGACTGAAACATAACTTATGAAAGGAAACTACGCTTGTTATTCAAGATGTTCTTTAGTTTTCAGAAAGCATACATAACAACAGAACTTTGCTTTTATATTTAAGCCCCTCAACTTTTTATTTTTTCACAATTTACTTTTTTTCATCATTTTCCCTCAATTTCATTCAAACTGTGATGTTCCTTTTTAAATTTTCATTTTGTACAGTATTTGCTTTTTATTATTTTTCGTTACGGTTTTTTGATTTCGTCTTTTCTTCTTCTTCTAATGTTATATATGGCATTAATTTAATAGTTTTTGTTTTCTGACATCTCCATCTCACTTCCTCTTTCAATGTACATTACTGAATAATATGTGGCATGGATAAATGGTAAATTTGTGGGGAGCAGTAAGTTAGTGTTTGTTAGTAGATAAAAAAATCAGTAATTAACAATCAACAAATGTAAATCTTATTTAAGCATTTTTGAGCCGTAATTTTTCGTTTGCGATGTTGATATCTAACAAACCTTTTAGATGAAAGAAATCAAAGTTTTGTCAATCAAATTCGCCGATCTTCGTTTTCTTGTTACATTTTTGATATGAACATTTGACTAAACAATTAATTTATGCTTGACGTAATTGTTTACCAGATAATTTACATCACTGATGAAGGAATCCCATTACTTTTAAGTGGAAATGTTTTAAAAAGCTGGATGTTTAAATGAAATTTATTCACAAATTTTTTTTCTGTCGTTTCCTCTTAGAATCAGTTTGAGTTAATGAACTTTCATATGAGTCATCTCCTACATACACATTTGAATTTCTCTTTCATTCAATTGAAAGTAAAGCATGGAAATTACGTTGAAATCAGACCACAAACAATATTTACGTCACATTGCCATCAGAAATTAAATTTTTAGCATACTCAAATATATTTTGTTTTTCTTTTAATTTTATATCAAAACATACGCTTCGTAATAGAAGCCATTTTCATTTTAATAAATAAAATTCATTTAATATGATCATAAAATTTAATATTTTATATTTTGTAGTGACGCTAATGCTGAATTATTTATAAATTCGAATCTTAAGTGAAGCTCACATTTTCAAAATTTATTCAACTTTCGAGCTTTACATCACTGAAAATATTTATTTGAAATTAGATTGTAAGCTCTTATTAAGTCAGATGAAATGGAATCCGGAAAGAGTTTTGATAATAAAAGGCAGAGTTTGAAGGAATACAAAGAAATGCCAAAGCTGAACTTTTCAAAATTCCTTGTAAGGTTCAAGTTATCTAAGTAAAAAAAAGATTTTTCATTGATATTGAAGCTTTCCTATGTCGTTTGCCGAATCTGACTCATGATCAGTGATCAGTGATCACACAACTAAATCATTTTTCCACTATTCATGCAGAAGACTAGAATGTCTGAAATATATAAGAAATCTGTGTTGAAAACAGCTAAGAAATCTTCAAAACTTTTGCTTGATTATGTGAGAATTCCATAAGAGTTAAGTCCAAGAACATTGTTTGAAGTTCAAAGATTTTGCGGTCAATGAATATCTAAAACTATTCACATATCAAGATATCTCTAAATGTTCATGCTCTAGAATTTTTTTAGTAACCTCAGAGAAGGCAAAGTAATGGTCAGTCACTTCTGTTTTCCCACACCCATAACATACGGAAAAAACCTTCCTCGTTAACACACACCTTTCGACGCAATCAACATAAAACGCGAAAGGGATTTTTCCTTGACGTAGTTTCACGGTTATTAACAATCATTTATAAACTAAAGTCATAAACAAATAGGGAGAAAAATCATATGTGGCGTGTATTCAAGCTGACCCAAACCATTTTCCCATAAAGTTCACGGTGCAATTGCTTCCCTCTCGAAATGTTTTGTCGGTGGCATAGTTTATGAATAGTTTTTTATATCAAATCTCGATTTAAATTTTCTTTTTTTTCGCGTGTTACCTGTTGAGTAAAATGTGTGCGAGTAACGACACTTTTTTCCGGAACAGAATGTTTTTTTTTCAATAATCAGGAAATGAATAAATGACATTCATTTAATATCATACATAAAGTGAAAATACTTCAATAAATATAAAAACTGAAAAGATTTGAAGAGTTGGCTTTCAGCATTTATCTGTTAAACTGTAAGAATATAATTAAGAAAGAAATCATCATATCTGCATGTTTATTTTGCATTCCATGTTTGTTTACATGATTGTTCATTCAAGTGATATCGAATTTTGGTCAAAATCATTTAAATATTATGCTCGAGAAAAAAGTATAATAAGGTCTTCCCAACATCGCTTCACATGTAATTCTGCATCGATTAACGAAAACGAAACAACAGCAAGTGCATCCAAGTGCATTTAAGCGCGAAAAATTATGATGTTGGCGTGTGCGCTGTTCGCCGCTCGATATAGAAAAAGAATACACTTTATGGTTGGTTGGCCTAATCGTCTCTTAGCCTTGTGTCCGCAGCACAATTTGGTGCACTTGCAAGTTCAGGTACATTTATGCATGCCTAGACTAGAGGTTATATTTAAATCTATTTATTGAAACCTGCAACTAGTAAATAGAAGATTATTACGAGCTCTAACATCGGACGAAAGAACAGCTATAGTCAGTTTTTATTTTATATTGAAATCTCAATAACATCATCGGCTTATTCCTGCAGGTGCTCTAAACTTCTACTTTTCTTCTTTCTTCTTTTGTAGAAAGAAAGCAAAAGCAGAGACCAAAAAGCAATGAACGATCATTACTGAAATCAAAGAAGTTTGTTTTGAATCAACTAAGACTTTCCGTTGCTTTTGCTGCTGCTCTCCAATTTGCCTTAAATGCTTTTTATTTTTCTTTCAGCGCTTCAGTTCTTTAGATTTTATTGTCTTGAGTTCTTTACCATTTCTTTCATAACTTTATTTAAGCTTATGTTTTCGCGTTTTACAATTCACAATGAAATCAACAACAAACAGAATTATTCATAATAAAAATTGGAACTGTTTACACTTATCATTTAGAATCGGAACATACCTATTTAGAAAGTGTGAGCTTTATTTTAAATTATTTTTCAACTTTTAATCAAATCAAATTTCTTTACTTTCCTATTTAAAAATTTTAAATCAAACCAGAATTTTTCTTTTTTTACTTTTTCTTACAAGAAAGAAAGAAAGAAAAGAAAATTGTTTTCATTGAAAGAAATCTTGTAAGATCAAAACATTGACTTATTTAGAATGAAAAGTAGAGTAAATTTAAGTTTTTATGAATGAACCGAGAAGAAATTCTGATACAAAGAAATAAAAAACGTGAATTGGATTTTTTATTGACTTGCCAAGTCTTTATGATCTTCTTTTTTCTTAAAAGGCTTTTGTGTAAGATTCTCACTAAAGGTACCTATTGATGGTTTGATTTAAAACGGAAAAAGATTTTACTTCGGTCGAACTGGAAAATGAACACAAAAAGTATTTATTTTTATACATGATGATTTACGTATTGCTTAGGACTTGAAAGTTTACGGACCGAAGTTTGAAACACATTTTGACTTAGCTTTAATCAATATAATGTTCGATTTCTGGTAACATTTAAAGAATTTATGGAATGTGCGGGATTGATGAGCGTGTGAGAATCTAAAATAAGATTGAGTTCTAGGATGAACCTTGATGATTTCTGTTGTTACTAATGAAATCTATTGTTGTCTTTGCGTAATCAAATTATTAAAAATCATACTTTTATCAAATTCTTTTATCTTAAAGAAATAAACTTTTGGAAATACAATGGAGTAATTTTTAGCACCGTGTTGCTTACATAAGGTATCATTTGTAACGCATGGAGAAGTCGCGCTTCGCTAGGAAAACAACTCTAAACAGACAATCTTCGTCTGCGCCAACAGCTAACGACTGTATGAAAAGAGTCACGGAATATAAAAGAATTACAAGAAAATTACCTTCTTAGCATTGTAGCGAGAATACTCGGCGCAAAGCCACTTTGCAATTTAATTATTTATGAGTCGCGTGCTTAATTTTTACAACAAGAACAAAAAGTATAAGAGTAAAGTACTAACAAAAATCGCTTGTAGAGAATAATCCACTACCAATTTCTTCGTGATTACTCATAAATGCAATAATTTATTTAGGTACAAGAATATTATTTATAGAAAATATTTTGAGATTTTTATTTGATAATTTTTCAATATTAACTCATACATTATTTACAAAACTTTCTAATGAATCTTAATTTAAAATAAAAATAATGATCCCATCGACAAGAAATTTCGAAAATTGTCTTATCAGCGATTAATAAATATTTCATAAGATGACCTTAAGTAAAACAGAAAAACGCCTATCGACATTCAAATTGTAATGAGCTTTAGGGGTTGCAGCAGTGTTGAGTTTTTCTTTCGAGTCACGAGTAGCAGAAAACACTTAGATCAGCAGTCTTTTCCTTGAAGTCTTTTTTGACATGATTTCAGGTCTCAATCAGTTGAGTTTTCATTTCGTTTTCAGTGAAAAATATTTTGAGATTGTCTGACATGAATTGTCTTCCATATGTTTTTTTATTGGGAATATTGGTACTGAATGATCGCTAGGAAGAAGAAGAACGAATATACACAACAAAATCAAAGCAAAACAAAAAACTCACTTTAACAAAAATAAACTTTAAATTTATTTAAATAAGTTTTAAATTAACATCCCTGGCTCTTTCAAAGTTATAAAGAAAATTATCAAATTAAAGAATCTGCAATTAGATATACGCAAATTTATCTTTAGGTTATATTGTTAAAATAAAATAAAATAAAATTCATAAATTATGACTACAGATCCATACAGCACATACTTACAACTATAAGTTGAGCAAACAATGCATAGGTGGAAGCTTTGGTGTTACCAAACACAATGATGTAGAATTTTAAATGTGTTTTAATTTGCTTTTCCTTGGTGTTGGTAATTTAATAGCAACATTAAGTTAGTTATATAAAAAGAGATCAACAATCCTTATGGCAAGCAGATATGGAATAAAAAAGAAGAAGCGACATGACTAAATCTCTTTTTTAACTAAATTTCAACTTTAATAGGCAAAAGCATACATTCAGAAATGATCACACAACTGCGATCTTGTACCTTACATATGTGTAGAGTGGCATAGAACTTAAAACATAATAAAAAACAAGTAGATATTCTTCAGGTGTAGTAGCAGTAAGTTGAAAGCGATAAAAGGGGGGCGCCGATCGCATATCGTCTCTAAACGAAATGAAGGTAATAATGAAAGAAAAGAGACGCAAACGACAAAAGACGGAGGGAATGAAAGAAGTAAAGCACGAGAAAATCAGCCAATCGTGGAGATAATTAGGGGTGGAGCTTTATCTGAAGCTTCTTTTTTTACTTGTATGATGATCGTGAAGATGATTTTTTTATTGTTGTTCAGCGGAAATGATTTTTTGGGGATTTCTCAATGTTACTTTATGATTAATTGCAATGAATTTTGGTATATTGAATGTCGATTGTATGGGGACTTTGACGGTTTTACGCAAACAAATTTGAAGTTTTTATGTTTAAAAATGTTTACCGTGCTTATTGAAAAAAGTTGAGTCATAAGCTGATCAGAAAAATTACCTTGAATAAGTCAATGACATGAAGCTAAATGTTTCCTTCCAGCTTGGAAAATAGTTGAAGGAATTGGCATTTAGGAGAAATGAAAGAAATGAAAATGTAATTAAAGATGATCTTATTTTAAGATCAGAGTCGCTCTTATTTTTAAGTAACTTCATACTTTTTTGATGTTACTTTTGTATACTTTATTGAACTCTTCGTAACTCAATTCACGAATAAACTTTTGTTATTACATTTGAATTTAAAAAATAATAAAACTCAATTTTCCACCCATACAGAAAAAGTTTTTCAATATTAAATAACATTTTCATAGTCAACAGCTCTTTGTATATCTACTGAAGAATAACATTTTAAAAGCTATCAACACACCTTTACCATTTGTTATTCATTCTACATACCTTTACATTACCAGACTCAATACAACGACATCAAATGATGAATAAAAAATTGTAATTTAATTCTTCAGAAACAAAAAACGTGAAAATGCTCCGAAGAGTTTTCGATCAACAGTTTTATGTGAGAGTTTGAGGCTTTGAGTCGGTAGCATGGAACAGTGAATTCGCACTTAGCGTTTAAGATATAGAACCGCGAAAACAGTGTCTCTTTTGTAAAAAATAAAAATAAAAACAAAGGAAAAATATTCAATAAAAAAAATCAAATGCCCAGTAAATATAATCAAATTAAAGACAAATACAATATGCTCAAGGATAAATCACCAACAACTGAACAACTCAAAAATATCGAATCTTGTGAAATTTTATTGTGACAAAATTATTGCTTATGCTATTTAAGTAGAAAAAAAATTAATTCAGCAGAAAAACGAAACTTAAAAAGTTGTGATCGTCGAAATTTTGAATAAATATTTATTAAAATATTTAACAAGGAAAATTTTTACACAAAATAATCATCAATAAAGGAAATTTTAATAAAGAACGGTTAGTGTTTTTAAAAGAAAAAGATTTCAATCAGTGCTTTGAAGAGGAACCTTTAAATTCATCATCACCTTCTTTTATACTTTATGTTTTATCATGGATTAATTAAAAAAAAATATGAAAAAGAAATAATCCTTTGTTCCCTTCATTTGAGTCATCTAATTTATTCATGAAAGTTTAAAATCTTCTTCCAGTCTTGGAAAACTTAAATGAAAATTTTAATTCTCATGCATGTTTATCTTTGAACTTAAAATATTTCTTTTAATCAATCCTACATTTAAAACTCCAATTTTACTTCCCAAACAATTCGCAATGAAAATTAGCTTAAAAATATTTCTTCAATTATTATTTATGACATCTTCGAATGTCGCTGATGTGTAGGTTAAATGATCAGCATGGAACTGCAACCAGCTGTTCACATGCAACAGCACTTGAATCACGGTCATCAGTCGCATCACAACGATTTAAATATCTACCAGCATCAAATGACAAATATTAATAACTCAAATGGCGAGGAAAAGAATAAAAGTAAGTGTCAAGTTCATGACTTTCCCTCCAAAGAATACCTAACGATAGTTCCCACCGTTTTTATAAAGCCTTAAAGATAAAAATTTCTTGCATTTTTAATTTCCGTAATTTAAAAACATAAAAAGAAGGCAACGACATCAACAAATTTTTACTTCTTTTTCCTTTCACAAATTCCGTTAAAAATTTTAAGAAATTCCCTTAAAAAAGGAGCAGACGAAAGTCAAGAAAACGGAGTAAGAAATATCGTCGTGAAAAATATTATAATAATATAATGTAATGACCATCGACAACAATTTCGTTTCTTCAACGAAATGAACATGCGACTAACAGGAGAAATGACCTCAATTTTATTAGAGGTAAATGTGCGGGGACACGAGAATAAAGAAGAAGGACTCGTCTCCTTGATTGTTGATGCTACTGGGTTCTGATAATCTCACATAACTTTTTTCCTTTCCTTCTTCGTTTTAAACTTGCCGTCAGACCATCTGGTGCCGCGCTCGATTCTCCCTCGATGTACCTGTTGCCGCATGCTTAAAATTTAATAATAAAAAAATATATTCAACGGTTGAAAAAAGGTAAAAACACAAGGGAATGTTAAGTGAGAAAGAGGGAGAGAGAGAGAAAGGGAGGGGGCGAGAATAACTTTCTCGACAACCAACGTAGACGAAACGAATAATGAAGAACAATGTATGTATAAAAGTTACAAAACTGAACTGAAAAACAGGTGGAATCTCGATTTAATTTCCTTTCTTTCGTTGTTTTCATATAATTTTATTTTAATGCCTTCTATGAACTTTCAGTCCATTCACCAAAGAAATTCAATGAAAGATCAGTTCACCTAGGAATTCAAGTGAAATAAAGTAAAATTACGTGATTATATTCAAAGTTTTATCTGAAGGAATTTTATTTGCTATGGATTGGATCAATTTTGTGATTCAATAGAAGTTTGTCAGTAAGAACTAATCAACTTGGAACTGTTTAAAGAACTTTCTTAAAATGTTTGTCTTCATGGAACTGAATTTAAATATTCTTAAGTAGGAATTTGAAATTATTTCCCTTTTGACCTTAGCGAAACAACGAATTTCATGATATATTTTCCCATTCAATTTCTATCCCTTTTTCATTCTTTCTCTTCTTGGATTTCTCTGGCAGTCATTTCTTTTGTCCGTTTTTTGTAAATTGACGGCTTTTATTTGCGGGGACGGGAATACCAGAAAGACAATGCATAATAATAAAAGTTAATTTGTAATTTTAATTCACATTTTTTTAATATAATTTTATTCATTTTCCTCCTTTCCGTTGCTATTAAAAACATGCTCGGGAACATGTGAGCAAAGTGTGTAATGTCAGGTTGGCAACGCGGATAGGGAAGGCAAGGCAAGACAAGAGTCCGCGCGCAAAAGAAACAAGGGAAATAACGACTTTAAACACATAAGAAAATTTCATTTCCGGTCATGACTTGAACTGCGCTTCTGCATTTAACTGCATTTTATGTTAATTTATAATGTTTTTGTAATTTTATAGTAAATATTACCCTACAGTTATTTAAAGAATATTTATCATTACGAGGACCAACAAAAATCAAACAAAGAGAATAAAAGCAATGAAATGACTAAATAGTAATTGAAATTGTAAATGTTAACGAGTACTTGAAACTGCAGATTTCTTCTAATTTTTTTCTCGTTTTTTATCTTCTTTTGTATACTTAGATGATTCTCATAACAGCCAAGGGAGCTTATCTGGAGAAGGTGAGTACAATTATCTGGTTCAAACATATATAATTTAAGTTTTAACCGCGATTTAAAATCGCCTAAATCGGTCTACTTGACACAAAAGAAATCTGCTTATCGATCAAAAAACAGTTTGTTGTGCCTCAGAACCTGTTGAATACGGTAGCGAAACATTGAGCCATAATCAATGAGAAAAACGACGAGAGAAAATAATATTTTCAGGCAATCACGCTTTCCAATAAAAATTAATCACAAAATTGATTTTCTTTTCTTTTTTTCCTCTCTTGCAATGTTACGTCGACAAAATTTTAAAATAAGAAACTTGCAGCTAAACCTGCAGCGATAAAAAAAGAAAGATTCGTCTCGTTAATTGTTTTGTTTCATTCAAATTTCCTTGTAATTCGAAAGACATAAGACTGACATAATTCTCTATTTAATTATATTTATTTGAGAATGTTTTTAGCTTCAGAATAAATCCTACAAACTGTTAATGTGTTAATGCCAACACTTTTTTATTTAAAGCTAAGCAAATATTTCCGTATGCACAATTTATTCAATCATTCAGAGTAAATACAAATTCATTGAACAAAAAATCAAATGAGAAGGTTATTTTACTGTAAAGTAAAGTTAGGTAATTGTAAGAGAAGCGAAAAGAACGATTTAGAATTACTTCAACATAAATATTAACTCTTGATTGCGATGCTTGAAAAGGATTCACATGAAGAATTATTAAAAACTTTATTGAATTAACAATAATTTCATAAATCATCATTTTCATGTTGTGTTCTGTTAACGCTGATAATTAGAAAGAAGCAAAAGTGTGACATAACAAGCTTGAAATGAAGAAATTTGTGAAAGTTTTTCTTCTCCACCTATTCAAGAATCATTCCAATAAAACATTAAATATTTAAAAGTAGCCAATGTGAAGACGATTCAGTCATTTTAAATTAAAATTTAAACACTCAAATTGAATTTCCGTTGACTGTACTTGACTCACACGTCACCTGAATCAAATTGTTCTGTTCTGAAAGCGAAATCGTTGACCGACAAGAGACATAAAACGATAATTTAAGCTCAACAACAAAGAATCTTCCCATTTTCGTTTTCATTACCAATTTTATGGAAATTTTCTCAGAATTGTTTCGAGTTTCTTCGTCAGATGAATTAAATCGTTTTTATTCCGACAGAGTTTCTTGCTAAGCGAGTTTTTTCTCCATGCTTTTGTTCGGTCATCGGTGGTGGCCTTGAACTAAAGTTTTATGATTGAACTTAATGATCTTATCTACTATGAAAACAGCTTTAAGGAAAATGAGAGAGAAAATCATCGATGAAAATAGTTTCTTCCAAAACGAAATGCTTTTGAGTTTGCTTCGAGTTAAATAAAGGAAAAAAAAACTCAGCATTTCAATCGAGAATTTTTGTTCGTCGCATTCAAATAAAATCAAAAAAAAACTTAACTCAATGCTAGAACAGAATATCGAGACAATTGTGTGAACATTTCCCAGAGCTGTCGCGCTTAGCCGGCATTGTCCGTAAGTAGACATATACGGGGAGATCGTGAGCAATATGGGGAGAGACAAAGAAGGAACATTCTGTAATGCGAGAGAGTAAGCGAAACTCAGGCCGGAAGAAGCTTTTGATAGTCTCTTTTATTTTGCAATTCTTCGTTTATTTACGACGAATTTTTGTTTGATTGTTTGCTTTATTTTCCAACTTCTTAATATTTAAATCTGTTTCTAAAAAGAGGGAAAGGGATAGAGAGGGATAGAGAGGGAGAGAGAGAAACATCCAGAGGCAAGCGATGACCATTTAATTTAATGTCAAATTAAGTGATTACGTTTCTAGCATTTTGTGAACAGTTTTAAAAGCAGACGATGATTTTAAATAATAAAACCTCCACCAGTTAATCTTTCAAACTATTCAGGTGCATTTATTTATGTTGGGGGTTTTATAAGGAATTTTAATTCGATCAACTAAATTTGTAATCTCTAATCTTGTTGAGATTGTCTCAGGTTTCATTTTAATACTTATGTGAAGAGAGATTTAAAAATTTCTTTCTGATGTGTCTGATGTTCTGTGGACTTCAAATTTCTTTTTCATATGACTTGTCATTAATTTCACTTCAGATTTTAAAAGTGATGGTGATGAAAAATGACTATTACGTCATAACATGGAATACTTTATATTTTTCAAATTTTTCTGGTTTTCAAAATTTTAAATGAAAATAAACCATCAACCCTCGATCCAATCTGATTTGAACGAACCCCTTTTTCCAATCTTATTAAAATTACTTTTGAATATTCCAAATCCCTTGACTTCTGACATTTAATGGCATCACTTCACCAATTCGATCCAATGAGACATTCATGTTTGTAAATATCTGTAATAACATTTAATGTTTTTGTGGGGGAGTGTTTGAAACTTTCGCTTCACTCTTGTCCTATGTTCATGCATGTTCATATTTATTGTAAAGGACATTATGGTTAGATGAACATGAGGTAGAGTTTTTCCAGAGATGTTGGAAAAGCTAAATAAATATCAGGATAATGATGGTAAAAATTATGTGTAAAGGTTAAAAATATAAAAGAAAATTTATTTTAGAATATTTTGTCTTGAAATCTTGAATCCTAAATCCAAAAACTGTTTTGGAATAGCCAATTTCGATCTCAATCTTTGCTTCTCATACGTAACTAAATAACTTGTGATCACATATTACAAACATTTTTCTATTAAATTTGTAAAAAATAGCTTCAATGTAAAATTACTTGTGAGAAGACTCTACAAAAACACTAACTGTGTTCAAGCTTTAACAGACAAAAAAGAGGATATTTTCAAAAGTTTTATCACTTTCTACTTTTAATAGACATAAAAAAGCTTTTGTTTCATTTAAAGTGAAAAATCAGGAACATTTTGTGTCAATTTTCATCTTTCTACAATGTCTGGTTATTCCGACATGTTTCGATTGACGTCATAGATAAATAATCCACTGAATATTACAGTCTCTTCCTTCTCGTTCTCCTCGCCTTTCTGCTGTTGTGTATAAAATTCAGTTGCTATCACAAAACGATAAAAAAAGAGCATATTTTGGCAGAATTGGTTTTGGAATCACCGTACCGTGAAATATACAACTTCTTTCCTACACTCTTCCTCTCTCCCTCTCAACGTTCCCGCATTTCGAGGTATCGCAATCTCTGTGTTCTGGTTATGGAATCAGCAACAAAAAGTTGAACAACTCAATTTTTACCGAGAAAAAGCGAAATGATTTTCTGTTCCCATCCACCTCGCACGAAACCCGTCAACTGACGAATGATGATGACAAATGAAACTACAAAAAAGATTCATCCAGAATGTGCTACAATGTCAGAAAAGATCACAAAGCGACAAAGAAAAGTTCTTTAGTATGAAATTAAAATTTGAGAATTGTGCGAAAAATTAGGGAAGAATTTTTAATGATTTCCAGAAGTCAGAAGTTCTTTTAAAGCACCGTCAAAAGTGGTGCAGCATGTGTGGGATGAAGCACTAACGATGTGGTAATGACGCAATTATTATGTGTTGGAGAATCGCGTCTCTGTGATGTCTCGTCGTCACTATATCATCATGAGAACTTCTTCAACATTGTTTCTATAAATATTTTCACTTTCGAAGCATTGAAAATTTTTGTTTTTGTTTTCGTTCTCACAATGATGCGATTTTAGTCACGAATTTCCCGGAGATAACTTTTCGTAACCAAATCATGCTGAATTGTTAAATGATTTTGCAAATCGTTGCCTCGGGAAGACGCGTGAGCATGGTTGAATACTTAAACAAACCTTCCGGTACGAAGATATTTACAGCATTATGAATTTCTTACGTTGATTACCGTACAGCGAAGATTAAATAAGAACCAATTCGTGGATTTGAAAATTGTTCATATCCGGATCGTATGCATATTCACTCAGGCCGATGTTACATTTTTAAAGAGTCAATGAAATTCTTTTTCAATCGATAAAGAAGAACAAGAAACAGAAACCACAAGAGAAATAAAAGTTGAATGATTCAATAATACTCGTAAAATATTGAAATATTTGTCAAAATCATAAATCCTTGTGAGATGTAAACACTTTCATATAATGATTTTAGAAATTTTACTCAGCTTTGTAACAGAATCTGTAAAACGAAATTCCTAAAAAAATGTTAAACTTGATAATGTTCCCAACCTTTCTTGTTATCGTTCACGAAGAATGATTCTTTCATTTACCGCGAAGCCAAATTGAGGCAAGAAATTTTGTAAAAATTCTTCGTTTAATTCTTCCGATTCTTTCCCCTCCTCATTTAAAGCCATAACCCGAATCTTGAAAGGGAATCCCAAGTGCACGTATTAACAAAACCGCAACACTTCTTCCGCTTTATGATTGCATTTTGTTTCTTTCTTTTAGTCTCCCTTTCGAAGTTTTGCTTTTTCTTCTTTTCACTGCACCTTGCATTGCAAGGTAAATAAATTCTCAATGAAATACTATCATAAGCATCGTGAATTTCGATTCCAGAGCTTGAATGAAGTCAAGAGAAAGCTGCTTATTATGTATCCTTCAAATTATTCGATTTTTCTATCGTTTTTCAAGGACTTCGGTTATGGTTGGTGGTTATTGAACGTCTCTCGCCCCATGCTACTAAATAAACATGACTGGAAAAGTGAACGAAAATTCCATCGAACAGTGCCGCCACGCATCCGTGAACAAGTGAGTGGATGAATGAGCCGTTTTCACGGTTTCAGAAGAAGTCGATGTTGATGGCTTTCGACGACCTGTAGCTTTAAAGAAACTTTTTTTTCTATTTCTTTGAGAATGAAAGTCGAGGTTATCGATCGAATTTTCACTCATCAATTTTATGCTTGAGAAAATGAAAAAAAAAATCAGTCTAAACCAAAAGGTTTTCTTGCGTCATTTGCGCAGGTTATTTCGATAAGATTTACACTGAAATATTGTAATTTTTATGGTTGTTTTTGTCAGAAACCTTTCTTTTTCTTTCACTCTCTATTTTGTCTGTGCTATCATAAAAGAATACTCACACAAAAAGATTCAAAGGATTTTTATCGTTAAAGTAACCTCCCATAGCACAATCTTAGATTTTCTTATCATACTTTAACTTCCTCTCGATTAAATTCTCTCGCAAGCTTAAAACGTCGCAACCCTCGTCAAGGAATTTTTTTCATCCCGTTACGACTCGCCTTTTACCTCTTCAACCAATCGCATGCTTTTCCTTAGATAGAAACGTAAGTGAAAATGAAACAAGCATGTCAATATGGCAACAGTGTAAAAACTTCATTTATTTAAGGATATGAAAGAATATAGAAAATTTCCCGCATGAAATTGCCCACCGAACGATCCGATAAAATACTTTTTCGCTTGCACTGTGATTTTGCTCTTTCTTTCAAATATCTAAGCGTGTGAAACCAGGCGGAGCCAAACAGCATCAGTCAAATAAAAATAAAAGAAGAATGTGTGGATGCAAGAGTAAAACGTCGTCTTCGACATGAGATGAAAATTAAAAGAGAATAGCGTTTAAAAATATGCCAGATTTGTGGACAGACAAAATTAAAAAGGCAAATTTCAATAAAATCGAAAGCGAGATATTCTAAGGAAATTATTTTCTTATAAAAATTTCACTTAATGCGACTCTGAATGTCTTGAAAACCTTTTAATTTCTTGAGTAGAATTCACAGTGAATATCCAGTTATCAGTTCATGCTTTACGATGAACGTATAAAATCCTCTCCCGCTCGAATTTTCTTTTCTCAGATATTTTCGATTTCTCGTAGCTTAGGTTGAAAACATACAAACTCACACACACATGCATACGCAAGGAGATAATTCTGCAGTAACACTTCACGGGTTGGCTGATTTCTGACGTCAGATTGTGTTTGTGTGAAAAGTTTTTTTCCTTTCCCTTAGACTTAGCCCCAAAAATTAACTGTTAAAACCGCGATTTGTTCCATTTTCTTTAAATGCCTCCCGAAATTCCTTTCTTCACAATCTATTTTGCCCTTTTCAACTGCTCACATTCACCGTCATACACGCTCTCACTCACCCTTTTTGCATTACTCTCGTGTTTCTTTTTCATCTTTTAGCTGCTGTTTTGTGTTTCTTTGGGTTTGCTTTTTTTTCAGTTTTAGTCACACAGTCACACAGCATCCCTGAAAATTTCGCAGAGTGAAGAAAGGAAAATAAAATTATTAAATAAATGAAAGATTGCGAAACAAAATAAAGGGTATAAAGAAGATTTTCCCCAGTTTTCAAAAATATATTTAAACTCGATTAAAACAAAAATTAAAAGAAGTAGATAACATCGAATAAGAAAACTTAAATTATTTAATCTTGAAATAATCTGTGTGTCATTTGCGATGGAAGAATCAAAATGAAACTTGGATTTTGATAGTTTTATCTGTTTCTAATTAATAAAAAAACTTGAACCAAAGCATGATGAAGTGAAATATTTACAAAAGAAGGAAAAAAGTTTCATTAAAGGAAATCGGGAAAGCTATAATTAAAAATTATATGCAAACTTTTAATGGTCTTCAAAAGTGTTTGTAACGAGTGTGGAATCGGGAACTTGTGCAATTGTTAAGATTTGAGTGTTTTAAAAATACTTTTTAATAAAAATGTATAATAAGAGAAACAAGAAAACATGATAATCCTAACTAGATAAACTTTTAATTAATTTTATGGAAAACAAGCGTAAATAATTGTGCAAATAAAATTTACAAATTATATCTTGTAAATTGAATTATTTAAAGGATGGATTTATCGACAGCATATCGTTATAATCAAAATATGATGGAATATTATACTTGTGAGTTCATCAGATAATCTTAATCATTCATTGTTTCATGATTAATGTAAAGAATTTTTATAATTATGTTTTTTGCTTTCATTTGAATATTTTTCAACAATTTTACATCAATTGTTATAAAATCAAACCAAATATATCTCTTACATAGCACTTTGGAAAATAAGGAGAATCTCATTAAATTTACTTCTTGAAATCATCAAATTAAATAAGAGAAAATCGAATAAAAAAAATATTTCCCCAAAAAACTTTGAATGAAAGTGATATCGTTGAGTGAATTAACTTTGTCTTTCCCGCTGGTTTACACGTTTCTTTAAATCCGAGGAAAATTTGAAGAAAATCAGCGCCATTTTGATTTTTTCATCTTCCCCAAACTCCCAATACAAGCTTAGAAAGAAAATGATAATCAAGGGTGGAAATACGATAGAGGGTGGCTCGAAAGAAATGATCCAGGTTTAAGGGGTGGTCGAGCTTAGAAAGAAGAAATTCTCGAGGGTTTCTCTTTTTCGCTCACGCAGCAGAAAATGTTTCGTCTTTTTAAAGTTTTCTTTCGATTGAAGTTTGAAGGAAATTAAACAGCCATGACATGGAGAGTTGGGGGGGGAAAGGAGATGGATTTGATGGCTGCTCAAATATTGATTTGTCTGTAACGATTTCTATACCATCAAACATTCCTCCAAATTTTGATTTTATTTTCATTGAATGCATTCCTTTCTCGATTATTAAGAACTTGTTTACTAACATTTTTATGATGTGATGAATTAGCGATTTATGTTGAACAACAGCAAAATGTGAATGCATTGTTAATAAAAAAAACTTTAATTAGTCTAAATTAATTTTATTTACAAAATATTTAAAGAAATTCAACTTATTATTATTCAACTTCTGCTTTCTTATATCTGAATTCAAAGATATCTAGAAAAAATGCATCTGTTCAGATTTGTTTTCATTTTCACACATCTTCGCTCAATTAAAATCTTCGTGAATTATCTCAGCCTCGGCATCCTTTGCTACTTGTGATGATTTCTATACATAAATATATAATTTGAGATTTCGAGAATAATCTTCAAATGTTCATTCTCTAATGACCTGTATATAGTTTAATTAAACGCTTTTAAAGTCTCGTTTTGACAAGAATTTAAGAAATTAAAAGAGAAAGAAGGAAAAGAAATATTTTTAATTTGCATTCGAGATTGCAACATGAAAGAATCTTGAGACTCTTTACTTTGACTCATTTGCTACGTTAATCGTTTAGAACGCGATCTTTTGGCAGCTTCAACTGCCTAATGTTACTGAATGCCTAATTTATTAACTTTTACTGTTGTGACTATTTTTAAGCTAATTAAAAGTTCATTCGAAACATTGATGTGTTGATGTGTAGACAAAACTTATAAGTAGGTAATATCATAAATTCCCACCAGTATTGAATAATTGCTTTTTAATTAATATTATTACATGTTTCCGTCCTTTAAAGGCTTCTTTTCCTTTCATTCTTGGATTTGAAACCAGAGACAAGTAAACACCATAAACTTAAGCATCAAATTTCAACATCAACAAGTTACAATCATACGTCAAAAACTTTTTTTTTATATTCTGGAGACTTCAATGAAAATGTGAAGGAAAACGTGCTGAAATTTAATATTTTTGTTGACCATGAAAACGAAATATCTAATTCATATATACATTTAGTTTAAATCCCAATGAAAGGAGCGTTTAATCGTAAATAAAAGAAACTTCTGCGAATCCTCAACTTCTTAAGATTCCACAATTACCAATATGATGTAAATGCGCCAGAAAATGCCATCAGAAATTCAATAATGCTGCAATAAAAGCCTCATGATAATCTCATTACGAGACAAGGAAACAAAAACAGATTCGACAGATTGTCTGGAAATTCTCAATTCTGCGACTTGTCTGTTGTTAAACTATCAAGTGTTTCAGGGGTGCAAAATTGAAATAATTCTTCGACATTTCCAGTAATAATTTAATAAAAATCACTTTAATCATTGTTGATGTTGTTCTAAGCAGGAAAAACGAGCTAAGAGGGTGATTTTATCGGCGGTTTTATTAGCAAGATCGTGAATGGTATGATAAGGATGAAGTTTGTTGTGAAAGTGAATTGTTGGAAGGGTTTCAAGTGCTTCGCTTGCTTTCATGATCTTGATAGTGCGATATTTGAGAATTAGCGTTTCAATAGAACTGCTTCTTCAGATCTTACATATTTTTTATCATACTTAAGTTTCACAAACAGCAATGAATATTTAAAATAGACCGAATGACAGATTTCTTCAAAGATAAATATTTCATATGATTTCTCTCATTCAACCAGCAATCTAATTTGCATCGTTTCCCTTGATACTTCATATTCATCAACGTTTCCATCATTTCCACCACTCAACAGACCAAATTGCTTTCATTGAAAAACTTTGCCTTTGATGATGACTAATTTTCATCTTCCGAATTTATCTTCACTTCCTTTAATCATCACCGCGAAAATCATCACGCAAATTTATGGCTTGTAATTCACTTTGTGATGAGAACACAATTTACAGCCTATGGGGAAAAAGCTGTGCGAGATTCAGAAGGAAAAGTGCTTTAAATATTCATGGCGGAAAATGAGGATTTGTGTAAATTTGTGTAAGCAAACGTTGGAAAGAAATCTTTGCCACGAAATCGAGGATTTTTATGTTGATTTGCTGTTTCATTTAGATTTGATGTGGCACTTAAGCTATGATTATTTATCTGTCGCTCGCTCCCACTTCACTAATCCACTGAAAATAAAAGTCATCAAAAAGCTTTTTACGCAAATTGAATTTTACTCGAGTACTTCACCGCAACACTCTCTTTGCTGGTTGAGAATTGTGTGGAAATTTATTTTTGGCTTTTCATGCTTTGCTCCTCCATTTTATGAAAAGAAAATAAGAAAATTTCTTGTTACTCACCCCAAATGAACTTAGAACAAATCCCCCTTCAATCTTTAATGCAATGGCGTTTGACTATGACATTTCATTTCATGTTTGAGGTTTCCATACAAGTATCAGTTTTACGATTTAATTTTCCGCAAATCTATTTGGGGGAAAAAATGATAAAAAACTTTTCTAACTCATCGAATATTTAATAATATTATTTTATGAAATTTCACTTAATTTTTTTCTCTTCTTACTGCTTTTTGCAGGCCATGGTGGCGTCAATCAATTAGGTGGTGTATTTGTGAATGGTAAGTTTCAACTTTGAAAATGTTTCATTCTTTATTTTCAGTGATTTAAATTGAAAATTTAGAAAAATGGTAACAAATTTTTATTTAATTCTTTTCTGTACCTCCACTTGCAGGTCGTCCATTGCCAGATGTTGTTCGTCAGCGGATTGTCGAGTTAGCTCACAATGGCGTCCGTCCATGTGATATATCGCGACAATTGCGCGTTAGTCACGGCTGTGTTTCCAAAATTTTATCACGGTAAGTTGACTCATTCATCAAATTTTATATTTAGATGTTTCAAAAATAATAAAAACAACTCCATTGAAGTTTACTTTAATTTTCTAATTCAACATTCCACTCACAATATTTAATACTCTCAAATCTATTCTTCTAGTCAACAACAATTCATGTGAAAGTATTAAATTGATTATGTGATGGATGAGAGTACATTAGGTACTTGCTTAACTCGTGATTCAATTTAATGCTAAGCAAAGCGCCGCACTGAATCAGTATGCGGCAAATAAATTAATCGTTCTCCCCCGCACCGCAATTTGAATTCGTTATTTATTACTAGCACATAAGTACTGCTGTTGTGCTGGAACTTTTTCAACTGAATGCCTGTTTTGTGTAAATTTCGCTAGATATATGTAGATATTTAATTATTATTGTTGCAACTAATTAAAAAACCCCAAACAAGGATGAGAAGATTAATTTCATTGTAAAGTATCCTATTTAATTTTAACGAATTAGAAAGTTTTCACATTCAGTTGTAGTTTAAATATGTGAGTCAAGTGAATATAGAAAATTAAAGTGGGCAATAAAAAGCGTGTACGCTAAATAACCAGAAAATTCTGGTTTTGAACTTTATTTCTCTCCAAGATCGCATCTTCTTCTTAGCTTATCTGCTCAACGAATAAAATCATGTGTATGAATAAGATTACGAGATCATAAATGTTCCCAAGCATCATTAGGGTTTCTCAAACACTTTTTTAACCTCAACATTTTCCTTTTCTCACAGATATTATGAAACGGGGAGCTTTAAGGCTGGTGTAATCGGTGGTAGTAAGCCAAAAGTTGCAACTCCACCAGTTGTCGATGCGATTGCAAACTACAAACGTGAAAATCCAACAATGTTTGCATGGGAGATTAGAGATCGACTGCTGGCTGAAGGTATCTGCTCACAAGACAATGTGCCGAGCGTTTCTTCTATTAATCGGTGAGTTCATATTTACATTTTAAAGTACTGAACCTTCCAAATGAAATTATCAACAGCGAAAGCGAGACTCGATGTTACCTTCAAAAAAAATGATAATAATAATAATAAAAACAGAAGAAACTTCACAAGAAGAATAAATTAAAGAAAAATAATCCGCAATAATCGTAAATTCAACAAGCCACCGAAAAGAAAGAAAATCGCGGAGAAGAAAGAAATGAGAGTCTTGAACGAAAAACCTTCGAGCATGTTAAAAAAAGTAGCAGCAGAGGCAAAGACGGTAAAAGGAAAACGAAGATGAAGAGGGAGAAAAGTTATATTAATGAGTGTTCTGCTCCGAAAACTTTTCATTTTGCCATAAATTTTTCTTTTCTGACTTTCTGCTGTTGCTGTTTTGTCCGCCATTTCTTTCTTTGGTTTTGCGCGATTTTCTGGTGCTTTATGAGATAATCATTGTAACTCAGTTAAGCTGTGAAATACAATCGAGATTGAAATTAAAGAATCACAGTGGTGGAGAGGAGTCAAGAAGTTCTTGAACCCATCTTTTATGCAACTTTCAGGATATGATGCCGGCATTTTCCGGATTTCCTTTCTTTACTTTTTGTCTTTCAACTTTTCTTTCTGCCTTTCCATCCTGCATCGTTACGCACCAGAAATTTTGCTTTTCACTCACTGTCTTAAGGAACTGAAAGAAAAACAAAAAGAATGTAACGAAATTTTGGATTCATGTTTAAATGAATCAAACAGCAGCAGAATCCGCGTAAAAGTTTTCTTCAAAATTTTAAGGAAACGCCACACGGAAGCCGGAATTTGCACGGAAATTCTAAGCTTCAGTGAAAGGAATGAAAACAGTCATAAAAAGCTGTTTCATTTGACAGTAAGAATTAAATTGAAGTACATTAAAAATGATTTCGGCAACCTTGAACTCCAAACCCACACAATCTCGAAACGTCCATAATATTGACTGCTCGATTCAGTTGGGCTGATTCTTCCACCTTTATCTCTTGAGTGACTTCAATTGAATGAATAAACCGAAAAACAAAAAGAGAAAAAATATCACAACAAGGCCAAGTAAAAGAATGAATTTTTAAAATGATTTATGGAATGAAACATTAAAGGGAATGTTCAATTGACTGCCATCTGTATATTTATATTAGGAATAGTAAATCTTCTTTTTCATTCAAAAGGACTACGAGCTTGTCCGTTTGATGTTCCTTTTTTATAAAACAAAAATATTCTTCAAGAGCTGAAATCAATTTAAAATAAATTTGACCTTTTTTCTCTATTCTATGTAAGTGACTCAAGTCTCAAATGTGATAAAATCTGCCGACGGTAAATCACAATAGTATTGACTCACAACATGTCGATATCTTTCATACGAATCGTACTAAATTTAAAGCATATCGTTTGGGATTTACCTGATTCTTCCCTTCGAGAATTTACATTATTGTGTTGTGTTACTTTAAGAGGCTTTTAAATAAAAGAATAAAAGATTCTGTTTCATCCTTAAATGTCAACTGCAATTAAGATCTTTGTTTCATATTATTCTCTGATTTAAAAGATCTTGAGATTTGGTTTCATTGACTTTTCTCTTATAAGCTGCAAATAAGATTAACTAGTTTAACATTAATGCGAAACCTCAAGTGACTAGTTAAAAGTAAACATTTTAAAATTCTTCTATTAAATCTAATTGAAAATGGAAAAGTAAAAAAATAATCAACATACGGAAGTCGGAAGTGATTTTGGCGACGGAAAATATTTTCATAAGACTTGAGTTCAAAAAAAAGTTTCATGCTGTGAAATTGTTACGCAAACTTAATAAAAAAAATTATATCAAAATATATGTACAATAAAATACATTTTTATATCTACAACAATTAAAAGAGAAACATATTGAATGAAAATGGAAAAGAAAATTCAATGGAAAGAGTTTGGGAAAAAAAGATAAATTCTACCATTTCTCCCTAAATCCAGTGAATTATCAAAAGTAGCGTAATAATGAACTGGTATATTTGGTGAACATCTCTTTTCATGAAGTGCTTGCTCAGCAGGAGTCGACCCTTCTGAAAAGGAAGCTCAAACATTATCCTGAATGATCGAGTCAATAAAATGTAATAATAATCGTCATAATTTTCCAATGAAAGAAGAGTGTAGAAGGGGAAATTTGTTTATATTGGAAAAATCTGTAGAAGCTGAAAACTTTCAAGAAATTTAAGTGACTTAAAATTCCTTCGAATTTCACACAAACAAAAATATCAGAAAATATTTCAGATTTGTCCATTTCCAAACGATTCGATGCAATAATTCTTAACAAAAATTAAAGAATCACCAAAGTATTGAATTTATATAGAAAACAAACATGAAGTAAATATTTATTTAATGAACTAAACAATTGACTCTCTCGGAAGTGCCACTTTCAGTCCCCGGGGCTGATTTACTGCCGAAATAACATCAAAGGTACCAGAGAGGGATATAAAACGACTCTTGAAAATCTCTTTTGTTTACAATCTTTATTTCTCTTTACACGTTTATTATTATTCTGTTTTTTTGTGTAAAGCTATGACGATAATACGGCAGAGGGTCGTGAATGACTATCCAGGTGCGAAATGATGATTACTTCGGCTATTGTCTGTTGATCTTTCGATGCTCAATTGGTTTTTCGTCTGTCTGTTTTGTTTCTTTTCTTCTCGATTAGACTGTTAGACTTCCCTTGACTACTTATGCGATTTTCAAAAAGATTGCAAATAATCATCTATTAATCTGTTTGAAAATCATTCGATAACTCTAAGTATGTGTACTGAAATCTGATTGATATTTTTTAAGTGCTTTTTAGTGACATACATTTATGTCTCCCTCGCCATAACATTTTTATGGCCGATAAATCCAATTTTCCACTCGCAATAACTTTAACATTAACATGTGTAAATTGATTAGATCACAACAATAGACTTCAACAAACCTCATGAGAAAAGAAAATGAAAGTCGAATGTATCGGACAAAATTTTAATCAGCAAATAAAAATAAAATAAAATTAATTTAGTTGCAATGGTATTTAGTTGATTCGGTTACAAGACGAGTCCATCAAATATATCTCACTCAATATGTAGAGATTGAAAGATATTTAAGATATTTGCCATTTATGTACTTACTTCACCCTCAAATACTTAAAATAATAAAAATTACAACATATGTAATGATTATCTCATCATGGCAATAAGATAAAAACAATTTCCATTGAGGGGGTGGAGAAGATTGAACGTCTAATCTGTTGTTTGAAGGGTTTAGCCCTCATTTCTCGCCTTGCTAGATTAAAATGTTCAGATTGAAATCACTTGAGATGGAAATTCAAGGCACACCCTTTATCAAAAAATGTTATCAATATTGTAATGAGTGAATATTTAGTGAAAGCCTAAAAAGTTCACCGACTGATTTTTCATGCTTACTTTTAATTCCCAAATCGGCAATTTTTCAGCGGTTCACTCGAGTGAAAGTGAAGCTAATTGATTTTGTATTTCTTTTTTATCCTAAATATGTTTAAAATTTTCTGTTTGTTTTAAATTTAAAAGATTCAACAAATTTACTAATCTTTTGTTCCGATATTGACAATAATTATTGTGTAACTTGATACAATTCAATCTGTTTTTGAACTAACGAATAACGACAATCAATAATCTCACTCAAATATTATTATAATTATGTCATTATCTAATGAAATACTTCTACTTGTCATCATTTTAGTAATGAAAGAGTTTCATCGCATTCCAAATCTATTCTAAATTAACCCCTAAACAAATTTAAGTATCGAGGATATTTTATTATACTAAAATATTTACAAGACTGGGCGACAATCCGTCAATAATTTTTATATCACGTTGAAAGAGAAGTTAAATCAACTGGCATGCGGCGGGGGTGAAAGTCACGCGAGTGCCACGTGCTTTGCTTTCACAAGCGATCGTTTTAATAAAATTGCTTTCAATTTTTTTTTTGGTTTCGAGTCAAAACATAAAATTTTTGTATGAAATCAGGACTCGTACGTCAATAAAGTCAAACCTTTTATTGTTGCTTATCAATCTTCATAGTAATAACTCGATTGTTACCAAACATTCAAAACTATCCGAAACAACTCAGAATACTTTTTTTATCATTTCATTCCTCTTTTAAAATAGAAAAATAGAATCACAATATTTATAAACATCGAAGGTCTCGGAATTGCGATGGGTATTCTCTTGGCTTTAATGCGTTCTTAATGTAGTTTTTGTGTGTGTATGAATGTTGTTATGTTGCGGTTAATCCAGAGAATGAGTCATTTGAAATTGATGTACAATAACAGCGACCGTTTTAAACGACGTTCTCGATTTGATATGCCAATCATTGACTTCGGTCTCTCTTTCCCTGTTGATTCTAAAGTTAGGATTTATTGCTGCAGTGATCAAAGCCTAATCGAATCTTGTGAATTGGAATATTTATGCTTCATGACGACAGTAATCTAGTTGTTGTTGGGGAGTGTAGGATGAACAACAAATTGGCTAATTTTTTCATTTTTTCATCAACTAGAATTGTAAGAAATAAAGCAGCTGAAAAGGCTAAGCACGTTCATCATCAGCAACAGTCACAAAACTCAGGAACGCCACCAGGTGAGTTGAGATTTAATTTTATATTCTGATTTATTTATATTAATTTGTGATTGTTTCAAGGACATCTTCCACAATCACCTCAAATGACAGCGACAGATCCACAAGACAGTAATGGTGGCAACAGCGGACCAAACTCATTAAATGGAACCGAAGGGAGAATCAGTAGTGGATACAGCATCAATGGCATTCTTGGTATTCAACATTCAAACGATCCAAATGTCAACAATATGAAAAGAAAAAGAGTTGATGACCACGGTGAGTTTCTTCAATGTGATTGCCAAAAATGTTTGCGCATTTTGTTATTGTCAAGAAGTAACAAGAGGGGGTGGAAGCCGGAAGACACAATGTGCATTTCCTGAACGTGTCCAAAAAGATGAAAAACATGAAATTTCCTTTCATTGTAAATGTTGCTAGTTCAAACTTCAACCCCATGTCGCTACATTCCCCCATGATGTGTTTATGCTGTGTAGAAGAACTTATACAGCGATTGCAAAGGCAATTTTATTATTTTTATAACAGCTTCCGTTGTGGATGGCTATCCAGTGCGCTTGTCGTGAATAGGAAAGCAAACCGTTCGTCCTTTGTCTTTGCTTTACTTCACTTTACTCTCCCTCAACTGAAATTGCGCAATAATCTCTTGCTATAAACAATGATGACCGTTTCTCTGGATGTCCGGCTTTGCTATTTGAGGGTTGCGCTATTGTTCCATTTGTTCGTTCCGATTAAAAATGGTCTCATAAGTGAGATTCTTCTTTTGATTTAGTTTAGATTATTCAACGCAAAGGACTCTTTGTTTGTCTATTTTTTCTTTAAAAGAAAATTATTCAGAGATATGAATGTGCAGCACATTTGATAACATTTACTAACCCATATTTTGGTTCAGCAAACGCTTCCGTCCGGTCATCCCATTGTAGTCAGGCTTTTGACTTTTTAGGAAATTCCGAAATAATGTTCAATTAAACAAATCACTCAAAATTTCTTCTTTTTTTTGCTATTTTCATTTCTCATCTTCTTCATATGTGACTCGTCGTTATGATGATGAATAAATGATAGACGAAAATCGTGACATTAACATTCATCATATAGATGATGACATCAAACGACAACGAATTCAATACAATGGCGACCAAATCTATCCAAATGTAAGTAATCAGAAACGAATTTTGCCATTTGGGAAATCAACATCTCATCATTTCATTGTCATTTGTTTCAAATAGATTTGGTCAACAAAGTGGTGCATTAAGGACGAACCCAAACAATCACAGCTTTCTTCAGATATCACGGGAAGTCCCGTCATTTCAATATCAACACCTCCACATAATAATAATAATAATAATAGTAATAATAACAACAACAATCCAACGAACAATAGCAACACACCAAATAATTCATCGTCAGTGAATGGCAACAACAACGGGTCGAGTAACAATAATTCATCATATTATGACACTCATAATGTGTTCCCGACATCGGTAAACAATAATAACAATCAGGACACAATACTCTACGATAGCATCACGACAATATCGCAGGCCCAAAATACGCTCTATGCGCCATCAATTGGAACTGCTATAGGTGAGTGTTATTTAAATATTAAATTTATTTAAGTTAATTATTGAATTAAGGAAAATATAATCGAGTGCAAATGTGCAAAAGAAAATGAAAAACTTGAAATTAAAAATTGAAATTCCTTAAGGATCTGGAACTTTTACATCGTTAACACCGCTTAATATGCAAGAAATGAAGCTTAATCCAACAACGACTCTTATTGATCAATCGATGTCACCTTTTCATGCAGGTGAGATGCATAAGCGTGACTTGGACGCATAACAAAACGGATTATTATTGCACAATTCTTATACATATTTTATAAAATTCAAATCGGCACAAATTAAACTAAATTACGAGTAAAAAATGCACTTCGATCTAATGAGAACACAACAGTCTTTAATGCACAACATAAAATAATTAAATAAATTGAATAGTGATGTAATGGTGGAGGTGACTTTGAGTAGGAAATTTGGAAAGAAAAATCGAAAGAGAAAATTTTAAATTTAAAGACAAAAATCCTTCGAAAATTGCAGATAGTACAACAACTTACAGTACTCTCACGATGAGTCAAATAGAAGACTCAATGGCTCATCAAAATCAGCAACAAGATCAACCGGATTCATCAAGTGAATTGCCTATGTTTACATTGATACCACCAGATGGTCAATCAGGATCATCATCACAGGTTGTGATTAAAAATGATACAAACAACAATAACAATAATGATCGAAACAATAATCATGGAAAGTCAAAGCTCGAAAGTCTTGGAAAAATGGCTGAGAATGACGATGATGGGAACAACAATCATCACAAGCGACAAGCTTTGAATCTTAACCATCTTCAACGATATCATCATCATCTTGATAATGGAACTGACTCTCCACATCATCCATCATCATCAACATCTGTTCATCCTCATCATCATTTACTTCTGCTCCAACAACAGCAACAAATTAATCAGCAACAAATGAGTCACATGGAAAAGCATGCAACAGGAAATCTTATTCCAGTCCCTGACAATTCTCCATCTCTGATTGTTCTTCAGCCAAGTGGACAAGGTGGGAGTGCAGCTTATTCACCATTCTTTAATCATTACGCAACAGGCAAGTAACTCACGATCATCATCGATTAAACGCACAATTTTTGGATTTCACTGTTGGCGGGAAAATGGGGAGGGGAGGGGAGGGGAGTTGAGTTGTGTGACGAATTAAAAGAAAAAAATTGAAACTCCTTGATTCAAAAAAATATTTTTTTCTTACATTTTCCACCATTTTTTTTTGTTCTTCTTGCAGCCAACAATGGTTCAGTCGTGCCCGGATCTGAATACGCATATAATTCTGCACCTTACCAGCAATACAGCACTGCTTATAGTTACGGATACAATGGAACGTCTGGCAGTCTCCTCAGTAAGTAAGCAGTGAGTATTTTAAACATGAAAACATCGACGACACGTTAAACAACGGCGCAAATATCAGAACTTCATTTGTGCTTATTTAGAGAAGAATGAAGAAAGATAAAAATAAAATTCTCATTAAGCACACTTTAGAAAGTTTTCTGCAGTTGTTACTTACAATATTTGATCTTTTCAATATATTTTTAGACACAACTTATTATTATAATAACGAATTGGGTCAACATCAATCACATTCGCATCAACAAACAAGCGACTTGCGTTCGCCGCTGGCAGCAACCCGAGCAAATTCTCTTGCGAGTGCCTCGTCACCGACAGGCAGTGCGTGCATAAAAACCGAAATCAGTGCAAAAGATATTTTTTTAGTGTAGCTCAATTGTTCCGATATAAGTTGGATGAAGCTTGCGTCGATGGTTGATGACGTTTGGTAATTAACCGATGAAATTCCAGAAATCCAAAAAATTCTTTAATAGACTCATAAGATAAGAAAAAAAAAGATAATGAAAGAAAAATGATAAAATTATAGTGCTTAAGGTAATTTAGAGTCACAAAAAAACACATACACACATACACACACCCTTATGAGATTTGGCTGAAGCAATGTCAGTGAAATTAATTTCAGAAGCAATTGCGAATTCCAACGCCAAAAAAAAATCGACACAAACACAAATTTGCACACACAAAACATTTAAGTCTAAGGTCATGAAATGCACCAAAAATGTGAAATTTTCGTACTTTTTTATTATTTAACAAAATCAATCAATCTCAATAATATAATTAAGCTTGCGCATATATTTTTAAGAACTCAAACTGATTTTTTTATTATGTATTGTATTTATACCAAAGAAAGTCCGTTGCAATCGCTCAATGATCCCAAAATTTTCATTCAATAATATTCGTTGCGAAATATTTTCACTTTCAGACTCAGTTACACAACATTTATCACATTTTTATATTTAAGGATCGGAGAACATCAAAGACCTTCCATTGAAAAATATTTACCGAGTCCAAATTTACCAAATTTTCTCTTTTTCAAAAATTAAAAGATTTCATACAAGGAAAAAAAGAAAAATAGAGAATGAAAACAAAGAAAATTTCTTGAAAATTGTATTAAAAATTGAATCTCACATAAAATTGAAATAAAGATAAGAATTGAGAAAAAAGTTGCTTTAAAAGTTTTGGGAGATTTTTATTGGCATTTCAGAGAAAGTTAAGTTATTTGTCCTGGATAAACTCAAGATTGCTACAAATCCATATTCTTTACTTTACCTTAAACTATCTTAAATTTATTATAATTTAAACTTTGAAATTCGTGGTAATATCATTGAAAGTTTCTTCGTTGTGTTAACAGCGCCATCTATTGTCGGGTTTTGGTGCTTTTTATATTCTAAGCTTCTGACGATTTAAAAAACTTTGAATGTGCTGCTAAAGGTGATCAACTGGTTGAAGTTTTGTTTTTATTGCTATAAAATTTAAAATGTTAAGGTACTGAACAATATAAAACAAGAATCGTCACATTTTTTGTGTTATATATGTCTTTAATACTTTCTTTATTTCAAAGTTTTTATTTTTATTTTTTCATCAAAGAAAAAATGTTTTTGCGCTTTTTACAAAATTACATTCAATAGTTTTTTTTCGTTTTGAGAAAAAATCTCATTAATTTTTTTTAAGTTTGGCCTCGCAAAAACTGCAAGAAAAAAAGATTGTTGCGTTACACTTTTGGCCACATACAACGCTTAAATACTTCCGATTCATTATTTTTGTTTATTAAAATTTTAAGACACAATTTTTTCCTTTCACATCGTACTTTGTTTTAGATATTGCGTGTGTGCTTTTGTGACTAAATGTTTCTCTGTAAGTCTTCGTCTATATGCACAAAAACCAATTAACTCAATTAAATATTCGGGAAAAAGTTTCCAAAACTCCACTTAAAGGAGCACCCGAAATACAATCAAGCCAATCCAAAAGCGCTTCTAATTTTTCCATTTTTTTTCTTTATAAGTAATTTGATTTGAAAATTTTTTGTTTTGATAATTTTTTTTTTACTGATATTTGACGCGCTAAGGCACAATAAGAGATTTCTCAAGACTTTGTTTTCTGTTGCATAAGTTTTCCTTATCCTTTCGATCATTAAGAATCTAAAAAATTATTTATTATTATCGCTTTTACCATCAGCCGGCACCACGAAAGCACAAAAAGACAAGACACGAACTCATCTTTCAAAAATTGTGCGTTTTATGTATAATATTCTTGTGAGTTTATATATGTAAATCTCTGATGAATCTCGCATTCGATTCGCTGCTTTCGTGATGCACAAAAATCTGATTTAATACTAAAATAAGCTTAAGCAGTTCCTCAACCCCATTTGTCCACTGCCAGCGACAAGGTTTGCCTTTCGAATTGATTTTTTAATTCATTTATTTAAATATTTATGCATTTAGATGATGAGAACTTAATTATTATCTAATAGAATGAAAAGATATTTATTTATAGTGACAGCATCAAAGAAGGAAAAAAAGCTGAATAGAGAGAATGAGAATTTGTTATAATTAATTTACATTTCCTTTTGTTAACACGACTTTCATCTTTGCATTCTTTTCTATTCATTTAACATCAAATAATAAATGTGTGTTTGTTTGCAATCAAAATCTAAGGTTCTGGCTTGACAATCTCGCATGCATCTGTAACATCTTTCGCCAGATCCTAAGAGAAAAAAGACATTAGTGAAACGTTTGTAACTGACTATAATCATATCAAGAATCATACCTGAACAGCATTTTCAAGCATAACCTCCTCCTGTATGAGATGAAGCTGTTGTCGAAGTTGTTGATTTTCACGTCGATATAATTCACGTTCGTGATCCCGTTCTGCGATTTTAATCTTTTATTTAAATAAAAAAATAAAATTTGATACATAATTGTCACTGACATAAATATTTGTAATAAATAATGGAAAATAAATTTGCCGTGAGCTTCGATCAAACCCCTGCTAGGTAATGAAACTTTCATTGCTTACCGTTAATTGTGAAACGAGTGAATTAAGAGTCGTGACTGAAGCAGCAATTTCCTCTATTCGAATAATTCCCATGCAACTCTTTTCATTCGATGTTCCAATGTAGTTCTCATTAATCTCCATGTGACTCACAACCTTTCTATCGTCGACAGTCGCACCTTCATCTCTCAAGGGTTCAATTTCACAATACAAATTGTCGCCATCGGTCTCAACGGCATCGCCATCTCCTTCAGTTTCCATGCCGCCCACAACACTACTTGTTACAGGTGCACTCACCGAGCGTGTTCTGAACTCAGCTGACTGAGGTACACAATTATCACACAAAGCTGGTCCGAAGCTGGAAGATGTTGAAGACCTCACACCTTTAACCATAGCTGTACGAACAGATTCAACGAGAAACTTTGATTGCGCAAAGGCAGCAATTGCAAGATCTGCTAAATCTGAGGCCGCTTCTGGTTGTGCTGCAATGTCAGCAATTTCATCGAAATGCTCTAAAGGAACGCGGTTGATGTTGCAGATGATTTTCTCCATTTCATTGACTGATTGCTGAATTTGTTGACCATGACGACGTAAAGATTCTTCTGGTGACACAATAAGTGCTGCTTCAAGAACATTTTGTGCCGCTATGTTGATTTCCGATGGCTGAATAAGTTGACACGGTTGTGTTGTTGAAATGGCATTTGGATCATCTTGTGGTGATGGTTCACTTTGTTCTTCGGGCTCTTGACTTTCCTTGTTATGATCATCATTCGCAGGTTTCTCATCAGATATCGCTGGCTGTTCATCTGGTAGTGGTTCATCTGGTGCAGTTCCAAGAAGATTCTCTGGCGTCTCTTCTAGCTCTGGTGGGGGTGGAGGTTGTGGAATTGATGGCAATGGCTTTTGTTGAACTTTCTTTAAATGGTTTGCTTTCTCAGCAGCTTCTGTGATTCTTCTTATCCAGCTATTTAAAAATTTACATGTTGTTGAAATTAATAATCAAATGAATGAATGTCACTTACATTTCACTCTCCTGCTCGCTCGGAGCTGTTAACTCCAACATGTGCGAATTTTCTTTATCAATAAGGAAGAATGCACGATTATCAACAGCACTGAGTCGTACAAGAAGATTGCAGATTTTTGTAATTGGATTCACCGGCGTATTGTCTCCATGCGCTGCCGGTGAAGTAAAATTCTTCAACAAATATTTTTCATCTGTTTTTTGAAGTAAAACAATCATGTTATCGAATAGAAGCACACGAAGTTGAATTGTTCCTTTCTTTATCGTCAAAAGCCCGTCATGAATGAGCTTGAAATTGGTCAAATCGATATTTTTGAATTCATTTGGTGCATCTTTGTCATACGATGCTTTGTCGAGCTTTCGTTGAATTGAACGAAGTCTGAAATTGACAAATTTTTATACTTATTAAAAATGAATTTTAAGTGGCATTTAAATGCTTACTCTTCTCCTATTCGAACAGCTTGATTGACATAATCCAAGATCGCCTTGGATGCATCTAAAGCTCGTTTGATCGCTTCGGCATCGCTTCCTTCACTGCACTTATGCAGTCGTTCAAGCAGCAATGGATATTTTGTTATTCTTTGAAGAACAGCTGGCAGCAAATCTTTCAACTGAAGTCGTCGACAAGCTTTATGTGACTCAGCTTTGATCAAACCACGTTGTAAATTCTCGTCTTTTTTCCGTCGCTCTTTCAGAACTTCAAGCGCATTTTGTTGTCGCGTACAGAAACGTGCTGCATGTTCTTTAAGTAATTCACCTGATGGACCGTCAAACTATAAGGAAAAAAATTGAAATAATTTAATAGGGAAAGGATGAAGATGAATTCTTCAAAACTTACCACATTCAAACAATCACCAATTTCTTTAACAAGTGCGTTATGTTCTTTCCATCGCTGCTTTAACATTGACTCGAAGCTATTGTGCCACTCTTTAAGCACAAGAAGTGATGGTGGAAATACCAAATGAATAAGTTCCGGTGTCATCGCTTTACTTTGTTCAAGTGGAACCATAAACACGTTATGCAATACTTTCAATATTTTGACATGATTCTTCTCCGTTTCGAAAAGTTCTATGCGGAGTCAATGAAAAGAAATTAACTTCATTCAATAATTTATTAAATAAATATGCTCACCATTTATAATTTCCTGTCGTTTCTTTTCTGTTTCTGTCAATTGTTGAATCATCTCAGCTGTCACTGAATTCCACGCTTCAATATCACGGAACGATTCGTCGTCTGTTGTCGCAGGTGATGAATCCAAACTTGTTCCGGTAAAAGCACGACCTGTTGTCGTTGTGGTTGTTGATGAGTTTATTGCATCATCTTGATTGGAGTCAATGTTTGATGAGATGTCATCTCTAAAAAAGCAATAAAATTAATAAAAATTATTTCTTAAAAATAGTAAAGTTGAACTTGCTCGTATAAACTTGGATCTGATTTTGGGCGATTTGTTCGACTTCGTTTTGGTGAACATTCTTTGTACGATTCACTTCTTGCATTTGGTTGAGTTGTTTTCTGTTTTCCTCGCTTTCCATCTGGTGTTAAGTCACTACTGCCTTCATTTCCATGACTTGTTTGTGGTGAACCCGTAAGAACGCTCGAAGAACCTCCTGCTGAACTCGTTATAGTACTGCTCGACCCTTGATGATGATGGTGATGAAAATCAGTCTGTGACTGATCTGGGTGTGTTTGTAACTGTGATGTACTACTAGATACATGTGAAGGACGTTGGAATTGAATGTCGCCTTTGGGACGTGCATTGAAAGATGCTGAGCGGTCTAATGAATAAAAAATAAAAATAAAAATTACATTTATCGTTCTCATCATAAATGAGAAATGTAAAAAGAAAATATTAACACGAACTTTATCATTATTATTATAAGTAAAATAAAGTAACAAAATCAATAAACGATTTCTACGCTTATCTATCGCTTCCTCCTTCCCATAGCCATCTGGTTTTTCATCCATCAATTTCCCAAAAGACGTCAAAAAAAAAGAAGAAAAAGAAGATAATAATTTGCGAAAAGAGGAAATTTCTCGCTGACTTTTCAATCAAATTTCTCGTCTCTCAATTTTTCATTTCTCATTCTCATTCAATCAATTTTCCTCTTGTTTGTTTTCCTTTGGTTTTTCGTAGCTCGCGCGCGATTAAAAAAATAACGAAAACAATAAAAATTGTTAAAACAGATACACGGGATTTTCTATCATCATCAACATGTTCTTCTTCTTCATCATTTTTTTTCTACATTTTTCATGACTTGGTGTCGGCTGCAAACTGAAAATAAAAGAAAAATCTTTTCCACGTAGATGATAATTCATCTTTCTCAGCACATACAAACCTTTCATTTTTAAGAATTCCTTTTGCGACAGCTTTTTCGTAAGTTTGGGAATCGATGGAACGTATGACATCAACTCGATTACAACATAAAACAAAATCACTCAATAACTCATAGCATAGTCAACAAAAATAAACTTTATTATGTGTTTACGCAAAGAAAAGTTCCACAATTTTATAACAACTGTAGCACTCACAGAATTTTCACATTCAACTGACGAACGAGTGGAATTTTTATCTCCGTGAATAGAAAAACTTTCACACCATCGATGATGATGAAGGGAAAAAAGAAAGAAAATAAGAAGAATGAGAGACGGAAAATGAAAAATTCTCTCGCGAGAAGAAAACAACAAATGTGAAAATGTGGAAAATTATTTTCTTTTCGCGTTTCTTTCACACACCATTTAATGAAACCTTCTCATCATCAACCCAATTTGTTGTATCTGTTGTAGACATTTTCTCCTTTCTGCGACTTTCCACCACTTTGCATGCATAAGAATTACATCGACGATGTGAGGGGGCAGTTCATTTTCCTCCAAAGGAGGCAAACCATTAAAGAAGAAGATTATTGAACCACCTGGAAGTTACTCGAGTTCAAACAATATTGGAAATGTCTTTAAACTTTAAACTACATTTTAGAACATTATGGTGAATTTCCCCTTGCTACGATGCGGGTTTCAATGAAAATTGAGCAAACATCAAACTAGTGCGAGAATGTAAACAGAGAGAATTTGTTCTTTTTCCCTTTAAATGTCGTTTATAATGATGGAAAAGTTCACTTTATGAATTTTCATTTCATTGAAATATTCGTAAATTACGACACATTGAATGTTTTGAAAACTTCCGATCACTTTGTTTTTTAATCTTTTAAAGCATAAAGCATTAATGAAGTAATTATTGGAATCACCAGTTTCTTATGAAAACTAACAAAATTTCTTTTATTTCGTATCTTTGTAACTTTTCACTAAACATTGAGCTTGTAAAGTTACGTCAGAGTTGAAAAGCCAGATGGTCAACAAAATGCTCGTTGCGTTGCGAAAAGCGGAAAGAAAAATTCAAAGAAAAGAATTGAGAAAAACAACGACGGCGGAAAGAACTTCGGGGGTGAAGTGAGGAAAAGTAAACATGAAACGCACGAATTTTGTATGTCGAAGTCAATTAATAAAGTCGAAAAAAAAAGATGTAAACTTACCGGATGTAATGGCGTCGTCCCATGGTACACTAAGCTCTTCCTCTTGCTTCTTTGCGTCTATAAAAAATGAAAAATAAATGAAATTTCATGTAATATTATTGGATAAATGTGCAAACTCACTTCCGTGTCCTTTTTCCCTGATACGATCCATAAATTTTGTAAACTTATCTACCGGTACATTGACTGGTCCGGGACAAGTTTCTTCGAGAAGTTTTGCACAACCACGATGAACATTGAGGGCACAATCAGTACAGGCAAAGCCTTGAGGTGCTACACCCCAAATGAGATTCTGGCAATGGTTACAATGAGTCGTCTCGTAATACTGTCGAAGATTTAAGTGATGGCCTCTAACGAGAGCCTTCCGATTTTTACTAATAAGTCGCGATTTAAACGATTTCTCTCTTGTGACGTAATGATGAATTCGTTCAGTTCCAGTAGCAGCACTACCGCGAGGAAGAAAAATCTTATGAACGACTGTTGATAATGCTGATGTTAAAGCCATTTTAGAAGAGACGGTAGATTCTTCGAAGCCACTGACAGCTACGTCACATTCATCGAGAAGCGTTGTCAACTTTGGCATGAGAAAATCTTCAACAATTTTCGTCTCGCCTTGTTTGTTTCCCTTTGCTGCATTAAGTTCATGACCTGATGGTCCATACATTGTTCCAAGACCTGCAGTTCGTTTCTCTTGAAATTCTTCCATTTGTCGATTAATGATATCGCGAGCTTTTGAACGTGATTTTTGAAAAACATTTCTTAAAAGTCCCGCCATTTCAAAATCTTGTTGATTTCCACGATCTTGTGGTTGATAGCTTTTAGCTTGTGCTAATTTGTCGTCGATTTCACGAGCTAACGATTCACTTTGAATATCCGAAGAGGGAAAGAAAGAAAGTGGCGCACTTGGTACGAGAAATGTCGAATGAATCTCATATGCCCACTTTCTCATATCTTTGACATTTCCTTTCTTGTACAAATCAGTTATTAAGTAAAAGAGAATTGCTGCTGGTTTTGAATTACTCAACACAAAATTCAAAAATACGACCAAATATGCGGCATTTTCAGGTGCTGTAAGCATTGATATTGAACGGAAAATTCCTTCATCTTCAGTTAACACTTCATCGTCAGTTTCGTTGTCACACTCAAATGATAAAATCGCGCGTTGTTCATTGCTATTAACATTATTATTATTGCTATTGTTGTTGGTATTATTTATGGATGCTAACGAGACGTTATGATGATAAGGAGGTGGCGGAGTTCCAGGCGGAGATATTTCCGGTCCAGATCCATCACGAATTTTATCTTTTTTAGACTTCTATATGAAAGGAAATGAAGAAAATATCAAATAAATTTCGCACAAATTTTATATTATTCCATGAGTGAGTATTTAGACATAAATAAAATCTTCAACAATTTAGAACACAAACAAACAAAAGCATAATTCTTTTCTCTTCTAAACATTACAAAAATTGGATTTAAGCAAATGATGAAAAGGCAAATGTATGACTGTTTGAATGATGAAAAATTAAGCAGTTTAATTAAGTATGTAAGTACGTAAGTAAGTAAGAATTGTTAAATGATATAAAAAAATCAAAGAATATTAGTAAGGAAAACCCGTGACTAACTCACCGTTTGATGAACATTTTCCATAAAGTTATTGCTGTTAGAAGTTGGCAAAGCACTTTCAAAACTTTGATTATGTTGATGGTGATGATGATGTGCATTTGTATTTGGCGGTGGCATTCCATCTCTTACAGCAACAGATGTTGCAATTAAAGGATAAACTAATTGTGTTGCAATACTATTTGAGAGAGCACGACCATCATTACTTGATCCATCCATGAGATCTTTGTTTGTTACGACTTGACCAAATGCACTAAAATCTTCAGCAATACCTGAACGAGGTGGCAAGGGTGGCGGATAACTAGCACACTCCATTTGAAGCATTATTTCGCTTGACATTTTTGGATCGGAATAAGCTTTAATCTTTTGTTTGTTGTTCTTCTTTTTGACACCTCCAACAACTCCACTTGAGAAATTAGTGGAAGTAGAAGCGGACATTAAGGAAGCATCTAAGTCAGATATTTGTGGCGTTGCAACGGGACTTGTGGGAAGACTTTTTCTTGGAATATTTCTTTGTGGTAAAGGGGGTGGAACGTCTGCAGTCACGGTTGGATGTTGATGTCTAACGCGGACCTTTTGATGATTTGGCGAGGATATTGGCGTTGATGACGATGATGACGAAGAATTTGGCGTCAAAGATGTTGCTGTTGATGTAGGTATTGGCTTTGAAATAGCCTCTTGGGGTGAAGCTGCTGTGGATTTTCTTTTATTTCCAATATTCAATTGACTCAATGATCTTGGAAATCGAGCAAGAAAAGTTGGAGGTGTTAATGATGACTGCGAAGTGACTGTTGGAGTTGAAGTCACTTTAGATGACGCTGTCGTTATAATTGCCATCAAAGAAGCAGTTGAACTCTGAAGGGAATAAATGCAGGAAAAATTGATGGAACAAGAAACAAATTTATGAAGTAAAGTATCACATCGAGGAAGATGGAAATGCAAACGGGAAAATCTTTTCAATATTTAAAACACTTATAACAAACATCACACCACAAAAAAAAATATAAAATTAATGTTGGCGAACCAAAGATTCTCATAGGGAAAAATTAAATTTTAGGAAAAGATTTCACTTAGGAAAAGTTTAAGCTTTTTGTTAGAAGAATTAGATGTAATGTTACAAACCTTTTAAATATATCTTAAAAGAGTTAAAAGGGAAAAATAAAGCAAGTGAAACCATTTTAAAAACGTCAATCTGACTAATTTGAAGTTAATTTTTAAGAATAAACAAAATTAAAGTTTAGCTAAGCTCGTAACATTCACTTCTCTACAAAAATTGTAATAATTTCATAACTTTACCGGAAACCGAAAGAAAAACTTAAAAAAGTTGTTCATAAATGTTCACTTACATCATTTGTTGATTGTCGCAACTGTTCTTGTAAAGTTCTTATGTTCGCTTCAGCTTTTGCAATTTCACCGCAATTCTGTGATTCATTTTCACGGAGTTTTTCTAAATTTTTCTTTTCTTGTTCGAGCATCAAGTAGAGAGTATGAAGTTTCGTGTATTCAACTTCTTTTCGCTTCAAATGCTAAAATAAAACAAATGAAATAAAAGATAAAAAAATTCTGCGAGACTTCTTTCAATTTATGATCATTCTTACATCAACTGGTAGGGGAGCAGTTATACTATTTCTTTGACTAGTCGGGGTTGTTGGTGTGCATAGATTACTGCTTAATCCACTATTTGGAATAGAAAAGTTTCTGGCATTGCGTTGAACGGTCAATTCGACATTTTGAGTTGCTTTCATGAGTTGAACAACTTCGGCGTGTGTCGAGTATCGTACATTGTTACCATTAACTCGAAGAATCATATCAGCTGCATTAAGTCCTGCTCGATGAGCAGCCCCACCGTCTTTCACGCTATCTACGAAAACAGGATTCTCCCCAGACACTTTCATTCCATAACCATTCTTATCTTTTTGTATTGTTAGCTCTAAAATTAAAGGTTTCGGCTTTTCGCCATTTCCACCACTTGGGGAAAGGTTTTCCAAATGCATTTTAGATCGATGTCGTTGTTGTACAGCAGCTGATCCGTTTTCAGACTTTTTCGAGTTGCCGTTATTGGTTGTGGTGGAATTGATTGAGTGTCGATGTGATCTGTAATAAAATTATTTTGTGTTTCTACAATCTTAGACGTATTTGGTTTAATATGATCTACGTAAGTAAATTTTAAACGAGTTTAGAATATATCATCTTATATATTTTTTCAAGATGAACAAGATGAAGAAATTAAATTCATGATGTCATTTAAATATCTTTCTTCTTCTGTGGTTTTTTTTGGCTATGATGAATGTAAACAAAGCAACTTCGACATTAAAAGAAGCCAAAATTTCCAAAGCAGTTAAATAATGTGCAAGTCCTGTTCAATGTTTTCTTTATTTTTCCTTTGTTTACATTTTTTTCGTTCCTATGTATCACCTTTTTTTATTTGTTTGATTTCTTAGTATTCTCCGCCCTTGTAATTTCCCCTTGCTATCCCCTAAATTTGTTGAAATTTAATTTCTGTTTCCTACGTTTTTTCTTAACATTTATTACGTACAGATACGTAAAAAACGTAAATCACGTATTCATTCATTTTCCTTAATTTTACATGATAAAGTTTTCTACGTTACGTAAATTACGTCAGCGTAAGCGCAAATAAAAAAATGACGTCATTTTCCCATTTATCAATAAATTCCGCCCAAAAAAAACTTACCTGTCATTAGATTTTCCTAAACCACCATCAAAACTATCATCTGAAGATGGACTCTGAATCTTCCTCATGTCTAAGCCTTCAGGAAGGTGGAAGATGAAAATTAGCGCATTTGAATATTTTCTCCAATTTTTTTTATAATTCTATGATTTTGGTTGCTGTTATCTTGCAAAAAACACTTTTTGATTCAATTCTCTTGTATGAATTAACTTCCTAACTTCTCATTAATATTCAATCGTCTGAGATGTCATAATTATTTTCTTTTTTAAAATTTAACTTTTGTTGTTGTTTTCTTCACTATGTTTTTCTTCTTAAGATTTGTCTAATTTTGGAATCTTAAAAGGCACTGACAACGAAAAACATATTGCAAATAGCCACTTAGTAATGCAAAATACAATAAGGAAGCATTATGAACACGAAAATTATATTTAAATAACATAAAACTTTTAAGTTGAAACTTTTATTGGAAATTGGACTACCGAGTAAATTTTTTTAAAAGGTTGTTGTATTTTCGAAAGTCGACCGGAGAAAATATCTCGGCAACGACTACCTAGTTTTTCAAAATTAGAGAAAAAATATAACGGTTCTGATAGAACTTTATTTCATTTCTTATTATGATGAGCATAAAAAGGATAGAATCTCAAAATTAATTAACCCTAAGTCATTTAAATTTCTTTACAATATGAATTAAGGATCAAATGATTCAATAATCCATTTATTTCCTTCACTATTTCTATCCATTTCAGTCTCATGAAGCATTCGTATAGTTAGATCATTGGACACTTTACTAATAACTAAGATTTTATTTGATGATGTATGGCGAATGAATCCAGTTTCTTTCTCATATGACCATTTCTAATTGAACATTAAAATAAGATTTAAAAGTATTAAAGTGAATTCCACATAACTTATGAATCCCACCTGCTTGTGATATCTTCTAGCGCAGCCAGCCAAATTTATATCATCTCCTTCTGAATAATCGAAGCATTTTTCACTATTCATGATTTGTCCTTGGTCAGATAAAGTAAAATACTAAAAGTTTTAAAATTATTAAAAACAAAACATAGATATAGATTATTCCTTAATTACCTGATTCCCCCCTTGACCATGACAATTATATAAAATTATAAATTTGCCGTCTCCAGCATCTAAACAATGATTTCCACCAAAACCTGAATTTCTTATCTGACCATGAAATTGGAAAGAAAATAAGTTCCAGTATATATCTACATATAAAACACTTTTTTAATTTACCTCTCCCTGGCCGATAATTGTTAAAGGGATCGGCTAAGTTTAAACAAAAAAAAATTAACTTATTTTAAATTGAAAATAATTTATCTCACATGTTCTGGGTAAATATTTTCAAGATACCATTTGAAAGATTTGCATCCCAAATCTTGACGAAGTTTTACACGCTCACTTATATCTCCAAAATCTATATTAGTCTTTCCACTTTTTTCATAAAAATATTTAGAATACTCGTCAAGCCAAACTTCAGCTAATCGAACAGCATTCCGTCCAGCAGCATCTATGCCAGTTCGCCACTTAAATTAGTAGTTTTATTTAAAATATGTTTTTCTTTTTTCATTCATCACTCACTTTGTAAGGCGAAACCTTTCAAGCAAATAAAAAATCAGAAATAGATCATGAAAAGAAAAAAGAAAAGAAAAACCCCGTTAGTGGGTGAACATTCATTGATGAATATGATAAATGAGATATCTCTTCGAAACCTTTCTAAAGACGTGACCGACATGCGAGCATGGAACAATTTCTAAAGTTCCTCCACACATCCAAGTTTTGAACGAAAGTTCTAAATTTTCTCCACCCCAGATATCAAATTCAGGATCATATTTTCCCAATCTTTCAAAAAAGTTTTTGTCTATTGAGAACAATCCACCTGCCTTGAATATAAATATAATTAATATTTGAACGATATAAAAAAGATTGAACATTTTACCATTGTTGGTGATCTTGTTGGCTCCGAAGGATCTTTTTTTCTTTTTCTTTCCCTTTCTGGAACAATGTACCAAGTGAATTTTAACGACCAATCAAATCCCCCCACTTGGACATAAGTTGGATTATTATTAAAAATTAATTCAAAAGTGTTGTCTTTTATAATATCGATCACTGGACACACAACTTTAGTTGAATCTTCTGATATTTGGTGAAGAAGTGGCTCCAGCCATCCAGCCAAACATTCCACATGAGAATCTAAGAAGGTAAGAATCTGTCCCTTTGCTTCATCAGCCCCCATAATCCGTGCCCTAATAAGACCTTTTCTTTCTTCTGTTCTTAGAATTTTAACTTTTGGAAAATTATTCGCCATATAATCTTCAAGCGGTTGTTTCAAATGATCTAAATCACTAAAGTCATCAACCAAAATAATTTCTTTAATTAAATGTTCTGGTGATTGATTTATTACCGAATGAACTGTTCGGAGAAGAGTAGACCATGCTTCATTATGGAATGTTATTATAACAGATGTTGATTGTAAATTTTGAGAATATTTTTTTGCTGCATTTAAGCAATATTCTGTTCGGATGTCTTGAAGAGTTCGATCTAATGAAATAAGATCTGAAACGTATTGATTGAATTGATGCTGTGTCCATCCATCATCAACCTTTTTTTGAATTTCCTGTGAGAGATTCTGAGGAAGGTTAACAGGTTTTCCCAACTCTCCTGGCGCCAACATTGGATCGTCAGAAGTTTTCTCAGAAGTTTTTTCCTTCTTTTCAAATTGATGCGCAATAAATTCATTCAAAATTTGATCTTCATCTGAGTACGTTGTCTTCAATTGTTCATAAGATGTCTTATGAATTTCAATCATGTTTCTATCTAATACTTCACCAATATCATAATCTGGGGTATTGAAACCAAGCCAAAAGAGAAATCCTATAAAAATGGCTAATTTTGGGATTATTGTCATTTGACGACGTAGTAACTTTTTTCGGTAACTCATCTCTCGGAGTATCAAATTGAAACTGAAAAAACTACTCAAAAAATGTATCGACTGTTTATTCAGGTGTTTGAATTGTTCTTAGTTTTATTTAACAATTAATATCAAAAGTAACGCAAATGAAACAACAAACATAAATATAATATGAGAAAGTGTGTCTACTTCCGCGCATTTGAATAATTTTCAATATACCAATCAACACTTTTTTTAATTGCTGTATCAAAATCTATAAATTCAAATGAAGGTAAAAGTTGGCGAAGTTTTTTGTTTGATGCTGTTTTTTTATATTGACCATCAGCCTTTGAAGTGTCAAAGCTAAGTTTTCCACGAAAATTGAAAGCTTTTACAATAGACTCAGCTAATTGGGCAATCGAAACTTCGGCAGGCTCGTCTACAGACAAAATGATTGGTTCAGCGCTGTCATAATTCCTAAGTACCCAGATGAAAAGTTTTGCAAGGTCCAGGGAATAAATGAATTGCCTTAATGGCTTTCCACTACCATAAACCATAAACTCTTTATCTTCTTCTTTTGTTGTTTGATCGTCAATATAGATCAATTTATGCAAACGATGAATCATTCCTGGTACTACGTGACTTACGCCTTCTTTGAAATTATCATTGGGACCAAAAACATTGCACGGGACAACTGAAGTGAAACAATTGCCATGTTTTTCATGATAGGCTCGATTTAGTACATCTATCATTCTTTTTGCATGGCTGTAACCAAAATTACTTTCATGAGGTGGTCCATTATGAATCTTTAAATGAAATTACAAAATTTAATCATAAATATATTCTAATGATAGAAAATAATTGTATACCATTGTTTCATCAATCGGATATGTTGTTTTGTCTGGGAATATGCAAGTTGATAGACATGAAATCACTTTCTCAACTTTAAACTCGTGACTTAAAGCTAAAATATTGTCATTCATTTGCATATTTGAACGGAAAAATCCCAGATTGTCACTCATGTTATGGAACAGTCCTCCAACTTTAGCAGCAAGATGAATAACATGGGTTGGACAATGCTTCTCAAACAATTTCTTTGTTTCGTCGTAATCACTAGAATATTTCAGCAATATTTATTTGTGAAGTTCTGCCAACTTGTCAATATTTACCACAAATTTGCATCTTTAGAATTACAGAAAATCCATTCTTCTTCAAGTGATTTCTCCCCAGATAATAACTTCTTTTATCTCTACCAATCAAGCCAGACCCTCCCTTTACAAGAATTCTTTCATCTCTTATAATTTGCCGATTGCCGTGTTTACATCAGTTGTCTTAAAAACAAATGTGTCACTATGGAAAGTGACGTCGTTTTTATACACTCTCCACCTGAAACTGCTTTCTCCAGAAAGCAGTTTCAGGCGGAGAGTGAGCATTTATCTCGGAATGAGAAAAATCTCGGAATGAGATGGAATTTTTTAGGCTCCGGAACTTTTTCATGAAAAACTGAATTCGTTCTGCTCGGCTATAAATAACGCAGGGTACCCAATGCAACATTTTTTTTCTTTAAATATCTACCATAAAAATTTGACATCAAAAGCTCATCAATAAATATATCTAGAGTTTCTTATGATTAACAATTAGACAAATAAACAATGAGTTCATCAAATAGTAATACCTTCCATCAATGTATTCAAAACTACCGAAAAGAATACGAATCGGACGAACATTGGGCACTTAGAAAAGTAAATAAATGATTTTGAAAGTATTCTTAGAGTTTATGTTCAATTAAATTAGAAAATTAAAACCTTTTAGGCATTTATATTGGCTTATCATGATAGATATAGAAAGGATGAAATTCTTTGCCTTGCTCAAGTCCTTTTAAATATAGAACTTCTTGGTTGTAAATATTCTAGCGAAACAATGACATTGATTAATCAAATGGCAGAAAACGTTATGGAAGTGAAAAACTATCGAGAAAAACGAAAAAAACGGTTAAAGAGAACATTTGCAAAGACCGCCAATATCTCACAAGCGACTTACCAACCACAAGAATGTTTAGTGTCGCTACATAATGAAACTGTTTCCTCTTTGTGTTCTTCAAATGATGTACAAAATAAAGGAAAAGAATTAACAGGAAAAAAGTATTTTAATACCAAAAACTTGAAAGAGCTTTTAAAAGATATCATATACTTTGAGATGCCTAAAAACGATCTTAATGGTTCTCTTAATAAAACCATCGCATTTATGCAAAAACAAGGAAAGATACAAATGCAATATAATGCAGAAGAAAAAAAATATTTTTATGTGTTTAATGATGAAGTTATTGCAGAGGGAAAAGGCTCCAAAAAAGAATCAAAGAAATTAGCCGACGAAAATCTTATAATTACATTGAAAGAGAACTGCTATACGATAAAAGTTAAGAAGGATTACTACACAGCAGTAAATATTGTCGCATCCGTCAATCCAAGTGAACTTACAGCTCCAAATAAAATATTGGAAGATAATATAGGTTTTCAAATGTTAAAAATGTTAGGATGGAATGGTGGATCCCTTGGAGTCCGTCCAGGTGGAATTGTTGACCCATATACTTGTGAAATAAAAATTGGACGTTCTGGTTTTGGCACTGAAAACGATAAAAGTTTTAATCTGAACAGAATCAAAACATTACTGACCAATTTCAAAAATAGTCAAGTAGAGTATGATCTCGTCTTCAGTAAAGATTTCACAAAAGACGAAAGAGCTCAAATACACCAGTAAGTTTTTTTTTCATCGAATTAAGTTAATTGTACTAATTTCTTATGAAAGATTTTAAATTTCATTCTTGACTTTTTTATCCTTCATTTAGAATTGCATCAGCAATGGATTTTCGCACTAAAAGTCATGGAAAAAATGACTCACGCCATATTGTAATTTCATCAAAATTAAGTCCTCACATTTTGCGTCAAAAGCTTCTCGAAGGTGACAAGCATTTGTTAGAAAAGTATGAAATATTACCACCAACCCGACAAGAAACATTCAACTCTATGGAAGAACATTCTGAATAATTATTTTAATGAATTACTTTAAATCTGAATAAAATATTCTCAGAACGTATTCATGAATTGATCAAAATTATAAAGAAATTTTCTTTCCTTCAACAACACTTCTCTGAATCGATCTGATAAGAATTTCTATGTGCTTCCAGCGAACTATTCGAATAAGTCTCTTCGACCATCTCAATTTTCGTAGTATCAATGGGAAGTTACTCTCAATAAAAAAAAAGTATAAAACGTGGATCGTTTTGTACTGAGCATCAGTTAAGATCATCTCATTGCATTGAACAGGCATCAAGAGACTTCAATCTTCTTTGATTTAATTTATAAAATTGTTTGAATTTGTGAGTATTGTTACTGGTTATAAAGTCGTGTGAAAAATGTGTGGAAATTACATCATTAAAATATAAAAAACAAAAATTAAAACAAAATGTTCAAATTAAAAAAAAATTAANATTTAATCATAAATAGGTATATTCTAATGATAGAAAATAATTGTATACCATTGTTTCATCAATCGGATATGTTGTTTTGTCTGGGAATATGCAAGTTGATAGACATGAAATCACTTTCTCAACTTTAAACTCGTGACTTAAAGCTAAAATATTGTCATTCATTTGCATATTTGAACGGAAAAATCCCAGATTGTCACTCATGTTATGGAACAGTCCTCCAACTTTAGCAGCAAGATGAATAACATGGGTTGGACAATGCTTCTCAAACAATTTCTTTGTTTCGTCGTAATCACTAGAATATTTCAGCAATATTTATTTGTGAAGTTCTGCCAACTTGTCAATATTTACCACAAATTTGCATCTTTAGAATTACAGAAAATCCATTCTTCTTCAAGTGATTTCTCCAAAGATATAACTTCTTTTATTGCACCACCAATCAAGCCAGACCCTCCAGTTACAAGAATTCTCTTGGACATCTCTTATTTCTACTTTGGATAAAATTCGCCGATTGCCGTGTTTACATCGAGTTGTCGAAAACAAATGTGTCGACTTGTGCATTGTCACTACTACTACTATGAAAAAGTGACGTCGATTATCTACACTCTCCACCTGAAACTGCTTTCTATTTAAATTTCATATTCTCATGATTGATTTTATATGAAATACTGAAGATCTTCCATTCATGATAAAGTGACTTACTTTACATCTTCTTTATCTATTTCATCTTAAATTGGTGCATATTTGAAATAAAAATAACATTGTTTTGTGCATACAATTTGTCTCAAGTGTGTGTACTTTACTACCCAGACTTTGTGGAAGGTCACACTGTTGCCGTAGTGGGTTTGCATTATCACTTTTTAATTCCATAAGTTAAAAGTTTTCCTCATAGAAATCAATCGTATAACGTAACAGTCGATTATGAGCGTTGATCAAACAAACCAGCAACAACATAAAAAACCTAGCATGTCAGTACTTGAACAATTGAAAGCAGTTACAACTATTGTAGCTGATACTGGAGATTTTGAAGGTGAGATTTAAATGAATTTGATGACATAACCTTGACAAACTACCTAAAACAAATTTAAAATATGATTCTTCATTAAAGCTATTAAAGAGTTTCGTCCAACTGATGCAACAACGAATCCATCTCTTATTCTTGCTGCTTCTAAAATCGAAAAATATTCCAAGGTCATAGATCAAGCTGTTGACTATGCCAAAAGTATTCATGCTAAGTAAGTAAACATACATTTTAACATTATAAGGACAATGTTTAAAGGTCAACAAACAACCTAATGTACTTTCATTGTCTCTAGCAATGCTAATGATCAGGTGACCGAAGCTGTCGATAGACTTTTTGTTCTGTTTGGATATGAAATTCTCAAAGTAATTCCTGGAAGAGTTTCAACTGAAGTCGATGCCAGACTTTCCTTTGATCGCGATGCATCCATTAAAAAGGCTATCAAATTTGTTGAAATGTACGAGAAATTGGGAATTTCACGTGATCGCATTTTAATTAAATTGGCATCTACATGGGAAGGCATTGAAGCTGCGAGAATCCTTGAGAAAGATCACAACATTCACTGCAACTTGACATTGCTGTTTAGCTTTGCTCAAGCAGTTGCATGTGCTGAAGCTGGAGTTACATTAATTTCTCCTTTTGTTGGGAGAATTCTTGATTGGCATAAGAAGAACAATCCTGGAACATCTTACGATGGTGCTGCTGATCCTGGAGTCATTTCTGTTACTGGAATTTATAATTATTACAAAAAGTTCGGTTACAAGACTGTTGTGATGGGCGCTTCGTTCCGAAACACTGGAGAGATTAAAGAACTTGCTGGTTGTGACTTATTAACAATAAGTCCAGCACTTTTAAAAGAGTTGGACTCTTCCAACGACAACATTTCTATTAAATTAACATCTGAAAATGCTCGTAACTCAAACGTTGAAAAAATCTCAATGAATGAGAAAGTTTTCCGTTGGATGCTGAATGAAGATCAGATGGCAACTGAAAAGCTGTCTGAAGGAATCAGAAATTTTGCAGCGGACTCAAAGAAGCTCGAAACTTTGCTGAAAGAAAGAATTGCTGGAAAGAAGTAATCATTTAATGATAATCTTTCAATAAATTCAACATTTTTTCCTTATTTTTTGGCTGGTGAAATTTCTATCTATTTTGGTACGTGAAATTCTTATGAAATAATAAAATAAATTTTTGTAACGTTAATTAAAGTTTTTTCTTAAAGATTTTCAAGCAGACAAAATTTATTATTTATCGTTTGGCGGTTTAAATATTCTAACAAATTGTTAGAAAAATGAATCATCTTATCACAACTAAATGTCTCTGTTATTTCTTTATTTCCGTTTCTTCTGCTTAGAGAAAATAGTTGATACACTTGTATTGTCGTGAATGATTGTACACGATTCTTACCTACCTAGTGACTTATTCATTTTCAGGTCACCGACTCAAATACATCCAAAGAAAAAATTCTTTTTTTACTTCGTATCTCTCTTCCATCATCTCTGATCTGACGTACACATCATTTTTTATAATTTGTTTCTTCTTTTATTGATTAAGTGGAAAAATAAACTGAGAGAATAAGTTCTTTTGTAACAATAAACGATTGTGGAGATGAGACATTAGAAGAAAAAAAAATTGCTTTCGTAGTTTTATATTTTAGTTTTCATAGCGTTTTGGGTTGTTGGTACCATGAATTATTATCAAAGATTTAAAGTGTTTTGTTGTTTATTGATTTTCCTCCAAAAGACGTTTGGAATTCCAATTGGTTGTAAGGAAATTTTCATTCCTGTTTTATTTTCATGAAATTCATAGTTTTTTTCATGTTTTAGTATCAAAATCATCTCAAGATGAATATCAATCTGTTTACTTATCAATAAATCCAATCAATCATAATGTAGAAGTGAATTGGTTCAACATGGATGTAAATATCACACAACCAACAGTATTGATAACGAATGCTGCTGTAATCAACGCATCTGTTGAAGCAGATCAAGGAAAAAATCGTTGGGTGTTCAATAATGACGCAAAGCTGTTATTTGAAAGTATTCTGAAGACGTCTAATGGACGACTTTCAACGGGCATATCTCATGATTTTACCCAGCATCGACGCTTAGATTACAGTACAGGTTGTTATAATTTTTGGTGGACATTGATATCAGATGGAGTGATCGTTAAGAGTGGATGTACACGCACAAACGCATTTTGGATGCAAGATTATCGTGATCAATTTGGGGACCGGAAATTTCGTCAGCTTTTCATTCCTGGAACTCACGACTCTGCGTCATATAAATATAATTTTGACCCTAATCAAATGGAGACACTCGTAACACGTTATTCTCTGACTCAAGATGACGACATTTTATCTCAACTTATTCATGGAATTCGCTATCTTGATTTAAGGATCGGTTACTATCGTTCAAACAGTGACAAATTTTGGGCGAATCATGGCATATCACGACTTCATCCACTGACTGATATATTGAATTTAGTGAAAGAATTTGTTGATGCTACAAATGAAATTGTGATTTTAGATTTTCAAGAGTTCCCTGTTGGATTTGGGCGTGGAATTGATGTGCATAAGCAATTTGCTTTCTTTTTATTCCAACAACTTGAACATTACGCAGTGGACCCAGAACTAACGTGGGATGCAAGTTTAAATGACATTTGGAAAACTGGAAAAAGAATTATAATTGCTTACGATTATCATCGTCTGGTGCAAACTGAAAATCTTGGCATTCTCTGGTACAGTGTTAGACAACGTTGGGGAAAAGTCAAAGATGGACCCACACAATTGGTAAACTTCTTAGAGCAATCGAGATTGAATGCATCAAAAGAATTTCAAACATCCCGACCGTTTGCTGAGATGGCAGAACTCACACCAGAAGCTGTCGACGTACTTACAAATCGATATGGCGGATTACGATCTATGGCTGATCTCGTAAATTGGCATGTATCGAAGCTTTACAATGGCAACTTTGGAGCTGGTGCGAATGTTGTTGCTGTTGATTTTTATCGCTCTACTAACATTGTGGATATAGCAATAAAATGGAACCAGAAAAAGTTTCCAAAGAATTAAAAATTCAATGTGAGTGAATTAAATGGAAACTAAAGATAAAAGAAAATCTTGTTATAAAAATAAAATTATTTACTTTTCTTGATTTAATTTAACTAACAACTAAATATTTTAGAAATATAAGACAAAAGTTTTTCACTCATTTATAAAGCTACGCGGTACGATGAACGGATGTCTGTACAACCTTTAATAAAAGTAACATAAGCTCTAATATTTAGATATGCCATGAGAATCAAAATGGTTGATAATGGAGAAACGTCTGATCTTGAGTTGGTTTAGTGTAGACACGTTTGACACTTTTATCTGATTTTAATTCCTTCTTTCGCTTTTCGACTTCATCTTCTCTCACACGAGTTACCTTCCAGTCGGATCCTTTCAATACATAAATTTCTACTATTTTCACAGGCTTCTCTTCGATTACAGCTTTTTTGTTTTTAAGAATTCCTTTCAGAGGTTTTGGACCACATGATGTTCCCACTGCTTTTGAGGACGTTACTACTGTTTGTTGTGTTAATGGCATTGACATCACAGGTACTTCAGGAGAGGTTGATAAATCACTTTTTCTGTTAGTCGATGATGCTGATGAGCCCATGAAAAAATTACAAAAAGAGATCTGAAAATCTGAAATATTTGTAAATAATAATTTTATAGATTTCACCGGTAGATTATTTAAGTAGTTTTTACTTGATTTCTCAATCACCAAACAATTTCAATTTATAATGAACCTTTTAAAAAAATCTAATTCTCTTCCAAGCAACTGACTACCTAGGTAGTGCCACGAAATTCAATTTTTTGTAAGTTTCTTTCGTTTTCAATTTTAAAAGATGACTGAGATTTCCGAGAAAGATTGAGAGATATTTACAAATTGCATCATTTCGTGCATCATGATGATGAGAATCGTCAAGGTCAAGAAGAAATAAATATCTTGCTTGCATTTCCTTGTTTACATCGAGAGTATTACACTCAACGATCGTATTTGATTCGATCGAGTTCAAGTCGACGGTCACGACTACATTCTCAACAATTTCACTCAAGATTTCTCTCTTTACTCTTTTTTTTCTTCTTGGTTTATTTAAATCATTAAATCCAAGCGAGCTGATTCTTGTGATAAAATTTCTTTCTTTTGGAATTTTAGTGACACGGATCCAAATTTTAAGAAAAATACTTGAAGCAACTTAATTAATATTCTAGTCGAGTAAATCCTGAAATCTGCACTTTCTCTTACGTACCTGGTTTTCTGTTAAAAATACTGGAGAAAATAAATTGGGCAAGCAAAACAAAATAAAAGTTATTTTGCTTGTGTCGTTTTTTTATTCTCTCCGAAAGCACTTAATCCGAACTGAGACTCTTTTTCAAAAGAGTAACTTTTGAAACGTTATGAAAATATTATTTATTTTTAAAAGCTTTTTCAGACTACAGTTTAAGTGCTGAAAATCTCAACTATGATTGCACTACAAAATTACACAAATTAAATTAATAATCAATTAATCTAAAGCACGTACGAGACAATTTGAAAAAGTAAAACCAAACATTTAAATTACATTTTGAAAACATCAAAATAAATTTCATTATAACTTTATTTATTTGACTGACTCATGTTTTGAATTTTACAATCATTATTTATAATTACCTAATTCTCATCTCCATTTCTGTTTCAAACTTTCTAAGGCACCATTTAAAATGTCATCAAATATTAGTAAAGAAAGAAAAACTTTTTTAATATTAGAAACTCACATGTGAATTAATAGTTTGAGTGTCATTTGCATTTAAAATTAATAAAAATCTATACGCAAATTAACTTTTTCTAAGTATTCATTAACCATAAGATTTGTTTTAGATTTCGGTATCGCGTAAAGCTAACTTGGGAGCTCTAAGATAACATCAGATTAGATTGATTAGTTTTATATTTAATTCTCTCTAATTTCACTCAAAAATTGTTAATTCAATTCATGACTAATCCACCTTCAATTATAAAAAAACAAGTATTAATGTTCTTTTAGTATTTTTAAAAATCTTTTCGAAATGTGATTAATGATTTTTGTGTTCATCGATTAAGTTTAAATTTTTTCTATAATTTTTCGATATGGAATGTTCACGATTTCTGATATTTTTCTATTAATTAGATATTCTTTCTTAATAAGTATTAAAGTATGGCTCGAATCATTCATTTTCAATCAACAGAGTTCATTCAATTCAAAGAACTTGTAGATGATTTTCTGCTCAATGATGTCCGTTTCAATGATGCTTTGTTGCGCAATAAATGTTCATGAGCATACAACAAACATCCAATATCATGATAACCAGCTTCAAGTGATATTTTCAAAGCGGTATTTCCATCCTTAAAAATAAAATTTAAATAAATTTTAAAAGAATTCTTTGATAAATCAACTTACCACATCAACTTTTGTTGAATCGCAATCTGGTTGAGCAAGAAGAAATTTAACAATATCTAAATAACCATGCTCAGCTGCACACATCAACGCAGTTGAGCTTTAATTTAAATTAAAGAATTTAACAAATTGAAATTTTGAATGAAAATATTTAATGAATTTACCCATCATCATCTTGAATATTTATATCAGCTGATGCCTCAACAAGCATTGAAGCAATTGTTAAATTTCCATGAGAAACTGCCAACATTAAAGCTGTTTGCGAGTTCTTTGTTGCACGAATATTCACATCAGCCAATTTAAAAAGCCTTTGAACAACAGTTCGATGTTCTGGAACAAGAAGTTTGGCGAGAGAAACCAACATCACACAAGTGTATCCAGCATTATTAGTTTGATTGATGCTTGTCACCTGAAAAGAAGAAAACAAACTAATGAAGAAAATAGAATTGAGATGTAATTTCTGAATCTACCTTTGAATCTAAAAGAATTGAAACGACGTCAAAGTTTCCATGCGACACTGCATAATGCAAAGCGGTGTTTCCATTTTTATCAGCTAAATTCACCATAAATGTTAATAAATCCCACGATTGCTCCTCGAAAAAATCCAAATAATCCTCAACATTATCTGAAGTCGCTAATTCTGTGCTTGAGATTTTAAACCATTCACAAGACCCAACTTCACGTGCATTACGAATTTGAGTTTCATTTGGTTCAGGTGATTTTTGAAGATGATCATTCAACACTTTCAATGCTGCAATCATTTCTTTTGATGGTTTAATTCTAGAACGACATTAAACGAATTAATTAATTATCGGCAGAAGAACAAAAAAAATCTTACTTAATTCGATTTTGTTGACTGAGACGAATTGTGCTGATTGACGTAGGTGGCGGTCTTAATGGCATATTCATAAAAACTTGTTCATCATTAAACTTATCATCAACATCTTCTTCTTCGTCAAAGTCATCGTCGTCGAGATATTCAATAGACGGTGACATTGGCATTTTAGAAGTTTCAAGTGCAGAAGGTTGTTCTGGAAGTGCTTCTGATGGTGAGTCTTTCACTGGTTCATCAATTAGATCTTTATGCATCTCGAGATTGCTTTCATTATTTTGTTTCTCATTCTTGTCTTCAGAACTTGTATGCTTGGATTGTGTCATCGTTAATCTTTAAAAAATCAAAAGAACGATTAAATTAAATGTAAATCAAATTAAAAAAACAATTCTTAATGTTTAAATGTCAACCTCTCAATGTCTTTTTTAAGGCCATTATCATCGGATGGTGAAAGAAACATATCAATCAAATTCCTTCCTCGCTTCACTTCAAATATTTCTTCTAACATTTCCCGACACTTTCTTCCCAAAAGGGATTTATTTAATGAAAATTTGAAGTTTTCAATCAAACTTTTGTAAAAATAATTTTTTTCTCTTTTGTTTGGATTTATTATGTGCTGGTACAGAAAATCATCGAGACTTGCGTTGCACATGCGCACGTTTTTGTTAGGTGATTCATTTTCACCGTTCCTATGATTTTACCCTTCAATCTTTACATATTTTCGAAAGAAATCGAAAAAAAAAACGTTAAGAAAGGCTGAAAACTTACTTCAACAACTTTTCCGCTGGACATTCTTTAATGTCAATGTCATCAGATTTTAAGATATTTTGTGTCACTGTAAAAGTTTCCTGCCTCACAAATTTTCTTGGAGTTGTAGGACTTGGTCGTGGAATTTTTGAACTACTTTGGAACAAATTCGGAGCTTCCAAGATATGATGTTGAGTGTCACAGTTTATGCCAACATTTTTCGTGGTAACTGAAGTTGTGTTTGAAGCTGTTGAACGTTTGATCGGAAGTACAGGTTGAATTGTGTTTACTCCCATTTGATGAACTTTTACTAGATCCGTGGTATGAGTTATTTGATCGCGTTTCTGTGCCGACTCTGTCATTGACATTTTGTGTGCTAATCTGAACAAATCATTTGAGTCAGTAGTTTTGTTTACAACACATGGCGTAGATTGTGTACTTTGATGATACATCGAAGGATTTATCGTTTGTGTGGCATTTGATCTGGCAAGTGGCATCTTGTTCAAATCTTTAAGTGACAATTTTGATAACATTGGAAGTGATTTCGTATCTGCATCGCTATTTTCAGCTGGTTCAGGTGCAATACTAATTCCTTTCACAGTAGTTGTCATCAGCGGTTGTTTTATGTTAGCTAATGGCTCGATAGTCAAGTTTTTGACTGGTGTTGTTACAAATGATGATCGGAAATCGTTGATTGTCGACTTGATATCTATGCCACTTACCATTGTCTTTGATAAATTTTGTTCATCAGTATTACATGAAGCATTTTTGGAAGGCAATGTCAATGATCCACATCCGATCGTGCGTTGTTGTGGTCTAGAAAATAAATTAATAATTGCTTTAAAATTCACAAAAAAATATTTAATTTAACTACTTTTCTTTAATAGCTTCAAGACACTGTGTCCCTACAGTTACTGAAACTTTTCTCATTTTTGCATGTGCCATTTCGATCGCTTTTTTCAAATCCTTTTCAGTATAAAATCTTCCTCCATCTCCTTCTATTTTCATAGAAAAATCAGTAATTGTACCTCGTTGGGTTGTCTTTGCTGTTGTATCAGCAGGAGAACATCCAACATCTCGTTGCAAAACACAGACAGTGCTCGTTCCAACAGTTCTTTTTGGAATCGTCACAGGAGGCAATTTATAAGAATTTAGGCTGACTGGGCTGACACGATGTGCCTGGAAAACAGGTTGATGTTGTTGGGGAGACGTGGAAGATGATGAAGATGCTCGAGATTCCAACATTGATTGAAGTGATTGTCTTTCATCTTTCAGTGCTTGGATTTGAAGTTGAAGCAATGGAATTAATTTCGTCTGCTGTTCTAAATCTCGAATTCTTCGTTGAGCTATTATTTCATTGTCAGATTCTTGTTTCTTTCCTTTGTCATCAGATTCGGTAACAACATCAAATTGAGGTGAAACGTCAGAAGCTTCTTCTTCACGATATTTTGAATGTTTCTTTAATGGTATACAATCACCTAAAAATTAAAAAAAAAATCAAAAATTTGAATACACAAAACTTTAAATTAACCAACTCAAATGCATGGCTCGTGTTATTCCATTTACAGAGAACTTAAAATCTTTGACCACTAACAAGCGCTTTTTATTTGAATTAAGATCATTTGATTTTTTAATAAATTTATTCATCACAATTGTGCTTTTTTTCATAAAAACTGTGTAAATAATTTTTTGCGTTAAATTTTTCTATTTTCTGTTTTGCGTCACTATTTTTGGTGATCTAAAATCAAACACAAAGACAGAAACAGTGACAAACAGATCACGTTGACAAAGTCAACGTATTGAGAAAATTTCATATTCTCAGTTCTGACTTCCTTTAGAAAAAACAATGAAAAGTATTTTTCCTGGTTCAATGCCTGGATCACGCTTTTCTTTTTTGTTCATAATTCTGCAATAAAATCTTAAAGTTTTAAATTTTAATCTCAGATGTTTTAAAACTCAAAGCAGTTAGACTCTCAAAAAATATTTTGTACAGAAAGTTATTGACATTGTAGTGGCTACAATTATTATAAAGCTGTTTTCACATGCTTCTTTCTAAAAATATCGTTTATGGGATCATTAGTGAGATGATTCATAAAGTTTGTTTAATTGCAACAATGTGTTAAAAATTATTTTAAATAATTTTTTTCTTACCGGTTTTCAATTTTTCTGGTTCTACTTCTCTGTCTTTACCTCTGCGGCTTTTCTTATCTTTGCTATTTTTACTTCTTTCCAGAGTTTTCTCAAAATCATGAACAACATCATTCATGCACGGATCCCAACTTAGAGATTCTTTGAAAACTCCTTGCTTTTGATGTTTGGCATAAAATGACACACTTGGTGGTTCTATTGAATGAATATGAGTTCTTGGAGGTGGCTCGGGAGGCTGAGATTTGGATTCCCAAAACTCGCTTAATTCGTCCATTTGATGTTGCATTTCTAACTGAATCCCCAACATCACTTCCATAGATTGTCTTTGACGACGTCTTTGTCGGCGTTGAAGTTCGACATCACTCAACTCAGGTTGTGTTAAGTTTTCACAATATTTTATAAAATCCAAATCAATCTGTTAGCCATAAGGAAGCATCAAGCAAGACGACGATGTTAGAGAATGTGGATAAGTAACGGCTGAAGTCATTTTTATAAGAATTTAATTTGTCTTTTTGGATGTCTTTTATATTTTCCGCAGTTCTGTGAAAATAGTTAAATGTATTTATGAATGCACTCTCATCGTTCGTGTACGTAAACAACAATAAGCTAAAATGACACATGCCGAAGCGTAAGTGTAAGAAGATATTTCAAATGCTTAAGAAAATATTTATGTAGGTATTTATTTTTCTTCAAATGCATACACAGAAATGATTCTCTCGATTTGCCTCTCTTTCAAGTAAATAATTATTTTTACGCCTTCTCATACTAAATTTACAATTTGCTCGCATATTTTTCTTAATGAAACACCAGGTGAAAGAAATTTACATCAGAATCATGTTAATGATAAAAATATTATGATCAACCATTTATCACGGGAATGCTTCAAAAGATTATTTTACAGTTAGCATAAATCTTTAACATTTTAAAATTCATACTTAAACTTTCCAACGTTTTATAAGAATATGCGAAATTTTGTAATTGCATATTTTTTGTTATGTTTTATTCACTATAGTTCAACTTTCAATAATTACCTGGTTTATGATGGTTACAATAATTTAATTTTTACAACTTTAATTTTGAAACATTGCATTTTGAATTAGGAAAATAATTTTCCACGATCTGTAAATTAAGGTGAGACACGAAATGAAGAGAAAACTTGAGAAACTATCTAGGAACTGGTTTTATGACATTAAAAGTATCATACAGACGCATATGTACAAAAATATATGTAGATACTCAAATAATGACTTAGTGAAGTGAGATAAGTTTTAAAAGTGTAGGTGCTGATTTGATCGCTGCTATGTTAAAAACAAAGAGATTTAAAATATTACAATACGTTAAATGTGAAATATTAAATTAGAAGAGATTTTCATTAAAACTCGTTCAGATTTTTCGCAGACAATGAATTTAACGAGTTCTTATGTATCTTCTTAGGGACAACTAAAACTGGTCATGTTAAACTAAGATGACCCAAAGATTTTTTGTGGATATCTCATTATATCTAGTTTATTTGTGTCCGTCAGAAAATCTAATAAAACGATTCTGAACTGGTTGAGATTTCTTCTCAATTAACAAAAGAAATCTAAGATTCAATGGACAAAATTTAAAACTCCTAAATTCTCCCTTTTGTTAAAAAATTTAATGAAAAAAATATCGCGAATTTTAATGTGAAATGGAAGCCGTTGCCGGATGGTTATGAATTGATCTGTGATGCTTGCTAACGTTTTTTTATAATCTATAGAAACTAAGCAGATGAATTGTAATGTAAATGACATCACAAAAATACGTTATAAGGAAAACTAAAATGACAAGAAGAAATATTTAAAACTTTTCTTTCTATCTCTTCTAACTTATATTCATCATTTATCTAGGAAATTTTATAGTCTTTAAAGCAATCTCTATATATAAAAATTACAATAAATTTATTTCAGGCATTTTATAATTTTTTAATCCAACCCTTTCAAATAGATGCATTTTGCAAATGCGCATAAATGCATTTTAATGTAAATGCAGCCATTGCATTTCTTTCTATGCTCACGATTGGCCTGTGAAAATAAATCATATTTTATCTTTCATTATACATTGTAGACATGAGATTCGAATTATCTTCTATTATAAACATAATATTTATTGGTTTTAATCCTAAATCTCAAGCAGTTTGTAAACATTTGCCGCGTTTTTTTGAATCTATAGATGGGCTCAAAAATATAAAACTTGTGCCGCTCACCCCCACAATATTCTATATTAAGTCACACGCTCACTTCACTCATAAAAGAAAAGTACATCAGAAAATTTCTTTGAAATTGTGAAAAGTTTTTTCCGTTTTCCGCCTTTTTTCGTTTTTTCTTAGAAAAAAAAATAAAGTTTGTGACACAATAACAGATCGAAAAATTAAAAATTTTGGCAGAAGTTTTAATCTTATATTTTTGAGGTTTTTGTTATAAGAAAAAAAATCTGAAAGCGTGGCTTCTTTTGTTTTCCCTAAGCGGCGCCCGAAAAAGTGTGAAAGTGAAAATTTTCAAATGAAAAATTTCTGGAAAAGTTTTTAATGTGAGTTATAAAGAAATGTATAATTGTAGTGTAATTTTGAGAAATAATTTGCAAGTAATTGCAGTAGATATCTATAGCGAAAATTGCTCAATCAGAAAAATCCGTAAACAATGAAAGGCAAAAAGATAATACGCGGAATATTGTTGAATGTATAAGTGCCTTAACTCTCAAGATTTGAGAGTATGAGTGAAGACGAAAAATATATTTCATTTACTTTTACGCACAATTTTATTGTCTCACTCTTTTCAGCATCTTGCTCACTCTTTGGAGTATGATTAGTCACACACTTATAAAATTGGGTATCCAAATGATTCAAAATGATAATGAAAATATGCGTGATAATATCGAAAGCATGGTGAGATACAGAAATAGTAATGTTATCAAGTGTTGTAGATAAATTGAATGAACAACAAACAAATTGTATTCTCATTTCATAAAATCGAACACCATATGCATAGATTTTACCAACAGTTTCATTGGTTCTAAAAATAAGGTTTTGCGAAGGAAAAAAGGGTGCTGAATACTTGAGTTTTAATGTTTGTTTTTAAAAATTATGAAGTTGAATGAACTTTTGTGATTTGTTTCATTTACAATTTTAATAACAAATTTAATTTTTGACTTTTTAAAAGTACGTGAATTACTAGCAAGTATTTTGTTAAAGGGTAGGTAGTTAGTTTATTATAAGTATAGTTGAACAATCCAACAAAACAAAAATATGAATCATTTTAGTAAATGTTTTTTACTTCAGTTTTGCATTTGTGTACAATTACATATCGTCACTGAATACAAGTTAAGCCTTCAGAAAAATATATCTACGTAGTATAAAATTAATGGAAAGATAGTTAAACTAAGTTTTTTCCAACTACGCAAACCCGTGTTGCTGAATGAAGTTAAGAGAAGCGTAATATTTCCCTCGTCAAATCGCAATACTTTTACCCAAAAATTTTATGATTAATTTTATTTTTTAATTAAGCGTTTTAATGACCCACAGAAATAAAAAAGCGATTGAAGCAAGTAACCTGAAAATTTTCCAATTAGCTTTGCATGAAGAATAGTTTTCATCAAAAAGCTTTTAAGGATGAAAAGCAACAAATAAGTGTAAACATGTTTAAATGTTTTTGAAATCATTGTGTTTACCTATAATGGATAATCTTCTTTATTTCTCTTAAATAACACAAAATCAAATTTTTAAATTTATGTCAATGTTTTGATCAAAATTTTCCCTGGTTGCTGATCGTTGTACTTATTTACATTTCTTGCTTAAAAAAACTTAAGTAAGTTGTTTCTTTCATGTGAAATTGCATTTCAAAACAGAAATTTTATATTTTTGTAGCGTTTCAAACGTAGGCGTACAAAAGAGAAGGGGAAAGCATAAAATTGATTATACAAACGTATGCTTCAATGTAGATCATCATAGTAATATATTAAAAATCCCTTTCCTGCATTCTCATAGAAAAATTAGAAATGACTTTTGCGCGCAAATTAAGAAATAGTCAAAGATGTCTGTTGATGGGTCTTGTGAGAAAAATATCCGGTTTTGTGGGGTAGACGAATTAAAGCTTCTACCATTCTTACAACCGGCAGAACGAGATAACTGAGAGGAAAAAATCCATTTTTATTCTGATTTTCTATTCATTAAAATAAAATAGCGCTTTTTGATGTGAATGGATTCTCTTCACAAACAATAACGATACAAAACAAGAAAGAATGTGAGTCTCTTCCAGTCCTCATACGGGAAAAAAAAATCTTCTTCTTATGCATCCCATTTTTAGCGCGGATTTCTTTTCGTTCGGCTAGTTTTAATAGTTTTGATATACCACGGTCAATCTCAGTCTATGTGTTTTTTCGTTGGAATTAATTACATAAAATATCTGAAGAGAGAAAAATGTGACGTTGATGTCACAATCGTTCGGAATGAATATCATTATAAACATTGTTCATGTTGTTTTCTAAACTCAATAAAATTTCTAATGCTCAACTCGAAAACAGAAATAATATTCACTTTATGCTTATAAAACCAAAATTGCATACAAAGCCCTGGCTGTCACTTTGTTATTATTACTTTTATTATTTATCCCATTAATATTTAGGCATTCTTCTTTTCGAAACAAAAAATGAAAAAGAGATTTTAGAAACCAAACCTACCATTTTTTTTGTTTGATTTTGCGGGCGCTGAAGATTCTTAGAAGCGGACCTTGAAGCTTACCTTTAAAACGCCGAAATGGCAGTTTCCTCTGAAACATATTTAGAAAAATATATGGAAAGAAAACAAGAAAATGTTCAAGGAAAAGGGATGCTAAATATTACGATGCCATAAGCTATAAGTCTAGCTATAATAAGTTATACTAACTATCTAACTTTATCATGACTTTAGTGAGAAATGAGAAAGAGAAATTGATTGATTTGATTCTTTATAAGTATTTGTGCGCTCTCAAATGCTTCTCTCTATCATTAACTATTTCAGAATATATTAAAATCTTTGCTTCTTATTTTAAAAAGAATTTCGGCAATACAAAACATATTAAAGAAATTAGAGGAAAAGGGAGAAAAAGATCACTTCTCCCTCTTATATTTTCTTCCCTTTGCCCTTCTTCTTCTAAACGTTTCAAACACTCGGTACGGTATTTTGCCGGCGTTTCTTAGTTTAGTTCGGAATTTCGTCTAAGTAAGTTCATTGAAAGAGTGATTTACGTTGAATTTCTCATATTCTTAATATTGTTTTATTAAATAAGTTTCAAGAGCGAGCACTTAATCAGACACATTTATTTTTTTTTCAGAAATAGAGTCTCAACACAACAGACCACGAAGATAAAAATTAATTAATTTGATTTTGTTGTTCTGAATAATCTGCTTAGCTCCATGAAAACTTCAAGAAATCAGTAGCAAGCAAAAAATATCAAAATTTCAATTCAAGCAGTTTTCCACTCATAAATTAAGTGAAAAGTTTAATTAAACAGTTGTGACAGTTTTAGACATAGAAAAAAAAATTAAGAAAAAAACCAGCAGAATAGCCTTGAAAGTGGTTTGAAAATAAGGAAAAGAGAGCGACTGAGCAAAAGGAATAACAAAATAAAGCTAGCAGCAGCAGCAAGCACCATAAAAATCATCGTTTATGTATCCGTGAGAATTTCCGGAGTCAAAAAACAATATTTCGGCATCAAAATTTCATAAAAATATTTGGACAGTAAAAATTGTATCATAGATTAAAACTAAGATTGATATCGATTGAGAAAAGTAAAGTTCATTAAAATTGGAAATTCAGTAGAGAAAGAAAAGTTTGAGGAAATGGCTTCAAATATTGATCAATTTGCTGATTTAGAGCTGTCAAAGGAAGATCGTGAACAGATCTTTGATGATCCGCTTGATGTAAGTCAGCCACTTACGCCACAGAATGGATCCAGGTGAGTTTGAAGATTCATGCTTTTTTACTGTTTGATTTTAAGGAACCCAAAGCACAAATTATATGAACTCTAAGTTTTACCTGAATTATTTTTTCGATCCCTTTTTTCTTCATTCTTCTCTTTGAACATTTCATTTCATTCTTTTTTTTCTTGTGAATCGTTTGTGCTCTCAAATTAAAAAGATTAGCGCGCCAAGATTTCTCTCAAAGTTTTGGAGAGAATAATTATGTTATATGTCGTAGATATTTTAATTATGCTGAATTATGTGCACTCAGTTTAAATTATTTTCAGTGAATATTTGAAATACTAAAACTGTCAATCTGATGGCTTTACGATCTCAATCTTGTCATTGAAATGCATTTTTTTTTTCAATTCTTTATGACAAGGAATGCACATGAAAACGAATTTATTAAAAGTAGAAAATGATGAAAAATTGTAATGACAAAGTTATCCTAAACTGACAATTGACATAACTTAAAAATCATGGTCATGAACGTTCAACATAATTTATGATGGTGTCACAAAACACGTGATCATTTTTATAATCTCTTTTACATGTTTTTCCGTTTCTTAATGTTTGTTGCAAAATATGAAATTTTGATCGTGAAAAAATGATTTTGCCAGGGTTTCAGACAAAATTCTTAGAAATTTCTTTCGATTTTCTTAAAATGTTTGTCTCTCTCCCTCTCGTTTAACTACATAACCTTCACAAGCCTTCTCAGGACAGTCTTATGTTCTACGATCTAATGCCAGATGGGTTTTTTTCCGGTATTAATTTTTGTGTATCTCTTTTCGTTGATTTTGTGTCCTTGTATGTGTGCTATTGTTATAAAAATCAACATTCCCTAAATTTAACTGAAGAGAGAAATTTAAAATACGGAAGTAAATTTTGCTATAAGCATCTAGCAACTTAAATATCTTGATCGTGAGATAGAAAAAATGAAGCAGGTTTCCCTTTTTTTAATATTTGCAAATGTCTTTCATTTTTTTAATTTAACTTTTCGTCGTTTTAAATCTGCTTCAATTATTTTCATATTTACTTAGTCAAACGACAAAGGTTATTATAAGTGGAATCCCTCAACACGCTAACTTCAGCGATGTGGAGCCGTTGTTAAAGCAGTACGGAAGTGTTGAAGAATGTGATGCGGTTGCGAGTAAAGATCCTAAGACTCAGACTGTCCACATTACTTTTGAATCGTACGAACAAGCGCAAAGGTGAGGTTCTAGTTATGAGTGAGAAAGAGATTCTTTATTAAACTTTAAAAAATCATGCTTAGTATCAAATTAATTATTGAAGATAACTAACGATGATATCATTCATTTACAGAGCGGCCGCAGGTTTAAACGGTGCTGAATTTGAAGGAAGTAATTTAATAACCGAACTTCTTGTTGAAAACAAAGCTCAGTCTGTAAGTGGTGGAGCAACATCAGCTTCATCCCAGCAGAGAAGAAGTCAACGCAATCGTTCCCAATATGGAAATGTTACCGGTGGCCCTGGACGCCAAACTGATTTTCCTCTGCGAGTTCTTGTAGCTAGCGATATGGTTGGAGCTATCATTGGCCGTCAAGGAAGTACAATACGACAAATCACTCAACAAAGTCGCGCCAGAGTTGATGTTCATCGCAAAGATAATGTTGGATCACTTGAGAAAGCTATAACGATTTATGGAAATCCTGAAAACTGCACAATGGCTTGCAAAAGAATTTTAGAAGTCATGCAACAAGAAGCAAACAACACGAAAAAAGGGTAAATATAATTAATAAATGTTATTTAAAAACAATTACCTAATAGAATGTTTGATAATTCTAGCGAAATATCATTGAAAATTCTTGCACACAACAATCTTATCGGTCGAATTATTGGTAAATCTGGTAACACGATTAAACGTATCATGCAGGACACCGACACAAAAATTACTGTCAGTTCAATCAACGATATTAACAGTTTTAATCTTGAAAGAATCATCACTGTCAAAGGTTCCATCGAGAACATGTCTAAGGGCGAAGCTCAAATTAGCTCTAAACTCCGTCAAAGTTATGAAAACGACTTGCAAGCTTTGGCACCACAGAGTATTATGTTTCCAGGTCTTCATCCAATGGCAATGATGTCAACGTCTTCTGGAAATGGAATGGGATTCCCTGGAGGAAGAACAGGAGGTAATACGGGCGGAGTTTATCCAACAAGCAACTATCCGCCAATGTATCAACCGACTGGCAATCAGTTACCAGGTGCTGCCGACATTCAAGAGACAACTTATCTATATATACCTAACAATGCAGTCGGCGCTATCATAGGAACAAAAGGATCTCACATTCGAAACATAATCAGGTTCAGCGGTGCAAATGTTAAAATTGCACCTCTTGAAGCAGACAAACCAACTGAACAGCAAACAGAACGAAAAGTCACTATAGTTGGTACACCAGAAGCTCAGTGGAAAGCTCAATATCTGATATACGAAAAAATGAGGGAAGAAGGATTTGTAAGTGGAACTGATGATGTTCGTCTTACTGTCGAAATTTTGGTTCCGAGTTCACAAGTAAGTTGCATATGTATTTCTGTTTTTGTATTCTCATGCTTTGTTCTTGTCTGGAGATGAAAATTTATTGATATTAATGCTGTTAATTATTCTTTCAGGTTGGTCGAATCATTGGAAAGGGCGGTCAAAATGTTCGTGAACTGCAACGAGTTACTGGCAGTATAATTAAACTTCCAGAACATACCACTGCTACACCTGCAGATGAAGAGACTACTGTACATATAATTGGTCCATTCTTCAGCGTACAGTCAGCTCAACGACGCATTCGAGCTCTATTATCGGTAACAAATCCGCCACCTACTTCTGGGCGGCCAAAGCCATCATCGGGTCAACAAACACCTCAACAACAACCGGCAGTTCCTCCTGCACCTTCAACCCCCCAAGCAAAACCTCAGAATCAATCAAATACAACAGCATAAATTCAATAATGTCTTTGCATCCCAACAACGCCAGCAAATTTTTACAGCCAATAATAATCGTCGAAAGCTAACAGATAAGATCAGGGAAAAATCATTATCATCATTATTATTATTTTTTAAATTATCTATTAGAAAAAAAAGTCGCACTTATAAAATAATCTCCAATCATGTTCAAGTCTACTTAAGCAACGTGACGTCTAAATTTATAGCTCATGTTTTAAACAAAATTTTGGCAGACAAAATTAAATACTTTTATGACAATTCAAATTGAAACTCAACAACATCAAAAGAAATTGAACAAAAATTATATTTTAAAACTTGATTTTAAACAACACAGAAAAATGATAAGAATTTTTTTTAAATTTTTTGTTATACAAGAAAGGCAGATAATTTCTCAAAAAAATTATTCACTCGATAAAAACACTGACGAGTAGTGAGAAAACAAAGGACAAGAAGAAATCATGTAAATAAACACTTTTGGAGTGTTCAAGTAAATATAAAACAAGAACATTATGATGAAAGTTTGTGTGGCATCTTAATCACAATATAATATAAAATAATTGTATTTGAACATCGAAGAGCTAGGATGCGATTACCGACAAAACTAGAGACACACAAAAATCTACCAAAAAATTGCCTTATTTATTGTTTTATTTCATTTTTATGTGAATAAGAAAGCGTTAATAATAATTATTAGATGAAAAAAAAAGTATTTAAGGGAGAAAATATGTTAATTAGATATATGTAAGATTGCAAGAACGTATAAAAAAGTATTTCGGCTCAGTAAATCCTCAAAATTTTATACGAGTACAACTTTGAAGAAATTAAATACCTCATAGAAAGTGCATTAAAATTGATGTTGAAAGAAACTTAAGAACAGTTTAGAAGCTTTTGTCATAGCGTTCATTAATGTCATTTTCTTTTTACTTTCTTTAATTTTTTTATTTTCATTTATTAAACTTTATTGCTATAAAAATAATTTTAACGAAGTTTACCGAAATATAATCAAAATATTATTGTCTCTGTTTTTTTAAAAGATTTATACTAACTTAAAATCAGATTTAAGCTTTAGAAAATATTTTCTTCATTGTCTTTTTCTTATAAATCAAGTTCACATAAATAATGCAACATTAAATCTGATTGATAATGAACGCTCGCTTTAAATCTTCTTCATTAACATAACTCTGTATCAATAAATAATTGCAAATATTACCTTATTTAAAATCAGAATCAATAGTACAAAACTTATATCTTTACAACATGCAAACATAAATGCGTTACTTTTACACACAGAAACACCACTTTTAAACAGAAAGTGAAGAAAAATCTTTGTTTTTCAAATGAGCTGGTATATAATAATGAATTTGAGGATAAACTGATTCCAATTTATTTGACTGAATGTTCAGAATTCAATGTAAGTAATATCTGTAGCAGTCATAACAAAGAAAAATGAAAAAGAAGTAGATGAAGAAAATTTAGCATAATTTGAATTTTCATCGAGTTAATGTAAATTTGTAGCATTAAATGAATAATAAGAAAAATATTTAAAAATGAATATTTTTGATATTTAATATCTGGGGCTGAATTGAAAGCTTAAATAAGATGATTAGATTCAAAATTCCGGAATAAGAGATATAAATATCATTGTGCGTTATAAAATCTTTAAATTTGTTGGATTTTTAATAAGTGAAACGTTGGAATGAAAACTATTTTTGTCATTATTGAAATGAAAGGAAGAGAATTTCAATTGCGCACTTTATCTATCTAACTTATGTTAGTTATGCAACATTGCAACATGAAAGTGAAAAGGAAAATCTAAAGTTGCGTATATAATATGAGAAAATTAAGACTTTACGAAAGTGAAATTTTTAAAATTTAGATTTCTTTTTGAAATGTTGATAAGTACATAATATTTTTTAAAAGTTTTAATGAATGGCGCAAATTTCTAAATTTTAAAAATTTATTGAGGACAGTGAGAACCAAAGCACTTTGCGCCTTCGAAAGAATCGTTAAAAGGGTGATATTTAGCGAGTAAAACCGCCATTTTAATTTTCGAAGCAATTATTTTGCTAAATATTATTTTTTTTATTATATATATTTTAATCCTTTTATGTAGATATTTATTGATTTTTCCTTTTAACATTATTTTCAAATCTAACGTTTTTTTCTCTCAATTCGGTTTCAAAGTTTCCCTTTACTTTGCTAATTCATTTTAGAGGCTATAAGCGACTAATCGCCAATGTCAATCCTCTTAAATTTTAAAAGTCCTTACTTAACCGTAATTGTGCCAAGCTAGAATTTAGTTTCTTTTTCTCATTTTTTTCCTAAATTATCTAATGCATATTATTGCGATCAGCAAATCAAAAATGAATTAACTATACTATACAAAAATTTCATTTTCAACTGACTTTAAAACCAGAGAATCAGGGACAGTATAAATAGTGACAGTTTTAAAAATCAACAAGAGAATGGTTTGTGAGTGAAAAGATAAGTGAAATAATCAATCAGAAACACTTTTCCTCTCTTTTTAAATGAAAGAAAAAAAAATCTCATAGTTTTTATTATATCTAATCATTTAAATTTTATTCCAACAAAAACATAGATAACGTTAAATCACTTAGGAAAAATCGAAAACAAATGTAGTGTAACATATTTACGATAAGTTCAATGATACATATTGGAAACTACCTACATGCAACACAAACAAAAATAAATATTTATCTTGTTTTGAAAATGAAAACCCAAAAGACATGCCCCATAAGCTGTATCGACGACGAATAAAAAAAGTTTTTGGCTTAAAACAAAAAAAGGAAAAAAGATTGATTCAGAAAAATAATCTACTCGATGAAAAAATAAAACAATACAAAAGAATATTTGGCGAAGACATGAAAAAAAATAATTGATCAATAATTGGATTCAATGACCTAAAAAACAAACAAATTATTCTTGAACTTTTGAAAAAAAAATGAAAATTATTAATGCAAGAGTAAAAAAACAAGCTTTTCGATAATGAAACTTGAATTTCAAAGATTGAATAATTTATTGAAACAGCAAAACTCAGAGCATGAGGCAACATTCAAAATATAAAAAAGAAAAAACACTTGGTAAAATACTTCTGCAGACGATAACATAATTATAGTACCAAATCATTTACTGATTTTGCAGAGAAGCAATAGCAATGCTTGATTTTAATGTTTAATTGCTGCACTTAAAGAAGAAAAGATCAGAAACAAAAAATAAATATATTTGATGAATTATAAAAAAATATTAAACTTAGTTGAACAAAATTACATAAGAAAGATTATTCAATCAAACGTAGATGAAAAAAGTTAATTCAGTTCACATCCATCTTTCAAAAAATTGCTATAATCACTAAATACTTTTTAGGAATGATTTATTTTATCGAAATCATTTGAAGTAATATAATTTTATTTCGGAAACAGAAACGATCCCTTGCAAAACAATTTCTCTGACATCACAATGAAGATTCAATAAGAATCGTTTCTCAGGAGATCATTACAATAATTTTGAAGGAACTGAGAAGAAGATTTGTACGTTAGTAGGAGACTGATTATTTTATTATATCACGTACAAATCTTCAACTCGTTCATCATATTTTAAAATCTAAACTTCGAATACTAAAACATTGCATCACATCCTGAATCCATAGGAGATCATGAATTCATCCATTTACATTTATATTTTTTTCTGTTAATTTTAAATATCTACTTTAAACTATTTATAAACCGTATGGAAAATAGTTTCTTAAATGACAGTTTTAAGAATATTTTTTAAAGAGTTAAAAATATGTTTTACATAATTCATATCTTTCTTCTTTTTTTTTCTTTGAAATAATAGTGACCAATAATTATTAAGATTCAGTTACATTAAATAAGAATACATATATAATAAAAATCCAGTTGATGTTATTAAATCCTCATATACTAGCCAGCCTGTGTGATAATAGTTTATGTTCCTCTGTTAGTATATGTTGGTTAATAATAATTAACAGCTTACATTATCAAAATCAATAGACTTCAAAAAAAAGAAGCATAAAATTATATGGAATTACATAAATATTTACCGAATAATAACCCACATTACCCAAACATTTAGTACACCTAAGATTGGCAACACTGAAAAGGTCATAAACAGTTTCAACATAAAGAAGAAATACCATTTTCCTAGTTGCCGAGCATATTGTTTGAAAAGCGAATAAATTTAAATGAGATTTTCAATCACACCACTTGACGTATAAAAGTTAAAAATTAATAACTACATTTTTAGATATTTAAGTTATGATCTAGGACATTGAAAACTAATTCAGTAATTCTCTTTCTATCCATCAAACACTAAACCTAGTAAGAAAATATAAGTATGATAAAAGAAATTCCAGATTTTCCATTCGCAAAAACCATGTTGAACTACCTCAATTAACGTTTACCAAAAATGGATTCCTTTAAACAAATCTACCTCAAATAAAATAGCAAATGACGACAATTGACCATTGATTATCAATAATGAAGATCAAGCTTTTTTTAAATTTTCATTTCATTTCATAAAATGTAAACTTACAAAACTCTCAAAAAAGAAAAGGAAAATCTGTATCGAAACAATTAAATAAATAATAAATATACAATTTAAACACTTTTCAAATATACATCACAGCATTTTGCCAAAACGATTTTTGGAAAGCAGAAATTTATGGATGTTTGGTTTACTGCGCGGATATATTTATTATCTAATTGAAATTTCTGGAATTGAGCAAATTAATATTAAAAGAAATATGATTCAGATTCTGAAATAGTAGTGTTGAACAAATAAATAAATAAACAAGAAATAAAAATTAGCAAGTTGTTTTATTTTTAATTTAATCATTAGTTTAATTTAATTCTTCTTCAGAAATTTTCATTTCATCTTCGATATCTTTACACGTGGCTTCATATTTTTTCCAGATATTCTTGAACCTTTACATTTCCACAGATTACCAAACCTTTACGTGTTTATTTGTAAGCGATCTACGTAGCCATGTTCAATTCCCATTATAACTCCTTAATTAAAAACTTTTCAAATAGGATGTTTTCTGAAGATGTATTCAGTTTTATCTCCTTTATCGATTGGCGTTTACCGCACCGTGATTGAACAAATGCAGTAAGTTGACAAATTTTGTTTATTTTACAGGTAAAATGTGTGGAACAGGAGGAAAACGAAACACAATTTCCATTGACGAATTAGGTACCTATTCTTGTCAGACGAATTTTATTTTTATCCGTCAAGAAAATGATTAAAGAAAACATAAAATATCAAAAAATTCACAATCATCATGTAATTTAATATAGTTCGAAATGATAAAGCTGAAGATTTTTAAAAACATCCTAATTTTGTTTGAATAGGGAGTAGTAAAGGTCGTTCCTAACCAACACCTTTAATGCAAAATAAGGAAGGATTCGTAAAACTTTATTACAAACGCGATCATGTCATTTAATTTCTTATACGTTCTTTATTTACTATGATTTGAGATGATAATTTATATAATTTTTAATTAACAACAGTTCATGAATACTAATTTACTGACTTCATATATTTTTTCTTTATTCTTGAACCGTGAAGGTCAATTGCTTCGAACTGCGATTTTCAAATTTATTTGGAGTTTTTATATCAAGAATTGCAGTAATTGCAATACTGAGAACGATACCAAGGATGAATGTAACAAAAATTCCAGAAACGATAGCTGGAGATACAATGCCTACGCAATCAAATGCCTTGCTGAATTTATTTTCACCCTTCAATAGCGGTTGAACTTGAATATTTTTCAATAATAGTGAAATTTTGGCCGATTTAAATACGAATGAATTTCCACAAGCAAACGAGAATCCAAGAGGTGCTAAAATACCATAAAAGTTGAATTAAAAAATAAATTAATTTATGAGCAAAATCAAACCTTTTGGAGTTTCGCCAACAATATTTAACATTGTCGTTTTTCCATCAATATCAACTTCTGCTTGATTCATAATCCACTTTCCGCCAGATATTTGGAAACAGAATCGAATAGTTATCTAAAAGAAGAGTTAAGTTTCTTAAGAACAGTTAAGATGATGGTTAAAATGTTTACAGTTTTCTCAGGAACTATGAACTTGATGATAAGTTTGAAAATGTCTTGGCGATCATCAGCAGTGACAATGGCATGCTAAAAAGTAAACACCACTTAATCTCATATCACAATTATTTAATAAAAATAAATGTTTACCTTTTGAAGTGAGTAGGTAACATCTTCACTCGGTTTACTACCTTTGATTTTCAAGATAGGAATTTCGGTTGTGTAGAGAATTCCTTTTCCAGTAGCCGAATAAATTAAGTTATCCTCAGTTGAATCATCACTTGATGTAGTTGTTGGCATCTCCGTAGTGACATCATCTTGTTTAGCTTCTCGTTTGTAAATTGTGTGATCAATTTTATCGCTTCTTGTTGCTAATATTCCCAAAATATTTTTTTGCCCGTAGTTTATTTGTGCATCTCTGTAAAGAGCTGCTACTTCAACATCTTGTTGTTCAGGTGGACCAGTTAAAACAAAAACCTATGCACAGATTTGCATTAATATTATATTTCAACGCATTCTCAAAAATTTACCTCTGCATTCACGTTATATTCCAGAGGATCAGAAGAAAGGGAAGATTGAGGCAAATATAACCATTCATTTTTTCCAATAAGTTCAGAAAGTTTAGGAAAATTTTCATAGTTCAACTTATTTGTTGCATTTCTTATAAAAACGACGATAGAAGAAGCACCAGAATAAACATCTCGAAGAACTTTGTCATCAATAGCTAAAACAAATCTTTTAGTAAACAAAATTTTAGATTAATATAATTTTACAACCTTGCAAAGTTGGAACTTTCAATTCATCCAAATTTTCCATCCCCCAAAAGAGAAACGGACCAGCATATGAAGCTTTAGTGAATGGCAATGATATGCCCAATATTAAGATCACAATTACATTTAAATTTCTCATCATTAAATTCACTTATTCTAAGTTAATGTCTCAAGAAAACTCAGAAATAGTTTTTTCTAGCGGAAATCGATTATTCTAAAGATTATTTCATGAAAATAAATGTGAGAAAGACGAACGCATGCGTTGGAAAATTTGTTTTCACTAAAGCATAAAATTTCTTGTAAGTTTGGCCACTTGTTACAGTTTGTAAATAATGAAATTATTAAATCTCAATTTGCTCATGAATTTGATAACAAAAGTTTAAATTTTACTTCATACGATTGAAGTCAGAACAAAACTTATTCTGAATTAATTTTTTACATAAATTCCGTAAAGGATTCCGCGATTTGTGTATTACATATGTAAATAATGTTGTAACTAAACATGTAACGACAATTTACTAACACTTTCGCATTTTTGCTTGAAAAAGGAGAAATTTTCTTGGAAAAACGCTTCCAAAACCGTAAACAAAGCTTTCAGCTCACAATTTTTATATTCTTGTAAGGATTCATTTTTTGAAATTTTTAAATTAAATATTTCTACCGAGAATAAATAAATGGAAATCAAATAGGATGATTCAAGCTATTCTTGTTTTTAATAATCATGGTAAACCAAGGCTTTCAAAGTTTTATACACATTTTGTAAGTTTACAACTTATTTAATAGCATAATAGCATAACATTTAATAATGATTTATTACTTACCATTAGAGTGAAGATCAACAACAGGAAATTATAAAGGAAACATTCAATTTGGTATCCAAAAGAGAAGATAATGTTTGTAACTTTCTCGAGTATCCTGGATCGTTTTTAATAGACAATGTATCAACCGACTGCAAACTCATTTACCGTCATTATGCAACATTATATTTTGTATTTTGCGTTGATAGTAGTGAATCAGAGCTTGGAATCTTAGATTTAATTCAAGTTTTTGTGGAAACACTTGACAAATGTTTTGAGAATGTTTGTGAGTTGGATTTGATCTTTCACTCTGATTCAGTTCATCACATTTTAAATGAACTTGTTCTTGGTGGGATGGTTCTCCAAACAAACATGAATGAAATATTGGCAAGAATTGAAGATCAAAATAAAATACAAAAAACAGAAGCAGGAATGTCTGCTGCTGCCAGTGCTTCAAGAGCTATGACGGCTATGAAGAACATAAATCTACCACAAATCAAAGACAAAGTCATCGATTTTAGCTCTATAAGAGAATTCAAGTTCTGACCTCGTTCACTTGCAAACACGTCTTCTGAAAATGCCATCTCAGTTGATTCTGCCACTTTCAAAGTCTTAAGGTCCAATTTCTATCAAAGTGATGGAAGCTCTAAACAAATTCCTAGTGATTTTAAGAAATAGAATTTTAGCCATCACATGAAAAAATTATTTGCCTATTTAGATTTATTAGAATTCATCATCAAGTATAAAATCTCAAAACATTTTCATTTACCCGTGCCAGAGCATGGCTATTGTCTGGAATTATCTTTTCGTTTTAAAAAAACTACAGTCCTTATCTTCTATCTTAAAAAAATGAAAGAACTGCAACCTCACTAAAATAAGCGATCTAATTTTCTATTTAATAATGTGTTGAAAGTCTCAGACAATCAAAAAATAGAATTTTATGGAAATATATTCTTAAAATATTCAATCACTGAATTAATTTCATAACTTAAAAATTATTCATTAAATGAATTGTCAACATACATGTTACATAGATACTTATGTGTAAGAGTAGCTCATGTTATAGCAGGGTATAATTAACTAGAAAATTTGCAGATCTAAATAGCTTTGTATGGCAATTTTGCTGATGAGAAATATGAATTTTATATCAAATATCGATAAATGAATATATGTAGACGTGTATTCACAATAAAATATGTGGAATATTTACTTATTCAAAGTTGTATCAATTTGTGAAGCCCTTAAAATGCTGACAAATGAATGCTTGGAAAGTGAGTTTCAAGTGAAGTTGATTGAATTTCAGTTTTGATTGAACCTTTAATTGCAAAAGTCTGTCATAATGATTCGTGCTGTGATTTTGTCTTTTACTTTCTCTTTGGTGTGTTGTGCAAGCATTTCAAATATGGAAAATGATCAACGCGTTGTAAGATTCTGCATCATCAAGTACCTATCCGATAAGAATATAACATTGAACCTAAACAGTGACAGTGACAATGAAATTTCATGTATCCATCAACATAAAGATATCGACAGATTGTTACAAAATGCATATGAGAATGTTGAAAAAAATCTTTATAACTCCATTCGAAATGCAACAGAAGCCGATTGTCTAATTAATGTATTTAGGACACAAAAGTTTTTCGAAAAAAGTATTCTCATGACTACAGTTTACTTAACTCCGGAACTTGTGGAAGAAGATAAGCTTAGAGAAGTTTTTGACATCAGCAGAAATATTTTCACTTTTGCCATGACAAAATGCTTATTAACGGATGAGATTGTCATGAACATTTTTGAAGATTTATCTGTTAAAATTCAAGTTGATGTTGATGAACTTAACTGCATAAATAAGGCCCTCGATTCACAAAGCTCAACGATATCCACCAATAATTCTTCAGTAAATGATGTTAACAATGAAGATCAGACGACAGTGAAATTTGATGATTATGATGAAATCACAACAATAAAAAATGATGGAGAACTTTCATCGTCAGAAATTGAAATACAAAATGGAAAAACGTCAGCAAATAACTTTATCAGGAAAAATCCAACATTGAATATTAAAGTAGTGGAAGACTCGAAGAAAACCGAAGATTGCAACATTCATTTGTTAAATTTATATTTGAGAACATCCAGTTATAAGTATCCAAGCTTAACTAACGAGGAAAATCAATGCATGAAAGCGAGCTTTACGGAAAATGATCTAATAACAATCTTCAAACTTATTTCCCTCAAGCATTCAGTTGTTGACAGCACTACGAATAGTGGAGAATATCAAAAAAAACTTTTAAATGAATTAATTGTGAAAACCCTCTGGAACCTTATGGAATGTGTTGACATTTTTGGATTCTTCGACGTTATCTCCATGTTAACTGGCAATGAAATACAAGAACAAACTTGATAAAATTTTAAATTTCGACTTTTACTTTTATTATTACATATTTTGTGTCTTAAACCTATGAAATTCAAAATTTGTCAATGCAGAAAAATGTGCAAATAAAAATTTCAAATTAACATTACAAGCAAAATTACCTAAAGCATTAGCCAAGTCATTAACAATTGTTCTTACTTAGATACTTATATATGTATATGACTTCTCGTGAAATTTTCACAAGTTTTCCTTTTCTTTCCCTTTCATTTTCTTCGAGAAAATAAAACGTATGTGAACAAAATATTTAATCAAAGAAAATTATTCTAGTTACATACATATTTATAAATTGTTAAAAAATCACTTAAATAATTAATTAAAATGATCTCGTCATGTGCTAAAATTATTATGAATTTAAAATCTTTTGGATCTTTCTTTTGCTACCGTCAGCTAAAATTGGTTTCAATTCAACCTTTCCATCTTTTGATGGTTTTAAAACGATCCTTCTTGTTGGCGTTATCGGCGCATCTTTTAATGGAGGCGTCGTCGACCTTTCTGGTGATTTTCGTTTTAACACAATTTTTTTGTCAGTCACAATTATTGGTTGAAGAGGCTCAGATGGTGCCGTTTCTTTAGCCTTTTCAGCCTGTTGCCGTCGTCTCATTTCTTTTTGTCTCAAAATTTCTTCTCGCTTCTTCCGTTGCGATTCTATTTGTTGACGATAAGCGCGTGTCTCTTCATCTTCTTCTGGTTGATTCTCATCTTTGTTCTTTCCTTCACTACCTGAGAAGTCTCTTTTTCTATCATAACTTCTAAACGGCTTTCGACGATTATCACGATATCTCGGTGGAGATGGAGAATGAGAATAACCTCGTCGATATTCTGGTGATGGAGTTCGTTCGTGTCGGCGTTTCTCGATCTGCCTCATATTATGATTGATGAATTCTTGTTGCTTTCTTAACAGCTCATCTTCTGGCAAAGCAGACGGTGAAAAATATTGATCTTTCATCAGCTGACCTAAAGAATTATATTCAAAGGAAAAAACATTTTTAAATTCACCTCTCCAGCACAAAAATGTGCAAAAGTTTAACTCACTTTTAGCCGCTTCGACACCACCTTTAAAATTAGGATTAATAAGAACTTTTCTAGGCATTGCCTGGACAGGAGAAGGAACATAAGATGGTGGGCGTGGCATTTGAGGATCGTTCATTGGAGCAGGATTTGGATAAAAATATCTTGGTCTAATTTGAGGTGGTCTCAAAGGCTGTCTTGACTGCATGAAGTTGTTGTTGAAGAAGGGTGGTCGCGGAGGAAAATTTGGTCGCATTTGTCTAATGGGACCTGATCCAGCTTGCATTACATGGTTGGGTGGAGGCCGGAAATGAGGACCTGATTGCGGTTGAAATGGCATTTGTTGTTGTTGCTGTTGTGGCGCTATCGAATTCCATCTCTGTGGGTGGTTTGGCCAACGCTGAAATTTGTGTCTAAAAGGCTGACGAGTATTAGTTGAGTGGGGGTGATGTAAAACTTGCGAAACTTTAATATTTTTATCCTCAACAACAGTTGTTGTTGATTCGTTAGGTTCCTCCTTTGATTCTTCTTGTTTTTGAGGGATGGGAGGTGAGCTTGGCTGAGGAGATGGTAGTTTAGGTGAAGACTGTTTTACTGTTGTTGTTGTTGGTGGTTGAATTTCAACTTCACTTTCGAGCTTTTCATTTTCTTAAAAGTATGGAAAATATGAAACCATCTTGAAAAATTTTCCAAAAAAAAACTATATTTACCTTCATCTGAAAGAAGTAATTCATCTTCGTTGAGAGGACCATCAGCAAAATCAACCTCGGTTATTTCAAAATTCAAGAGATCATCATTCTCGCTAGAAAAATAAAAACAAATCAGAATTATTTTCGCTTTAATTTTCGGCAAAAAAAAATCTTCTTATCATAATAAAAAATCTCTTCTTCTTTAAACATAAGCAATGCTAAGACAGAAATAAAAGTGAGTTTATTAGTTATAAAGGATTCTTACTCAGACATAATTTTAAAACAAATTGATTTAAAAAACACTTTTGAGCCGGGTACACGAAACACTCTTGAGCCGGGTAAACAATACGTTTGTCCTCGACGGTTCAATTTACTATGTAGTTCAAAATTCATTTGAAAATAAGATAACCGTTAAAATATGTTTCTGCTAATTCAAGTGCATAGAAAAAATATGAAAAAAATATTCTACAGATTTTATCGTGTTCCACTGCTGACGTAAAAGATTCTAAATTTAAAAGAAATAAAGTAGGAATATCTCAAATAGGTCATTAATTTTCATAATTCATGAAATACCTACATATATAAAAATCAAATTTTCCATTGTCATTTTCATTTAGGACGCAACTCAAAAAAATTGCTCAAGAACAAATATCCGTTTTTTGCTAAATGTCTTAATTTAATTGTAATTTTATATAATAATTGTGCGATCATCGATCCCGTTAATAGCATAATAGATGTAGGAAATCGACATCAACTCAAAAATAGAACATTTCTCCTGATGATTAATTGCTTGATCTAAATTGATATTAGTCTATAGTTAATTAAATATAAACGTTTAATTCCTAATTTTTTTCTCTAAAAAATCATCGAATGTATCTATGCAGAAAAGAAAAAAAGATTTAGAGAGTTTTATATAGCCACTTCATGTTGTTTATTAACTTCAATTTTATTCCTGTTTACTGATGTGTCGATATCTTATCACGACTTTAAAAACATGGGCTTGGCTGCGACTGTATAACTGTATCTAAATAAAAAAATATATTCTAGCAATTTTGTTTTTAAAAATCACGACAAAATAGCACGTTTTAAGATCGACCGGGAGAGATTCTCTGCCAACAAACAAATGACGTCACAAATCTTCAAAAATAAATCCACACTTAATATTAAAAATATGAGGTGAGTGGCATCTATAAAGCATCTTAAAGAGGTTTTCAAATATTATATTTAAAGATATCTATCGACGATGAAGTGTTTTTCACATTTTCTTCAGGTTTACATTTTCGCTTGCGATAAATGATAATTTTGTTATTCGATGAAACACACCGCACCTTCGCATTCGTTATTGTGAAATCTCTTTTTTTCATTATTTATATTAGTTGATGCTTTTCACATTGAAATGCTCTGTAAATGGTAAATCGAGTTTTCGAAGCAAGCACAAAGTAGCATGCTGCATTAATGACGGGAACGTTTTTGAAAAGTATTTTTGAAAACAATTTTGTAACTAAAATGTCTGTGACTAGATTTACGGAATATGCCTTCAACATGTAAACTACTGTCATAACAAGCAAACGAGAGAAATCGAGCTGTTATTTTTTTCATACATTGAGCGTTTTGTTTTTGCTCTTTGTATATTATTTATGAAGGCTCGCTCCTACCTAGCGTGATAGCCTTCGTAATTTGAAAGAACATTTACATAGTTTAAGTTTTGCAAATTATTAGTTAGAAAAGGGAAAATGATTTTTGCGAATTAAAAGAAGAGATAGAATTATTGTTTGTTAAAAATTTATTATTACTGTAGAATGGAAAGATTTTATGTTTTGTCGACAACTGATAGAAAGTTCTTTCATCAGGGCTTTTGTTTATTTATTTTGTTGTAAATACTCGTAATCACTAGAATATAACACATATGAATAGTAAATAACAACAAAATGTTCAAACTTTTAAGTAAAGGCTTGTTGTCATTTGAATCGACTATATATATCCAATTGTTTGAAGATTAGATCATGATCTTCATATTACTTTGACTTTTTTAAGTGTCTGAAAATGTGACAAATTGTCAAAATAAAATAGAATGACGAATAAGTAAAATATAAGCTGCCTCTAGCTGGTGTCTTCGAATAACAAAACACTTTACAGTATGATTATTTCAATTAAATTGTGGAGCTATTATTGACCTGAAATTTTATACCTACATAAGCTACTTGGTGTTTTATCCACGCACTGCACAACTTTCTTCTTTTTTTCTTTGTTTTGTTCATGGATATATCCTCAATTTTTCATTCTAAAGACGTTTCAAGAACAAAAGAGACGAAAGGACAAAAGATCATATAAAAGTAATGAAAAGCAGTGAAAAGAAACCAAAGAAGAATGGAAACAACAACAAAAAATTAATCATTTTTTAAAATGTTCTCTTCTTTCATTTTGGCAAATAAATATATAGAATGAAAAATAAGAAAAATGAAAACATAAAAAGGGAAGCAAAATAATGTGAGGCTCGAATTTCTGAACTCTTATTATTATTATTATTTCTTAAGTTTTTAAGTTGTGAACAATTATCTCTTTATATCAGGGACTGGAACTTGCTAATGAAATAATATTTACTAATGCTTATAAATTTTCGTTCACGATCTTTTTTATGTTTAATATATAAACAAAAATGAGTAAAACTCAACCAACTGAAATTATGATGAAGACACCAAGCACTAGAAAAGGCTTTTTTAAATCTGGTTCTGACTAATGGAAAATAAAGTTTTTGGTTCTAATTCCATTTCCTTTCTCTGGAAAAATTTGAAGATTAAATTTAAGCTCTTTACAAATTGTATTTACAATGTATGTAGGTACAATTTTATTTCATACTTTTAACTTTTATTTATTTGAGTTTAGCTTTTGAATATTACACAGTTGAATAATCAGACGAAGAAAAATAGTTCGTACGATTTTAATCACGCTTCGTTTCTAAGCATGAAACCAGAAATCATGATAAAACATGTCAATTCATTTCTTTTCAGAAAGACGAGAAACATAGCTTTTTTTCAAAGAAATTGAACGAAAGCAAACTCTTGGGTTCCATTGGCTATACACAAGAAATACAAAGCAAAATAAGCGAGCAACTTTGTATTGGTAAAAAGAAACTCTTTTAATTTTTGACACATATGTAGAATTTTATTTAATTTCCATTATTTAGAGGAAAAAATTAACAACCATGAAAAATTGATTACAGAAGTTAAGAACAACAATTTATGATAGATCAATTTTAAATTCACGGAGACCAACTACCATTTCCTTCATGATTGTAAATTACAATTAATTAGTGGCTTTGGTCACAGAACATTTCCTCGCGTTTTGTTCATGCTAATAACTTTTTGAGAAGCTGAACTATCTGAATTTTATATAATCTCATCTACAGAAAATAAATTGTGTTTCGTGAAGGTTCATGGAAGTTGGGAATCATTAGAAACTGCCAATCCATTTCAGTTTTGGATGGACTGACTGCTTTTTTGCCTGACTGTGCTGTGCCTATATCTTCGTTCGTCAAAATCTTAACCATAAGAACTGCTCAAAGGAACAAATTTAAAATCAAAAATTACAATACAAGTTTGAATGGAAAATTTTTTTATCCTTTTTTATGCTTTTTGTTCATAATGTGAAACATTTTAAATCTATCCTTTCAAACGATGACATGATGTAGATAAAGTGTATGATGTTTGAGTGTAGGGAAAAGAAAATAAATTTTAACTGTGCAGAGAATTGTTCAAAAAAATAATTTGCAAGTGGATGAATACATCAGGAAAAGATTCTGAAAAAAATCAATATTTACTTCATTCTTTTCATTATTATTTCTGGAATGAAAAATTAACCACCTAATTTTGCAAAGCTTAGATTGATATTTATTATTCACAAGAAATTTAATAAAATGAAATTATTTTCGGTTGAAAATGTTTTAGAATTATTGATATTTAACTGATGTAATGACAGCGAGATAAATGCTTAAATTCAGCCTTATATTTCTATCCCTTAATAGATTTTAATATAAATTTTCAAGTTCTCCTTTCCTTATTTTTGTGTTTGGCAATTGAAATGAAATGAAAACAACACAAATAAAAAAGCAAAACAAATGAGCATGTTAAACAATAAAGCCAAAAGAGAATCTGCGGGTCGAATAATAATAATAAAACAAGCAAGCAACTTGAGAACCATAACGATGAAACTGGTTTCTGTCTTTTCTTTTTCTTCACAATATGATTGTGAATTGTGTTTGAAAGAAAAAATGAAGGAGGAAAAGCAGAGAAGAGGAGTAAAAAGAAAAAAAAAAATATACATTGTAGATGTCCAAAAACGAGTAACTTCAGCGAAAACGAGCTGACACGGAGAAAATTTTAATTTAAAAATTTAAATTTCTTTATTAACAAACACTACTAAATAGTTACTGTGTACATTGAAACTAGTTAATCGTCGTTGTTTTTACAAGCAGTGATATTAGAATCAAAATCTTTAGAAAATAGAACAAAACTAACGCGAGAAGATAAAACTAAAAATGCGTGTAATAACGATTTATATAAAACACAAATCATAAACATAAAACTGGTAGTTTTATGGAACCTTTGGAAGAACTTTCAGTACTTTTCTATCAGTGTTAACCTGAATGCCCTTCTTTTTCGTGTTTTCATTATTCCTTATTTCGTTCCCATCTTAAAATTAAAGTAATATAAAACCTTGAAGGCTTCTTCTTTTTCTTCTTATTTATATCCATCCATGCAAGAACAAGATATCGAAACAAAAGAATTGAAAAGAATAGCGAGATGCGATGAAAACTAAAAATATTGCGTAATACGCGAATCAAACAAAGAATAATCATAAGCATAAGCATAAGCATTTGTAGAGGAATAAACGACAAGGGGAAACAAAGTAACCTAAATAACCGTCAAAAAGCGAGAATAGCATTTAATGTCATTTATTTTATTTTTCAAGTATTGGAATTATTCGGTCAATGGTGAGAGGGTTACGCGATTGTTCACGGGAAACTTCTATTGAAATTCTAAATCAAACCACTAGGTAAGGGAAGAAATGTGCGTCCCTTCTCGTATTCTGCGTTAGACCCTTACAAAGTATTTTATTGATGACGCAACTTCTTGAATTCTTCTTAATACGTATTTAGCAATAAAAATTCAAGAATTTCTTTTTTTACTAAGGGAGAAGCAAATCTAAAAGCGAAAAGAAAAATTATATTCAACAAAATTGGTTGGTTTTGACGAAAGAAAAGTCTGGAAATTTTGATTAATTTTTTTAACAAGATTTACTGAAAGTAGGTAATAATTTTTCAGCAAGCGAAGATTGTTATATATTGAAGATAGAAAATCTATCATGTTGCTATTCCTCTGGCAATCGAAAGAATATGAGAATCGTAGGCTGACAAAGATAAAATCAATTTTTAAATTTACCCTTCGAAGCTCGACCTCCTTCTGCCATGGTTTCTGGCAAAGCAAATGTCTAAATCATTTTCAATTCAGCTATAGCGTCCTTTCTTCCATCCCAAAAATATTTTTTCTTTCGTCACTCTTCAATGATGTTCGTTCATTATATTTCAGAACTTTTAAGCAAGAATTGTAAGAAGAGACGAACATTTTGGAAACAGGCAAAGCATCTAGATTCTAGATTGTTAACAAGCGAAAAAAGCCAAAAGCAATAATAGCCAAAATTTATGACATAATACAAAACGGATGTGTTGAATGTGTTTCAAAAATTGAAGGAGAAACTAGCAAACAGTCCCCTTGCCTTTCAATTTTAATAATAACTGACAACATCATCTCGTTGCGGCTTTACTGTTTCGTATTTTTAATTAACGAAACTTTTATTGTCATGCAAAGTTTAATTGTCTTTCTTACGGCCACTGGTCACAAAAACTACAGAGAAATTTCCGATGGTTGGTTGGGTTATGCAAATATGATGATCGTTCTCCAAGTGGAAAACGAAAATGCGCAACAGGGAAAACGATTTTGTATGAAAAGAAAGTTAGCGTTTACAATTTGGGGAGTAGTAAGTCAGGATAAATACACGATTCACATACACACACACACACGTGTATATATCGGTTATATTTTAAGAGGGGTGAAAATTACTTTTAAGATTTTCCCTTCTTCTTTTTTTCAAATGATGAAGCCCTTTGAGCAGTTAGGTATTTTCCATTAGCTAATGAAGAATTGACATACATGGATTATGCATACATAACTTTCCAACAGTACCTTATGTATTATGTTCTAATGCCACATAAGAATAAGTCTAACAGCAAGCTTATATATTTCAAGTGCATTATATCTATTTATTTTTTAAGAAGAAAGATGAAAACAAACATGATCAGACAAGATTCAGTATTAGTGATCTTAAACATTTCACTAATTATTGCATGAACAAGAAAATTTCATAAAATGAAACAAACTTCGATGAAAGACGATGGTTTCAAAGATTTTTCCTTCAAGTTATGAAGTTATACAAAGTTTGAAAATTGAGAAAATTTCCAGCTGTGTTCAACTACAACAAAACTCGTGAAAACTGTTTACTAACACCATCACAATTTTCACATCATCTGATGTTTCAGAGAGGAAAAAGAAAGTTTCTTCATGCACAATATTTATTTTCCGATGGCAGCAGAGAAGCGAGTGAAAGAGAATGAGTGGAAGAGTGAGAAGGAAAATGAAAAAAAAAAGTTTGTAAACCGGCTCCGATGTAATAAATATCATCAGCAGATCGAAAAATGCTATGTTGTCATATTTTTCCTCATTACGATATTGCAAAAAAATAAACTGCTTGATTCGATTGCCAATAATTTATAAGAATATGAGCTTTTATAAATAAAAAACAGAGTTTTTTCGAAATTTGAAGAATAATATCTGTAGATAAATTATTCCTAATAAGACCTTTTAATAGATGTCACATAGATGTAACAGTTTTTTTTCGTAAGCCTATAAAAAGTTGATAGATATACAAAATCTTGCCATTATTACTAACTTTACGAGCTACCGTTTCACATTGTGAAACAAACTTAAAGAAAGGAAAAATCAATAATTTACTTAGATATGCAGTTCAGAGATGAAATCAGCTGTTGAAGTAAAGCAAAATTTGGCAACGTTGAGCGATTGTTGCTTTTTATTCATTTACTGTCATGTGCGCATGTATATAAAAGCATTATTCACACATCCTCAAACAATGTTTAACTAAATGTAAAAATCGAGCCATCAGCAAAAACTCTTAAACTAGCCTTTCGCTCCGTCCTGACAGTGGAACTTTTATATGAATTTTTTTTTAAAAATATGGCTCATAGGAAAGTTTCAAAATCTTGATTCGTGAAAAATGATTTGCATTATAATTTATAAATAATGGATAGTAATGGAATAATTCTTGCTCAAGAATAAATGTTCATGAAAATGCATAGAAAAACAAAAAGAAGCAGAAATATTAATTGATATCTTGACCCAAAGAAATCACAACTTAAAAGATTATAAGTCTTTAACTCATTCTGTTTTCACCAAATGAAAATAACAAAAACAGAACATAAAGAATAATAAGAAAAATAAAAATTGTTTATTGCACTTACACAACCTAACAGTTTTTTCTGTAAATAAACACGTACAATTGAAAATAGATATGTAAAGTTCAAAAATGATTTGTTTTCAGTTTGTTATATGATATCTTTATTAAAGTAATTAACATTAGAATTTCCTAAAGATGCAAAAATCTTCTTTTATTGGGATAAACAACGTATTGTATTACAAGCAATTTAAAATTTTGTAAACTTGGTCACCAATGTAGTTTCAGAACGAATGTATGAGAAACCATTAATGTTGATTTGGAAGTGTTAGTTTAAATAAATTTATATAAAATTATTTTCAGATGTTCCACTACTACTATCATGAAAACAGCGGATTCAATTTGAACTATAAATTTTTACACAATTTTTCAAGGAATTATTCAAAATATCCTGAAAAATTATGTTTTTCCATTCGATTTAATTGTTTCATAGGGATGAACAGCTAAAAACAATTCTTTAGAGCTGTTTAAATGAGTAAAAAAATTTGAACTTCATCTAAGTGTGAGTTATAATATTGATGTATGGGTCATAAAATTCAAGAAGCACTTTTGTTTACACAATCGGATGAGAAGAATTGTGGATGTGTTAGTGCCATCAGCTTTTCCTTTATAACCGGTGCTGTCGGTTAATTTCGCTTAGTTAGTCAACAACAGCTAAGGTATAACTATCGCAGAAAAAATCAAACAATTCTTTCTTTTCTCATTTAAACAAAACTCTCACTCACTCTCTCACCGAAATAAAGTAAAAATCCGAGAAAACCCGCAGTGTAACAAAGTATATCCAGTGCCGATTTAAAAAAACAAAACTTAATTTTTTTGTGATAAACAAATTGCTTTCACAAACGGAAAAAAAACTCAGTTTACTAATTGTGGCGAAAAATAAAGAAAAGAAAATTATATTCTGATGCCATTAGAGAAACACTAAAACTTTTTGTTAAAATTTTTGTGCTGTGAAAAGTAAGATTATAAATACTTTTTTAAAATTGTTATCAAGAACGCTGGCAGAGGAAAATCCTGGAAAATCTACAAATCCAAAAAATCGATCACTAAAAATTTTTGCTGAAAGTTAAAAGTTTAAGAAGGTTTAAGCTTCTTTTTGCAGTGAAAATTAAATATTTTCGATGAAAATGGAAATTCTGACAGTTCAAAGCCATTTCGGGCAAAATCATATTAAGGTGAAAGGTAAGTCAATATTTTTTTTTCTTTAATGTTACATTTTAAAAAACATGTACTCATGAAATATTTTTATTGCTTTTCCCTTTTGTCTGATTATCCCCATTAAACTTAGAATCATGAAAGATTTATTTCTTCACCTGTATTTCTTATTCTTACTCTTACATAAGACACTTTGCGTAAAGTGTAATAAGACCCAATTTTTTCGTTTTATATCTACCTGGATTTTCTCCTTTTATCCTTGAAGAAATTCTTTTCTTTCCCTTTTTGCTTTGCGAATGACCTTCAAAAGGAGTTTCCCCTTATTCTTTACATTATTATGCAATCCCCAGAATTTTCGAGTAAGTTCTTAGAATTAATTCTACTTAGATAATGGTGGTGTAATATTAAATGTATGGCTTTCATACGAGAATGAAGCCGGTAAGCTTTCGACGACTTTCTGTCTGCATAAATTCGCGAATTTTGTACTATGCCGTGTTCGCTCGTTACATTCGTTGTTTCTCGTGTTCTGACACGTTTTTTTCTCACTCCCTTTCTATATTTGCTTTGATGGATGATGCAATTAACGCCAAAAAAATAACAGAAGAAAAAAATCTAATTTAAAGAAAAATTTTCCGGTTTCTTTGCCAAATATAAAACATCATCGAACTCTTGGAACCGTGCCCGTAACATCAGAGGGGAAGTATAAAGTAATCCGCAACCGCTGATGTAAAAAGACTCAAACTTTTATTTCTATCTTCATCATTCGCTGTTGCTAAGGCAATTTCTGAACTACCAACATGTGTGTTAGTTGCAATGAATGGAGTTGAATAAGGTTTTGTGCTTGTATAAGTCATGATTCAACCTTCAAAAGCTATTGAAAAAGAGTCGAGGGAGAAACAAAGAAATAAAAAAAAACGAATAAACAGCTGTTGGAAAATGATGGAAGCAAGATAGTGTTTGTATGCTGCTCTGGTTATTTTCTGATTTTTCGGCAATAAATTAAAGAATATTGAAACTTATGAAGTTTTAATCCGTCAAGAATAAATATAACTATTAATTTCAAGTACATAAATGTAACTTTGAATGATCCACAATCCATAAAATGACATTAACTGAAAAAATCAATGTTTGCCGTTGCGCTTCCAGTGCGCATAAGCAGCAGAAGCTCAATTTTTGCTCACTAACACAGCATGGAAAATATTCGAAAAACCAGCTGATGGTTAGTTGCTTAAGTTGGAGAATCGTTAAGTCTTGCTGTACTTACTTCCAATAAAAAAGTCAAAGCAATTGATTTCATGAGTTCATCATCAACATAGAATTTTTTTTGTGGAAAATCTACAATTTTCTTTTTTCTTCTTCTCTATATAGGATCCAATTGGACACCAGCAACGCTTACACCGCCTAAAAGTACAAAACCTCACCAAGAGGATGATGACGAACTTTTTCAACTTCCAACTTTTAATGATGAAGCAATTCAGCAAGTTTCCGATCTGTTGACAAAGACACTTCGTGAAGCTAAGCATCGTCATCTATTGACTTGCACAGAAGTTTTACTTCCATGTGAACTTTTGCAAAGAGTTGCTGTCGATATGTTGACATCTAGTGACGAAGAAGCATGTGGAATCAGAGGATGTAATATTAACATAGAATTTGAAGACGAGATGGGACAAAAAAGGCGTATTTCGTCAATCAAGACTGATCCAAATACAGTTTCAACTTTTGAGCTCATTTTGACTTTAAAACAGGATCGAAGCGGATGGACATCGACCCTGCCACAATTTTTGAAGTAAGTTTAAGAGTTTCCTTCATTTTCATAACTTTATTTTATTTCTCATTATTCTTCAACAGAAACCTTACACGTGGAGGAACCATAATGATAAGTCGTGAATTTAGTCTCGTCAAAAATAAGTTGGGCTATTGTTTCGACTAATTTTCACACATCAAATCATCCCATTCAGCATGTTCATCGTATTATCGACATCAAAATATTAGATATTGTTATCCAAGCTTATAAAAAAACTTCAGGTAAAAATAAAACACGGTTAAGGGGAAGGAAAAGTTCTTCCTAGTCGATCTAACCCCCATTTAATTAACCACCACTTCAATTGATTAAACCCACCACAATAAACCTTTAATTAAGTTTTCTAAAATTTTTCTGAGCGGAAAAACATTTTTGTGATAAGAAAGTTTTGTGAATGATCTTGAGTGAAAGGACATAAAACGATATTTATGTTCTGGGAGGGAAACAAAATATTTTGAGTATTTTGAAAGAAATGCCGTACTAGATTTTTTAAATAGAATGTGATGAAGATGATGATGATGGTGATGATGATAATGATTTGTCACTCAATCTTGAATCTATGCACCATGCACTCAGTGATGAGCAACTCCTTTTAAAAAAGAAGAAAAGTTTTGTGATTTAACTAAGTTTCCATAATATTTTACTGAAAAGATCCGTTTGTTCATCCGAACGATGATGAAAAAAATGAAAGAAAAAAGAATCTAGTACACAATGAAAAGTCGATTCATAAAGAAGAAGAAGAAGAAATTATGTATTTTTTATATATTGAGATAAATGTTGGTGTGCCCTTCCTTTCATGTGAAATTAACTTTTGTGTCGTTTTAAATTTTCCTAGAATTTTCCAATTAAAAATCAAACCTTAAATTAACATTCGTGAATGCTGATTATTTTTGCATTGATATGAAAATAAATACTTTTTCTTGTTTCTTTCAATGTTAAGTTTAAGATTGATTTTTCACAAGAAAATGAGAATTAAAAATTGAGATAACGAAAGTGTATCTTCATCAAAATAATAAAATTAATATTAGCAGAGGAAAGAAGCTTTGAAAGAAAAGAAAAGATCATAAGCCACTTTCTTTGATGAGATAATAAATATTTGATGGCTATAATAATAAATGATTAAAATTCGAGAAGTTTTATAAGCGAAATGTGAGAAGAAAAAAAATGTGTAGAAATTTAAGCATATAATTAATCGTGATATGACAAAAGTTCAAATTTGCGTAATATTAAGTAGGAATTTTTCAATTTCAATTCATTCAACATCTTAATATGATTACTGATCCAAATTTTAAATCTGTATGTTTTTTGTTCTCTTTTATTTTCCACGAAACCTTAAAACAGATATTTTTACAAACAATAGTTCTCTATTGCTTCTGAATTTTGACTCCAACAGCGATTTTTCATAAATTTGTTTAATTATAATTCATGATTCGTTTTAACACCTTTTTAACAAAAAAAAAGAAAAAAACACACACAAATCAAACGAGAACATAATGAATAAAAGTCTATTTAATAAAAAAATGTGATTTATCAATTTGAATTAAAAAAAGTAGAAATTTAACAAATTTCCCAATCCAAAAAAATATTCTTATAAATGTGAAACAAAAAAAAACTTAGGATGTAGTCAAAAGTCCCCAATAATATGGAATTCAAACAAACAAATATAAAGCAACTTTCTTGTATTCTTAACAATGGGAAGTTAAATGTTAATTTTTTGAAAGAGAATCATGGTACATACATATATAAATTCTGATACATTGAGAATTTTTTTTTAAATTTTATGTGTTTTCAAAGTAGATGTTTGTTTAAGATAACACTTCTTTATGAGTGATTTCAGTCTTTTCTTTTAATTTTTTTTTAATTGATGATAGATTAAAAATTTTCATTTTTCTAAATTTTTTTAAAAGTTTCTTTTTTTATCGAATCTCGACTCGATCTCAAAACAGTATTAGTAACTAACGCGAATATTGAAAGGAAAACCAGTTGCTCCTGGTTCTATCAATCATCTAAATGAGATGAAATGAATATGAAATTGTTTTTCTTGGTAGTAACAGGAGTAGATGTAGGTAAACGAAGTATTAGTTACTTTTCCCTTCGAAACGATAAAAAAAATAAAAGTTTTAAGCATTTCTTAGTACATATATCCAAACATTGATTTTCTTACTAAATCATTTTTTCTCATATTTACCAACAACACTTTTTCTATTATAAAATCATACAAATATTTGATTTTAGATTTTCATTTGAAAGAAGAAAATAACACATAAAATATTAAAGTATCAAACATGATTACTCTAAAAAACCAATAATGAAAAAACGATAAGAAAAAACCGGAAAAATCATAAAAAGTTCTTTTTTCTATATCTCTAGTGTTAGCGTAGGATTTTTAACAAATTTTTCAAGTAATAGAAAACAAATAGAAACAAAAAAAAACAAAAAAAAAACATTTTATAACACAACAAAACTAAAGTTTAAAAACCAGACAAAAGATGGAAAAAAGATCAGTGGAAACAAAGGTTGAAACTGTTAGAAAATCCTTTGTTTACTTGATGTAAACGATGAAAAAAAAGTCAATAAAAGTGATAAAAAGTTCAATGAGAAACAAATTAACGTTTTTTAATTGATTTATGATTTACTTATTGCCTTTAGAATATTTATTTTACAGATAATGGATCATCATAAATGAGTAAAGGTAAAGGGAGAATTCATAAAGAATGGAGTTTCATGATAACATTGGATTATTGCAAACAAAACATTTCCGTATACGTAAACGCTCATCTCATTCTTCAATATTTATTGTAATGCACTTAAGCTCACATCTATTCATTGAGTTGAATTGAAAAAGCTATCAAGTGACTCATTCCTTTTAAAGTAAAATACTATAAAAATTATATTTAGATAGCCTATAAATAATGAAGGACAAAAATATTAATTACTCTTAAATATCTATTCATATTCAAGTTTTTTATTCAGATATATCAAGTTTTATAAATATGCAATGAACCCTCTAACTCATTCTTAAACTTAATTGTAAATTCTCATTGCAAATTAAATAATTAATACAAATTTTCAGATCATTGAACTTAAAGTTTATCTAATGAAAAGTAAAAAATATAAATTAGTAATTTAATATCTAAATTTTCGCTTCTGTCAATTTTTTTCTTATCATTACAACAATTTTGTTTGTTGCTATTTGCCTTGCCGACTGTTCATGAAACGAGAATACGAGAACAAAAATTTTGTTATCGTTAAAGTTGTTTGTACAGAAACACATTCTGTTCATTTGATAATCTTTTGCCGGTTTTATTTTAGTAGATGTACGAGACTACGTGATATTTCGTTCGTTAAAAGTTAACAAGTTAACTGCTGCAATTTTAGTTAAATTGTAGTAATATTAGCAAGGAATGATTTCGTTAACTAAACACTCCATTTATCAACCAAAATGATCTCTTATCAAAATCTATTTTTAAAACTTCTGACCTAAAGATGTATGCAAATTTTATATTGAGTCATAAGAACATGAACGAGGAAGCAACTTCTTTCTTCGCTTCACAAACTTTATTGTTAATAAGTAGATATCTATATGAATATTTTTGTGTACTTTTTGGCAACATTGAGAAGATATTTATTTACGTATAGCAGCAGCCAGCTTGAATGTGTTCACACTCTTCACACTTAACTGGATTTTTTCGCAAAAATCACGTTTCACATCAAAAATTATCTTCAACTTTTGCTCTGTTAATTGATTTATTTTGAATCACGGTAATTTCAGAAATTATCACCATTCTGTTAACAAATGATAAAAAAGTGCCAATAACTGATAACAAAGCACCAATCAGAAATTTCCTTTAAGAAAAGTATCGAATGATTTCTTAGTCATGATAAATTTTAAGCTAAGTAAGTTAAGACTCTAATTAATTACTCGAGATGGTCTGACACATGATTGTTAGATTTTTGTCAATAACAACACAAATTAAATTCTCCACACGTGGCGAGAGATTTTTTGCGACATCAAAACAAAAAGAAAACTTGTTTTCCAACCTTCATAGTTTGTTCGACTTCTTCTATACATCTATCTACATATCTACATTCAGTTCATTTGCTGTTTTTGCCTTTAAGAAGTAAAAATTTTCCATTTGACATGACAATTTGCAAACATTTTTTTAACTTATCCTATTCAAAATGACGAAGAATCTGGATAAGTACCAAAATCTTAAATATCGAGTTAAGAGTTTGGTTGTTCTTGCAAGATGTGGGTTGAAAAAAAATCATTTGAAGAAGCGATCATTTTTATCATTAAACGTCGAGTCTAAAAAACTGAAGGTTATTCACTCTATGTGACTTGAAATTGGCGAGCAATCTTGCTTATCGCTGTTCGCGACAGAACAGCAGAATATTATTCGCAATGAAACAGTTTATTTTTCATAATGAAAAATATTTTTGTAGTAAATACGAACGGTATTCGTCTACGTCAAGTGATGATGATGATGATGATCACTAATATGAATGTTTCATCAGCCTTTACAATACAAATTGTTTTAACTTAATTTTTTCTAGATATGATCCCAACAACGAGAAAAAGAACTTTTTTCCTTTATTCATTTCTTTTCCTGAAAAGTTGAGTCACTTCATCTCACAAGTGTTAAGTTGATAAAAATAGAAATGTTTCAATGAGTTCATAGCATTCCCGACATTAATTAAACAAGTGTATTTGTTCTGTGAGTTTGATAAGATGAGAACATCAATAAAAAGAAAATGTGACAACTAAAAGCAACGTGCACATATGTTTCTTAAGTTGAACATCATCGTGGAATGTATTTCTTCGATCTTTCTTAAGTAATTAGTTGTTTATTTAAGAATAATCATTATTATTTCTGTTTTGCAAAGGTAATTTTCACTGAAGGATGGCTAATCAGAAAAATATTCGACCTTAGCTTTATCATTTGCAAACTGGATTGCTCTAGATAGCCTCTTAGTAATAAAAACTATCAAGGATATCTGTTTTATATTCCTAAATATACTATTTGATAAGTGTTGCTTGTGACCTAGAAAATGAAATAACGACATTTATCCGAAAACATATCAACACCGCGTGTCTTTCATACTATTTCCGTATTATGTGATTTTCTTTTAATTTTCAAAGAATTTAGGAAAATATTTTTGACTATCACGTAAAACGGGCGACATCGCGAAAGAGAAAACTAAATTTAAATTATTTTCATCAAACGTAGATAGGTCTGTAATAAATGAAATCTGATTTAAAGCGATAATCACAAAAAGAACAGTTCTTGAGCTTTCATAATAAAACACAAAATTATTTCTTTTGTTTCCTTCAGTCAATATTTACATTTCACTTCAGTTTTATGAATCGTAAAGCATTCAAAGCAAGTACTTATAAAAAAAAGATAATTTTAGATAAAAATTAGGTGAGTCAGTTATTTGAGAAAATATTTGATTTGTCAAATTTGTTTTAAAATTATCATAAGCTTTGGTTGAAATTTAGATATTTTCTTGTACAAAAATTAAGAATGTTGATCGAAAATGTGTCAGAAAGAGTTTTAGTAATAATAAGAATGAAACACCTTTCTAGTTAGGTAGTTTTGTATCTTCAAAAAAAAACACGTGTTTTTAGGTCGATAAATAAATCGTCTCGACGTCTAGCACATTTCATACCATAAATATAATTGATAAGCATAATAATTTGCCTGATAAGAGTTGAAAAACATTTAAGAAACTGTCTAAGTATTCAATCAAAGCATTACTTATGGACGATTACGGCCTTGACTGCTTTCGATAAGCGTTTGGAAATATAGGAATAGGAAAATAAATTTTAATTACCTACCTCTCATCATATATTTTTCATTTCAATTGAATATTTCAGAATTTTCATAAGGATCAAGTAAAATGAGAAATATTTGATAACGAACAGTATTTCGTTATTTTTCTACCTTTTAATTTTTGTTTTACGAATAACTTATTGATAAGCTCTGTTTAAAGGTGACTCAGACTTTCTGACTCATTCAAAAGCATGACACCTCATTAATGTATTTAATTTTCTTTTGAAATATATGAATTAAACAACTTAATTAGAATATAGACGTAATCATACAACCAGCAAAGTTGCTTCCTTAATTTTAATTGCTAATTCAAACATTAAAAATTGCATGATTGTTTTTTCAAATAACAAATGAATAAATTATCTCTCTAATCAGAGTGAGTTTGTTTGAAGATGTAGTAGAGAGGATTTAAAGTTCTATTGAAAGTTTCATTCATAGTTACAATTCTGAAAACTTTTGTTTGTAAGTGAGTAGGTAATACAGAAAAACACGAAGAAAAGATCACGAAAAATAAGCCACGAAGAAGCAAAATAAAAACGTTTTGTTGGGTATTACATGTTTTCACCTTTTCGTGGTTTTTGTGACTTAATTCCTTGCTTAATTCAATGCAGCTTCTCTTTTATTTTTTCTCTCTCTTCTCGTGGTTTTTCTATTTTATTCAAACGAAAATTCAAATTTTTTGATCGCTTTTAAAATATCAAAAACACAAAATCATCAAATGAAAAATGACGAAAGTTTAATTAGATATTTCAAATTCTTGAATTTTATACTGTATGAACAAATTATAAGTTAACTACGAATGTCATTTCAACGTCAACATTTTTTTTGTTAAAGCTACAGAAATTGCAGACAAAAAAATGAAATTGCTGAAAGTAAGACAATCGCAGATTCGCAAACAATTGTGATATTAATTCTTTGGTGATTGTACGACTGGTTGATAATAAAAAAAAAAAATATTTCGTTTCATTTAATTGTGTTATTGTTATGAATTTATCATTACGTGTTCTGAAAATCGGATTACTTCTAGATAGCAAGATTCTTTATAATTTATTTTATTGAGTAGTAATGATAATCATAACTATCCAATTTCGCGTTTTCTTCCGTTTTATTGACTTTTCTTTAAATTTTAATATTTAACCAAGTACATAACATTTTTTTCTGTGTTAATTGAATAAATATTATTAAAAATAAAAATGATTAAAACGGAATTTTCAAATTCAAACTGAAAAAACTAAATCAAGATGGCAGCACATTTCTATGAATGATGAGACTTTACCTTGATATTTTCTGCTTATCATGGGATAACCTTGGCATAAGTGAAAAACAAGTTAAAAAAATTGAAACAACAATATTTTGTAGAGTATTCCAATAAGAGTTTATTTTAAAGTTTTAGCCAATTATAGCTTTATCATTATTAGCCATTAATCACTAGAAATGGCAGAAAGAATTTCTTTTCCGTTGATATCTAAGGCACTTTCATTTTTAAATGTAGCTTGAAAATATTTGATATTAATAAATTTTATGATTTTATGCTAAAAGTCAAAAATTAAAAGCCAATGCATTTATTTAAAAGATTTCACTTGAAATAGTGAATAGCTATAATCATTTTCAATTTTCCAATTTAATTATTTGATTTCTTCAAGCGGATACTTTAATATCCAAAGATTTGAAATGTTTTTAAATATTTCAAGAATCTGTCTTAAAATGAAATTTTCTTTACGAGCGCGACAAATTTGAAAGCTAAATTAATTTTGTACATCAGTCATCTACTTAGATGAATTTAATGAAAGAGTAACATCCTAATTGTTAATTAATTAATGATATTTCAAAAGATTAAAGCATTTGTTTTGACTTATTTGTTATGATTCAATTATTTTTGATTTTCAAATATAAAAGCTTAAATAGATTCTTTTATGAATTTGTTTATAGTATTTACATACATAAGTATTTATGAATAAAACAGAATTTATGTAACGTTTGCATGAGAATTTGTACCATATCATTGCGTTCTGTTAGCATCAATTATCTCATTTAATGTTGTTCAATTTAATCTAATTTTCGGTAATTTAAATGTAAATATTTGACTTTGATATACATTGTCATCGTTGTTTGATATATTTAAAAAGAAATCGAAGCAAGAGAGGGCAAAACAAAGAGTTGTATGTTTTGAAATGCTATAGTCTAATTAGAAAAGCTGCAAAAGATTTTCTGCTTTTGCTAATTCTACAAAATCAATAGTTATTGCCTTTTTTAGATCTCATTTAATTATTCTGATTTCACTACTCAAATTTTCACTTTAACTTCAACTCTCATTATATTCTTACTTTAGCTTTTCACTATTACTTACAGTGATATTGCTATTTTTTGTGTTTTGTTTCTCGTCTTTTGATTGATTGTTAAAGTTGGAGCTGAGGAAATGAAATTGGCTGAAACACGTTCTTCTTGTCAATTTCATATTTGGAATGCTTTGTTCATTATCCGGATTCTCATCTTGGTTCAACACTTATTATTATTGCTGCTGATTTCACTCTTCTTTTATTTATTAAAAGCTTATTCTTAACACTATTTAGCTAATTCCGTTTCTTACTACAATGAAAATTGGAATCTATTAGCAATGTATGATAAATTATTATAACTTAAAATTGAAAATATAAAAATGATTAATGGTGAAAAAATAAAATAAATAAAACTAATTTTGAAAGGGAATCACATTAGTTAAATCTTACCTAATGATTATTTGAAACTGTTGCAAAGTCATCAGCATCAATTTCCTTTTGAAGAAGATTATCTAAATTGAGCTTACAATCCTGAAAAAATATTTTAAAAATATTTGCAGCACATGTAGAAATTTACCTTTAAAATTTTAAGGAAACAATTTTACCTCTATAGTAGGAAAGTCCCATCCCTTTGCTAGTTGTCTGCATACGTTCACGAGTTTACATTTCTTTGATATAATCAGAATTTTGGGAACCTTTTCGCATTCTTCAGGGTCATCCGTTGAAGATGACGTTAAGTCTGTGTAGGAAAAAGAGAAAGATAAGAAAATGGAAAATTCGTGGAGCTGAATGTAAAAAATTAGGTATGTACAAGTCTAAAGCACAATTTGTGCTAAATGTAATGAATCAAATCGTTTTTAATGGTTTTTAATTGTTTGCTGCGCTAATGCTTGTCATTTTTGGCCATTTCTTGAGATTTATAAATTCAAACAGACAGAAACTTTTAATGTTTTCACACTTACTTTCGCAAATTCCGGTACTTGATGTTGGAGGGTTATAAACACATTCTAATGAAGGTTCACATGTACCTGTGGAAAAGAAAATTTATTTTCGAATGAAACCTGACTTTGAGCATCGTCGTGATGTTATGTCTTACCCGAAAAACCTCCTAAATAATCATACAAGAATAGAAAAGATATCAATACTAATTCAATTATCAACATACGCAGAGATCATGAGTTAAATATTTCGTTATATGTGAGTATATAAATAATTTAATATAAACGAGATATCAAAATGATTAAGAAGAAAGAATTACCTGGCCCTTCACAACTTTCTCCGAGTATCTTATAGCAAACTTTGCAACATCTTCAACAAAAAATGAAAAGAAATTTGTATAAAAAACATTTGTAAATTAATCTTGACTTCAATACATAATCTTTTATCATTTATTTGAAAGAAAATGGAAATGCGCTACAGTAAAAAGTTTACAATTCCAATTTCTAAGACATTTTTTGTGGTTTCAGGTACGAAGGAATAATAAAAGTTTTAGTCTATCAGATTCCCTTAAAAATCATTGATTTTTGAAGAAAAAGAGCAAAGCCACCTCAAAATTCTCTGTTTTGTGATCAAAACATTTTTGTGCCCTAGGCAGAGGATTTTAAATATTATTTCATGATAACTTTTTCGTCTTAGTAATGATATTTTAAGGAAAACTTTTTTTTTCAAAGCATTACTTTTTGTTCTTTCTATTAAGCTTATCATTTTGATGGTTATAAGCATCATGATAAATGAAAATGATAAGTGTGTAAACAAGAGTAAATGTATAGATTGTATCTACTTTGAGATATCTACTCATATTAGTCTAACAACATTTCTTATTCTTTGTAAGTATTTAATCAGTTGACAATGCTAATTGAGCTTACTTGCACGAGTCCCACACTGTCAATCCTTTTCCTGGACAATCATTCTCTCGAATCACATCGCAATCAACTGGATTGCAAATGCATTTCAATCCAAGACCATTTAACATGTTGATATTTTGGAAAATTATAAGAACATTAAACATAATAAATTTACTCAGATTCATTATTGAAAAAGACTTTTCCGAGTCTCTTTGTGTAAATATCAACGCAGTGTTCATGTTATTTTCTTGAACACATCACTACGCTCACTTCAAATAACTTTATTTCATATAAATCCTTTTTAAAACAATATAAACTTTTTTCTTTTTTCGTTGTTCTACAATTTCTTTCCACACGAAAATTTTCCCAAAAAAATGAGTGATACGCTTTGTAAAATAAGCTACAAAGATTTCCTTTTCAACCTAAAACCTTGTATTTTCCCCGAAATTTTCCATAATACTGAAAACAGAAACATAACAGCAGAGTTTTGATAAGTTTCAACGCAAAGCGTTATGATGGAAATTTCGCACTGGAATTGGAAAACTGGAAAAAGAATCTCAATGAAAATTTGAAAAATTTTCTTCTTCGGACTTGCGTTAAATTTTCTTGCCTTTAAATGAGCCTTCGGATATATGTTGCCACATAGATGAATGGTTAATAAACATCCTTCCTTTACCTTATCTATCCACAAGACATAAACTTCCTATTAAACTTCCATTAAGTCTGTCAATAAGTTTTGAATTATAAGATTTGAAAGTGTTAAATCAAAATTGATAGCATCATCTTGGTAAATTTACACTGAAATATTTACATATTCATTAGTCAGATAAGAAAATGCTAAAAGGCGTTTTATTTCAACTTTATTCTAGTAATATGTAATGTAGAAGATGTGACATATTTATTTCTTATTTGTTTACTTGGTTACTTTATGTAAACAATGTGCAAGATAGTCAACATTGTGTTCATTAATTCCGCATACCGACATTCGCCCGTTCTTAACAACATAAATACTGTGTTCATTTATTAATTGTTCGCATTGTTCGACACTCAAACCTGAATAGAAAAACATTCCTTTCTGTTTCATTAAATGACTCCAATCTCGTGATGACCCGTTCTGGTGAAGTTTATCCAACAGAACTTGACGCATTGAGCTGATTCGTTTATGCATCATTTTCACTTCATTTTCCCAATTATTTTTCAACTCGGGACATCTGAAAATCTCTTCGACAATTTGTGATCCATGAATTGGTGGCTGTCCATACATACATAAAGCGGAATGTTTCAACTGTTCAAGTATAGATTTTCCTTCTTCTTCATTTCGGATCATAAATGTTACGCCACCAACACTGAGTACAAAGAAATGTGTCAATTGAAATGCCGCAAATTGTAAACTCACCGAACACTATAAAGCCCCATATTCTTGCTAAAGCTTTGTGCAAAAACCACCATGTGGCCTTCTTCTATAAAATGCTTCAATGGAAAAGCATCTGTGGAAAGACATCCTGTTCCAAATCCCTGATAAGCCATATCGATAAATATTAAAATATTTCTATCTTTTAAAATTTGTGATATTTCACGCCATTGATTTGGTGTAGGATCAGCTCCAGTTGGATTATGTCCAACCATTTGAAAAAGAATAATCGAATTGTTGGGAAGATGCTAGAAATTTGTTTGAAATTGTTGGCAAATTCTTCAAATAAAAGGAATTAAAAGACTTACAGTTAGATCTGTCATCATTCCCGAGTGATCAAGTTCGTGATTGCGTTCATCATAGTAACGATAGAACTCGGTTTTTAAGCCTGATAGCCGAAATATAGGAGCATGATACGCCCATGATGGGTTTGGAATAAAAATCAATTTATTCCCTTTATACAATTGACTTATGGTTTCGGCTGCAATTTTAATACTTCCACTTCCACTTACACTCTAAAAGATATTTACAAATCAAAAGATTATTATATTGGCGCATGAAAGCTTTTGACGCATCATCAAAAATAATCATAAATTGAAACGAACTCTATATGTCACATAAAATTGAGAATATTTTGTCTACATCATATGAGCGTGTAGGAGATAATTTTGTGGGCAAGTATCATGACTTACTTGAACGCTGACGTGAGGTCTGTCGAGAAGATCATCGCCCACAGCGAGACGAAACATCACTTGACGAAAAAATTCACTGCCAATGTCATTTGCAACTGCCTTGTCTAGCTTTTTGTCTACGATATTTTGTTCTGCCTTTATAACAGATGGAAGCACATAAGGTTTGCCGAAATTGTCACGATACGCACCGACAGACAAATCGATTTTATTTGGATTGTTGTCGAGTTTGTGGGCTTCAAAAATCCCGAGAATAATATCAGGAGGTCCCAAAGGAACGTCTTTCCACCATTGTGTACTAAGCAGATTCAATGCAACATAAATAACAATGCTTGATTTAAATAAATTCTGAAACTTACACAGTTTGAGCAGCAGCTTGCTTTAATTTCAAAGGATCTCTTAAAATGAAACTCAACCTCACCATTACGATCGATGTTTAATGCACGGATGCTAATAATAAACTGACGAAAATAAAATTTTGATGCTGAGAGAAATGAGATGATGAAACCTGTTATGTGCGTAATTTTTTTATGGGCAAGATGTTGTTCTTATCAGTTTTGGTTCATTGTGTCTCGCGTGAGTAAATAATTGAACACTATCAATCAATTGAGTCAACTCATCGCATATATATTTGGTGACTTTACATTTGTTCTCCCATTATAAGGTGACAAAACTTTTAGATGTTTAAGATTTCTTTTTTAAATAACAGAAATTTCTTTTTGCCTTTTTCTCCTTCAATGTTCGTTATTGATACAATACAAATACCAAACACACATGATACAGATATTGTTCTCTCTCCTACGTAAGTATTTATGATGGAAGAAGTTTGGAAAAGGTGATTAGTTGACAACAGGTTTAAAGAAAAATAAATCCTTGTGCTATTTCATATTTTGTCACTTTGTTGTTCCAGTAAAGGTTTGAACATAATGATTGAAGAAGAAAACATGATGCTGCATAAACATGTGAATGGAACGAAAGCAGAAATGCGACGTAGTTTTTTTTCAATGAATATAAAATAAGAGTTCTTGTCTACTATTTTTAAATTTATATCTTGACGTTATATGTAAACAAATGCGATTTTTTCTTAAAATAAAATTAAAAGAATTAAAGACGAAAGTCAATTGTGTGCGGATTGAACTTTTTAAAAGTTTTAGAGAAAAAATAATTCTTCTTTATATTGTTTATGAAATAACTTGAATCAAGTTACAAATTATGCAAAAGATGAGTAATTTCTAAATCAATTTTCATCATTCTTCAATGTTTAAGATTTACTTGAAAGTCTTGCGCCTTGTAGTTATTCAAATCTGAAACAATTTTGCAACATTTAATAAAAGAAAAACGAACATTGACCCTTCACGTGTGGCTTCTCATCAATTTATACAATGATTTTAATCGGTTAATCACATGAATGTTTGCAACTTTGAAACACTTATCACAAATTATTTTGATAGAAGTTCATCAACTTGTATCGATCACACAAAATTAAGAACCTTTACATAGTCAGAGATTTATTGGAATAAAAAGCATCAAATTCTGTAGAAGGTTTGCAGTTTTCATTGAGAATCGATCAGTAAACGCTCGTAACTAGCAACATGAAGATTCCTTTTGTTTTTGCATTTTTAGTGGTTCTCCACATTTCTTTCGTGTGTGATGCAAGACAAAGTTTTTTTGACTGGATTAGTTTCAGTCCCGATGGGCCAGCAAAAGTAGCTGAAAATGTCAGAGTTGTTTTCACGTAAGTTCAATAAGATAATAATTTGTTCAAGAATGTCATTGTTGATCATGTTAATAGGCCCGATAAGAACACGGTTGTCTTTCTTCCTTTGAAAGACCTCCAGTTCTTGCCAACTCATCCCAGATTCAACAAACAATTACCGACCGTAATTTATGTCCATGGTTGGATGGAAAGTGGAACTTTAGATGTGTCAACTCTTGCTATTCGAGGAGCTTACAATGACCGTGGAGGTCACAATGTTGTTTGTCTTGATTGGAGTCATTATTCGAAGAATGTTAATTATCGAACTGAAGTCATTCCACAAATGAAAGTTGTAAGTGATTTTTTTATTCAGAGGTTAAAATTTTCAATTTTTTAATCTACAAATTTACAGATTGCTGAAACAATGGCAGAAGAACTTCGAGACATGTTCAACGAAGGATATCCCATTTCATTATTTCATCTTGTGGGTCATTCTCTTGGGTAAAGTTCATTAAATCTCACTTTGAATTTGACAAATAAACGACAACATGAATAATTTTTTTTCCATCAGAGGGCAAATGGTTGGTAAAATTTCAAGGCATTTGAAGAAAATTACTGATGGAACTATGGAAGTGCCAAGAGTTTATTCTCTTGACCCAGCGGGGCCAGGCTTTGAAAATCATAATATTGATGGGTTCGAGCCAATTAGCAAAACAGACGCAAAGTACGTTCAGATCATCCACACATGCGGTGGTGTCGCAGGAATGATACATCGAGTTGGTCACATCGATTTCTTCCCTAATGGAGGCACTCATCATCCAGGATGTGCTGTCGATGCTGGTTCGGGCGTTTTTGGTCCCGTTGAATACGCTTGCGACCATTATCGATCATGGCATTTCTATCAAGCTTCTGTTAGAGATGAAAAGGTTTTCCCAGCGATAAGATGCATTTCTTACGATGATTTCCTTTACAACGGAACTTGTTATGCAAACGACATTGTTTACATGGGCTTTGGTGCTGATATAACGTAAAATTAACTGACTAAGCTGTTCGGAATAGAAAATGTAAAATAACTTTTCTTTACAGCGCAACTGGTAAATATTATCTTCAAACAAGAGGAAATCTCTTCAATCTTTCAGCGGGCATGGATGGAATAAGACCATTAAAATATGGTGTCACCAGATTGAATGTTCCATATAATAATTACATGCCTATGTCTGTTCCTGACGAAATAACAGAAGGAGAAATGTTTTAAATGAATTTACATGTTGTTTGAAATTCAACAATAAAGTTTCATGTTCAGCTATGAAAATATGAAATCAGGAATCCTTTTGTTACTTATTTTGACTGGTAGAAGTTTTGTGGTTTTTATTTATGTATCAGACAATTTATTTGCTTCCTTTTTGACTTGAGAATTTCGGAACTATTCAAAACTGCAGTTGATGACATAATTTATGTGGATATGTTGATGGTTCTTTTGTTAACTTTAGCTGATATTAATTTGAATTAAAATATATATCAAGCTTCCATTGAAGAAGATTTATGAATAGATTTAAAATTTGTCCACTAAAAAGACTTGTTCCAAGAATTCATACAAATTGGAAGCACAGACATTTTCACCTTTCTTCTCACAACATTTTTCACATTTGAAGAAGAATTCAACTTCCAGTTTTATTTTCCAACAAGTTTTCTAATCTTTAAATATAACTTTAACTTTGAAGATTTCTGTAATTTTATTAAATCTGTAGTAATTAATAGGTACCATGAATTTGGCAAAATAAATTAATTTGTTGTCATAGAAATTCTAAGTTAAACCAAACTTGGAATGAAAAATTTGCAAGCATATTTAACAAGTGAGCAAAAAGAGAGAATTTTATTATCAAGTGAAAGAGATACAAAACTGAGCTTATAAATTCTTTAAAATCGTTACTTATTTACATTGATTTTCATCATGAAAATTATTTCTAGACCACTTGACTTAAACATTATTTGATTATTTAACTAGGTATTTTGTAGTCAAATGCAAGAAAAAGAAATTTTTCAATATTAAAAGACAAATGCACAATTTGTAGCTTCTTTTCAATATTTTATTGATAAAAACTTCGTCAACTCAAAACTCTCAGTTTTTCAATGCGACATCGTATGCTCGTTTCTCACTTCCCTTTCTCTGTTATTCCAAATCAGTAAACGATGTGCTGTGCTCGCAAACGAACCATTTTTTCTTGGTTTATGGAATCATGATTTTAATTTAAATAGAAATAAACAAAAACAAAGAATTAGTTGAAGAAGTAAAAGTGTTTGAAGTGAACTAGAATTATAGTATTAGGTAATTCGATCCTAAGTCATAAAAAACGTAGTTTATCAACATGTTTCATAATTAATTTTATAATATTTCACAATTAAAGTGAAAGATTTTCGCTTCTTTTGTTTCATAAGAAACGTTCAATAGCGAAATAAATAAAACTGAAAGAAGACGAGTAGCGAATTCGTGAGTGTTATCATTTCATCGTTTAGGTTTTATATTTAGGGATAGCATGAGGCTTAATGTGAATTTTATGATGAAAGTGCTTTTTGTAATGGCTAAATTGTGATATTTATAAATTAATTTTTAATATTTATTTCAAGAATTGAAGCATATAAAAAATGTGCTATGGAAACCTTTTCAAAAATTTATTATTATTTGAAGTAAATATTTTTAAAACAAATATACCGAAGAGAGAGAAGTGAGATGTGAGTGAGTTGTCAAAAGCAAGAATTGCATTGATGACATTAAATCATATAAAAATAAGTCAATATCATTGAAAATGTGAAGGTTTACATTGTACCGATAAATTGCTTTAATTATGATTAAGAATGAAATATTAATTAATTAATGATTAATTATTCATAAATGTTTTACGCCTTAAATCTTCAATATCCCTTCTCATGTTTCAAATCGTTTTCTAATGAATTAAAAACATTAAACTGTAGTACGGAAGAAGCGATATAAATTCCATAACACATTTCATTAAAATTCATAATGTAACAAGTGATTAGATCCCAATGACTAAGTAAGAAGTAAGACAAAGGAAAGAGTAACATAATACCAATTTGAATAATTCATTGAATTGAACGTCTTTTGTGCAGCGTAAAACAGTTTCAGAACAAGTATCTATTGTTTCTAATTAAGATATTCTCTTCATTATCATCAGAAAAGAATTTCCTTCAATTTCGTATTCAAGAATGTACATCATGAAGTAGTCTTTGAAGGATGAATCTAAATTTTGATGTTCAACAAAGAGAATTTGCGTGAATTAATCAATACGATCATGATGTGTTAATAACATTCCAACTTTCGACCTTACTCGGGAATTTTCGCTTCATTTACATGAACACAATAATTGGTATGAAAACAAATATTGAAACTTAGATGTGTCATAAGTAGAATCTCTGCCCTCTCAATTTATTTAGACAATTTCTTACAAGTTTATTAATGAGCATTTATTAATTTTATAAATCATTATTTACAAAAGAAAGAAAACGTCAAAATGTTTAAAAAATGACGCTTCAAATGGCATTGAACTTCCAATGAACAAAACCAGATAATTGAGTAGCAAGTTCAGTTTACATGAAAAGTCATTCATTAAAAGAATTCTGAAGAAGTTCAATTGTAAATAAATTTAAAATTTAATAACATACAATTAAATATTTCAATCTGTAAACATCGTTTGACACTGTTTGATGTCATCAACTTTTTTACGCAGTAAATCAAACTTTTTGTTTATCATTTTCAATTGTCAATCTGGTTATTGTAAAAAATGAGCTTCCAATTAATGAAATCAGCAATCATCGAGCGATTACATGAGTGACATTTTGATTCACTATTTAAAATTTAAATTTGTAAAGATTAATCTTGAAAAGTTCTGAAAATTCCGTTACATGTAACTTTATTAAATGTAATGAGATTTTTCAGATTTTAATGCCGATAACTTGTTCACCTTCTAGAATGAATTATTATTGAAAATTTTCTCATTAAGAGGTTGGAGATATTTCAGTGCGACATTTATTAAAAGTCTGAAAAACAGTTTTTATTTTACATCACATTTATAAATGTTAAACTTCCAATATATTCGATATTTTATTAATGCTTATGTAAACATCAATTTACAGATTATATAAAACATCCAGTTGAGTTTGTGATAGAAAAACCAAAATTTATCATCATGGAGAGAATTAGTCTGATATTTGCATTGATAGTCATATTATGTGGGTCAAGTGACGAGTACAAAGTAGGTTTGGGAAGATCGGATGTTACGGGGCCAAGTGTTGAAATTGCTTTTGTAAGATTTACAGATTAAAAGAAGAAGAGAAAGACAATAATTATTCATAAATCTCCTTCGTTTATTGCATGCCTAGATGGGTTACGCGCAAATTAAACAACGTGGCCAAGGAATTCACACTCGACAATATGCACGAACGTTTATTGTCGAAGATAACTTGGAGAATCGAATCGTGTTTGTATCTGTTGATGCTGGAATGATTTCTCATGTTGTTAAACGAAATGTTATTGGTGAATTGGAGAAAAAGTATGGAAACTTGTACACCTTCGATAACGTGATGATTTCTGGAACACGTTAGTACAACTAATGTGAGAAATTTTGATAAAAAATAATTAATTACACGTTTTATAGACACTCATAGTGGACCTGCAGGCTTCCATATGTATGTCCTTTATGACTTGACATCTTTGGGATTTGTTTCGGAAACTTTTATTGCTCTTGTACATGGAATAACGCAATCGATAATAACAGCACACAACAGTATGGTTGAAGGAAGAATTTTCATATCTGAAACGGAAATTAACAATGCCAACATTAATCGATCTCCTTGGGCTTATGAAAACAATCCCGAAGAAGAGAAAGCCCAGTATAAAGACAACACAGACAAAACACTTATTCAACTAAGATTTATGGATAAAAATAATGAAAAAGTTTTAGGCGCTTTTAATTGGTTTCCTGGTAAGCAAAAGCCACATGAAGCTGATTAAGCAATCTACTTGATTTAATAAATTTTCAGTTCATGCAACATCCATGAATAGCAGCAACAAACTCATTTCAAGTGATAATGTTGGTTACGCTTCAATTCTTCTTGAACAGGAATATAATATAAATAAACTTGTGGGAAAAGGAAACTTCGTTGGAGCTTTTTGTTCAGCAAATCTTGGTGATGTTAGTCCCAACATCAAAGGGGCGAAATGTCAGGTAAGAGAAAAATAAAAACTTTATTGTTTAATTTACTTATTTGATTTTTTTTTTAGAAAACTGGATTGCCATGTGACAAATTGACATCAGCTTGTCCACATAAAGATATTTGTGTCGCTTCAGGTCCAGGTCGTGATATTTCTGAGAGTACAAAAATTATTGGAACGCGAATTTACAAAGGAGCGTCGTTCTTGCTTGCAACTAGAATTGGGCGTGAATTGATTGGCTCAGTTTCTTTTATTCATCAATTTATTGACATGCCACAGCAGTTTGTAACATATTTTAATCCTAAGCTTCGTATTCATCAAAACTTTACGGGTTGTCTTCCTGCTATGGGTTACAGCTTCGCAGCAGGTACAACTGATGGACCAGGTGCTTTCGATTTTACACAAGGTACAACTTCAGACAATCCATTTTGGAATGCAGTTCGAGATTTTATTGCCGAACCGTCAGAATACGATATTACGTGTCATGGCAGTAAGCCAATTCTGATAGCAACTGGTCGTGCTTCGTTTCCATATTCTTGGCAACCGACAATTGTACCAACACAAATTTTTCAAATTGGAGATGCTTTGATGTTTGGAGTTCCCGGAGAATTTACGACAATGGCAGGACGTCGTTTGAAGGCACAAGTTCAAAAAATTACGAAAAATAAAGATATTGGAACGCAAGCCATTGTGTGTGGATTGAGTAACATGTACACGAGCTACATAACGACCCCTGAAGAATATGAAATTCAACGCTATGAAGCAGCGTCAACAATTTTTGGTCCACATACGTTGAGCATTTATATTGAACAATTTTCAAAATTGCTTTCAGCAATGATCTCTAAAAGCGTACTGAAACCAGGCCCAATGCCTCCTGATCAAGACGAGAAACAAATTTCTCTTATGACCAAAGTTTATTATGATGGTTACCCATATGGATCAGGCTTTGGCTATGTAATAATGCAACCCAAACAATCCTATAATACGGGAGAATTGTTAAAAACTTCATTCGTGGCAGCAAACCCACGAAATAATTTAATGAGTAATAAAAGTTTCTTTTATGTTGAAAGACTAAATCCTGATGGAAATTGGAAAGTTGTAGCGACTGATGCTGATTGGGAAACTAAATTCATGTGGCAACGTGTATCAATGATATTAGGGCAGAGTGAAATTGAATTTCATTGGGAAATTCCAAAAGGAACTAAGAGTGGGGAGTACCGTGTTAGACACAATGGATTCTATCGTTATATCCTTGGTGGTACTTATCCCTACCAAGGTTCAACAGAACATTTTACAATTAATTAAATTTAATTTATATTGTAAAAGATTCTTTCTTTTACAAATTAAACTATCTATCTAGTGTCGCAAATCACAAGAGATGCTTAATTCTTTCTCTTGTGAGACTCTAGTCTAGATTCTTTGATACACAACGTCTCCAGAAAACATACCTAATTTAAATAAATGAAATAGTTTTTATTATTTCTTACCGATGATACTTGTCTTTTTATATTTATTAATTAATTTTTTATTATTTTAACACAATTTAATGGAATCAAATCCATTTAGATAAAATATTGAATTAAAGTGAAAGAATAAGTCAATTTTAACTGACAACATTCAAAATTGCCGCTACAAAATTATATTCGAAATTCGAAATTATATTCGAAAAAGTCGGTTAATTTATCAACATTAGGCAAATAGGTATAGGTTTCTTATGCCTTATTTTATTGTTTTTCAAAAGGTACCACGTTATTTCCGCCTGTTTATCACTTCCCATAAACACATCAATATTAATCTGATTAGCCAATGAACTCTCCTTTTCCAAAAGACAATAGAAACAAAAAGAATTTGAGATGAATCTAACAGTAGAAAAAGATATAATAAACTTGTACACATTTGAAGCTAATAAAAAGATTGAATTCGTTGGAGCGAAAAAAAGGAAAGGATACTTCAAAAAAATTAACAATGACAGAGAAACAACTCCAGCTGACAGGTAAATTAATGGGATGTCAATTGAAGATAGAATAATTGTAATTTGATATTTTAGTGGGATCAAATCTTCACATTCTGAGGTGTCACCGGAATCTCTTTCATCTAAAATGTCAAGTTGCAAGTACAATGAAATTACTAGAAAATCAGATAATCGAAAGTCTTCTCGATTACAAACAATTGAAGAAGAACAATCGAAACTAAGTCATGAAGAGAAATATCTGTTGAAAGTACTCAAAGATAAAAAACTGATAACATCAAAACAATCAACTGAAGATTTAACAAGAATTTGGTTGCCAAACGTTTTGCTGAGAAAATTAACCCAATGTGAAATATCAAGACTAATAAATGACTGGAGTTTTGTAAATAAATTGCATTTAATAGATAAGATAAAATTCCGATACGAAGTAATTGCATCACGGAATTTGAAAGCAGGAGGAGGATGTTTGGAATATTTAGTTAAATGGTTTCCTGAAAATATTCTGGATGATGAATGGATAGATGAAAATAATTTGCCACACCATGGTATTAAAATAATCTCTATACAAAACTTATCGTGGAAACAAAAACAATTTTTCTTTGATCATTGATTTCTTAATTTTCCAATAGTTCTAATAGAAGATAGACTGAAATCTTCCATTTATATCAACATTATATGCGTGAATGAATCACTGCCAGCACCTGAAAACATTGATGCCTTTCAAATCGAAACAATGACTGTATAAATAAATTATAATACTTACCTTACTTCTAAGCTTAACTCAAAAAAGTCTTTATAATAAAAATATTTACAAAAATAATTCTTCTTATCAATTTTCTTCTTTATTGCTGTTTATTTATTTCACGGATCAAGAAGTCAAGTGAAATTCAAAAGAAACGAATGATTACATCAATCGATATCGAGCGCCTCTTAAGATAGGAAATTTGTCACCTGAACATGCTCCTCGGAAATCATCCATGGTCAAATCAAAGATTGCGACACCACCAAGGTTCTTAGCTCTGACGTAAGCTGCTTTATTTCCAGCTGTGTCTGGATCCTCATAGCCCATCCATAAACCGTGCTCGCCATCTTTATCAGGTAATCTAAATCCATAACTTCCAAATCGCTTGGATGGATCACCTACTTTACGTACTGGGCCATTTTCTCCTTTCAGATCTTTATTCNTTTACAAAGACACTTACATTGCTCAACCATCTTGATCATCTGCTTATGATATTTTTCTTTAGCATCTCTAAGTTCATCTTCGTATTGACATTTCTCATTTAATATTCTTCTTATATGAGAATTTGTGCTTTGAATCATCGAATAGAATATATTTGCATTCTTTTTCACACAATCGCCCCTTTCAAGCCATGTTATGAGAGTGACAACAGCTTTCAAAAAAGTTTCATCATTTTTTATCTTTTCTGAGACCGACGTTGCTTCATGATCAGTAAAGTGAACGACTAGAGGTGGCGACGATGACGATCTAGAACGATCTTTCTCTTTATGTCGTTGCTCTCTCTGAAGTTGCCGTTGTCTGCATTCGTATTCGTATTGATCGTCTCTTGCTTGAGCATAGTCAACATGTAATTTTCCAGTGTTTCCCGGATCATTGTTGTTGCCAATTTTCACTCTATATCCAGACAAATAAATTGCTGAATCGACAGATACTTCAAAAGTGAATCTAATATGACAAAAATTCTTCTTCGACAAACGAAGTGTAGTTATTTCTCCACATCGTTCGAAAATTTCATGAATAATTGCTTCGGTAATGTTTTCAGGAAGACCACCAACAAAACACGTTTTACATCCAAGTGGTCGTTCTCTTATTGTTGGTGGTGGCTGATTTGGATTTGGAGGAATCAAAGTGCAATTTTGACAATGAATAATTTCTTTCACAACCTGATTCTCACTGTTTTTGAGATTTTCGGGTGAAGTGACAGTTGCTGTTGGAAGATTTAGGACTGGAAACTGTTGAATACCGAGTAGTGATGGATCCATCATAACACTTGGAAGCATCATGAAACTTTGTGGTTGTATTCCCATCATTCCATTGAAGACCAGCTCAGAATTTGAGTTAATATTCTCACAACTGCCCTCATTTAAGTGATGATCACAACTCGATTGGCCTTCGGAAGGATTTTCAAGCTCCATAGGACCTGTTCCCGAACTCAAAAAATATTTACAAAAATAATTCTTCTTATCAATTTTCTTCTTTATTGCTGTTTATTTATTTCACGGATCAAGAAGTCAAGTGAAATTCAAAAGAAACGAATGATTACATCAATCGATATCGAGCGCCTCTTAAGATAGGAAATTTGTCACCTGAACATGCTCCTCGGAAATCATCCATGGTCAAATCAAAGATTGCGACACCACCAAGGTTCTTAGCTCTGACGTAAGCTGCTTTATTTCCAGCTGTGTCTGGATCCTCATAGCCCATCCATAAACCGTGCTCGCCATCTTTATCAGGTAATCTAAATCCATAACTTCCAAATCGCTTGGATGGATCACCTACTTTACGTACTGGGCCATTTTCTCCTTTCAGATCTTTATTCTGGGGGTTTGTAAGCTTACTGCACACTTCTGCATAACTCAAAATTCCTTCCAATTTTGATTGAATCCCTGGTGGAGCTGGGCCATTTCCTTGAAATGGTGGAACTCCTGTCGCAGTTGCATCTTCTTCGATAGACCAAACGTTTGCATGGGTGGGAATTCCAAGGACAATTTTATTTGAAGGGAAACCCCGTCCAATTAAATCAGTTACTTGATAATCAGCGTTCAATTCCGAATTGCGTTCGCTTGGTCGATATAATGGTGCTGGAAAATCGACTTCCTTCTTATTTCTGAAAGGTGTTTGAAAGTCAAAAGCAGCAAGATTGATCCAATCAATATTGTTAACTGTTGCAGAAACATCGAGATAAAGGGAAGAGTTAACATTTGGAAGAATTGTAACTGAAAGTTGATATCCTTCAGGACGGAAACTGTTCTTCATTTCTCGAACCAAAGCTGTAAATTCTTCTCTATGTTCATCTAGATATTTAATTAAAAAATTATAATAAATGAAAGAACAAAAATTTAAAATTTAATTCACCTGATTTAGGATCTACTGGATTACCAGCTACTCCAATGGTTTTTTTAAAGGAATGCCATACAGAGCCTTCAGAAAACAAATATTTATTAAAATTTCTACAATCACAGAAGTGCTTTTAAACCTATTTCTATATATCTATCTTGAGTTAAATAAATTAAATATTTACTTACCAACGCTGGAGCGTATTTTTTTTGGTTTAGTTTTTGGAAACTCAAAAGCTAAATCAATGCCATCGAAATCGAAAGTTTTCACCAAATCATAAGCGCTGTAAGCAAATTCTATGCGTTTTTGTGATGATTCGAGAAGATCTAGCCAATTGTCATATTCCATTTGTGCATCACCACCAACACCCAAAAGCACTTTAAGTCCTGGGAATTTTCTTTTAAGTTGTGTGGTCAATCGGAAGAGACTTTTGCCTTGATCCAAGTCCTGATGGGCATTTAATGAAACGACCCTCTTAGCTTCATTGATTCCAGTCCATCCATACACCAGATGTGTGCATTGTGATAATCCTGCTTCAATGTCAGTTAACGTAACTTTTCCTAAGCCTACGAAACAAATGATTAAGTTAGTTAGGAAACAATTGACAAGCGATCAACGTGCTGTTGTAATTCGTGTCGGCATAGGTCAAAACAGTCATATTCAACTCTGATAACAACTTTAAAATTCCATAAAGTGAGATTATTAAATTAAAGTGATGTGAGAAGTACTTAATGATGGCAATACATTTCTTCATTATTAATTTATTTATCCAATTGTATTAACCTTATATACCTAGAAAAAGCTGACCTTGGAGTTTATTTATTTTTACTACCTAGTTTATAAATTTATTGACCGAAGGTACTTGACAATATGTAAAAAGCTCATAATTTTAAATATATTTATTGTAAGTAAATATTTATTGATTTGTGTAAATATTTAAGGCGGGCAAGATGTCAGCAAATACGCTTTAATTNATATGGCCAGGATTGGCCTATAGGTGCCTGTCCTTGATCTGATGATGATGATGATGACATCGCGAAGAAAAAAAAACTTCGTATAGAATTCAGACGAGTGTCTCATTTCAAAGCGTCAGAGCGTGTTTTTTTTAAGGGAAAAAAGTCTGTTACCGAAAGTCGGCCCCAACAATAAATATCGTGCAAAAGCCCGATATTTAAAACTCCGGCAGTTATAGAATTTCTAGACGAACAGTATTAGTAAAAATCTAACTCCAATAAGGGGCCACTTTGTGTGAAAAGTTTCTGGAATATCGAAGGTGGAAACATTATACAAAGTGGCCCCTTATTGGAGTTAGATTTTTACTAATACTGTTCGTCTAGAAATTCTATAACTGCCGGAGTTTTAAATATCGGGCTTTTGCACGATATTTATTGTTGGGGCCGACTTTCGGTAACAGACTTTTTTACACTTGTTTTAAAATTATTTTGTCGAGAGAACGTAAAAAGTAATATATCACAAAACACAATCACGGAATACGAACGCGAATCACACTTATGACTTTTTACTTAATTTAACTTACTTTTTATACGTATTTCGGTAGCGATGCTACCATCTTCAGAAAATTTTCGATTCGTACTGAGTTTCAATTCTCTTCTCAGTGTCGTCAATTAGTTGAGAGTGCAAATTTTGAAGAGATTCGATGTTATCAATGGATCGTCAATATTGACGAGTTCGTCTCCCCTGGTGATGAGAAAGCTTTCCCAAGCATCTAGATACTTGTGGTCCCTTACTTCTTTTATTATTTTTCCTTCACCAAAATAGTGTCCTTCTTCAATGCAGTGTGCAGCCATCGCCGATTTCTTCCCTTCGTTGTTTCTAAAGGCTCTTTTATGTTCGTCAAATCTATCAAGAAACCTTCTGTACGTCTTGCCAATATATTTCTTTGGGCAGTTTGCACATAACAATTCATACACTCCAGATTTGTCTTTCATGTCGATTTTATCTTTAGAGCTTCCTAAAATGTCTTTCAAATTTCCTCTAGATGTGTAGTAAGCGTTAATATTATGTTTTTTCAAGACTTTTTCAACTTTGTAAGACAGCGATGGGTAAAACGGGAGTTCGACAAAAATATTTTTCATGATTCCATTCTTCATTGTCACTTTCCTTTTTTCTTTTTTCCAGGTTGCTAGAGTGGTAAGTTCTTTTCTTCTTCTTTTCCAGCGATGTTTAATGAAAATATTCTCAATCAAGCTTTCTTTGTAGCCATTTATCGTTGCTGTTTTCTTAATAAATTCTTCCTCTCTTAAATGTCTTTCATTACTCAATGGAATATTGAATAATCTCAAAGCCATCGACTCAAATGCTGCCATTTTATGGTTAAAAGGGTGACAAGAGTGATTTGGTATAAATCTTTGCACAAATTGTGGTTTTCTAAAAATGTCATATTTAATTTTTTTTGTCTTCTACTATCAGCCATAAGTCCATAAGTCCATAAATACGTATAAAAAGTAAGTTAAATTAAGTAAAAAGTCATAAGTGTGATTCGCGTTCTGTAAGTAAATATTTATTGATTTGTGTAAATATTTAAGGCGGGCAAGAAGTCAGCAAATACGCTTTAATTATATTTACTTACCTTCTCTACCGAAAGCTTTGCTATTATAGTAACAAATAATTTTCGAATTATTATCAGCGCAATTAACTGCACTATACAGAATTAAAAGGTTGAAAATTGTCTTCCACATCTTTTCAAGATGAAATTCAAATAACAACTGAAAGATTGAAGTTTTTTGCGATGAGAATGAAGAGTGGAGACTTATAGAGAAGTAGAGTGGGGGTGATTTTACTCTCAATAAGGCTGTAAAATATTAATTTAAGTTCTGCTTTAATAGAAAGGAAACAGATTTAATTATGGTGCGTCTCAAAATAAAATTAAGAGACTGCCCAAAATATCATACAAATTTCAAATAATAAAAATTTCTTTGTTGATTGTTTAGATACTTTATTGGCAAGTAATTTATATTACTCGAATAATTTGCTAATATTTCGAGGGTAAGTTTATTGTTTGTTTTTAAAACCATTGTAAAACCATTTAAAACGTTCATTTTCATTGGTGATGAAAGAAAAAATTCTCTCATTTTTCGTCAACATATCTTGAACTTCATGTTCATTTGTTGATGGCACAAACTGTTGAATGTAAGCCAATATTGCCTCGATGTTTGCTCCTCTTGGATGAATGACTAGAAAAGTAGTTGCCAAGCTAATTAAAAGAGATTCGTTCGCTACTAGATCCACATTATTTAATTGCGCGACTGAAGATGAATCACTAGCGTCGTCGTTCGTGTTGGACGCACCAGAGATTGAACATCTACGAGCGTTTGCAATCTTTGTTCGTAACAATAATTCTTTAACATTTGACTCGCGAATTGTTTCCTCAAGTTCATTGATTTTGGCTTCATTTTGTTTCTCTTTGGTATTTGTTTCAATAAGTTTACGCTGAAGATTCCGAATTGTCTCTTGAAGGACTTTGATTTGCTTCTCCTTAAGATCTTTGTCAACTCGATCATTTTCCTTGGATTCAGCTTCAATTTTTATGTCATGGTGTCGGAATAAAGTTTCGTCCTAATAGATTGATTGAAACATTAATTTGATGTTATTGTTTAACTTAAAATTATTTCTCACCTTCTTTCTGGTATTGTCAAGTTTCATCTTTTTTCTACTTTGTGATCCACTGTTGTTATCATCATCTGACATATCCATTTCGTCATTTTCTTTCACGAATTCATCAAGTTGGTATGATCGAATTTCCTATCAATCAAAAAGAAAATGAACAAACAATAAAATTATTTTGTAATTTAGAATTTAATTAAAGTATATTTGAGATATAAATTTGGACATTGATATATTTATTTTTCATTTGAAAATAAAAGAAGTTTTGCCTCCACTGTTAACGAACTTTCTTGTGTTTTTGACTGTTTTTCATTTCTCACTCACCTTCCTCTCAAGCAAAACTTACTTAGTGTTTTAAAAACCTACCCATACAAAAAGTGAACAAATTCTTGTGTTTTCTTAAGTAACAACATTGTATGTTCATTTTTATTAATATAATTTGACATTAATGTTGAGTATCCCTTTGGCATGCAATCTTTTCATCAATTTTCTCTTCATACGTATTTATGTTGTGAAAAAATTGAGAAGAAATATTTAAGCTTGGGTACAAGCAAATTTCAAGACGTTCAAAAAAAATAAGATTGTTAAGATAAAGTCACATTGTAGTTAGTGAAGCTAAACTAGGTAAGAGTATCATAAAATTGAATTAAAATTCTCAAAAACCAAAACTGTGTTGTCTCGAAATTGCTTTTACATACAAAAAAATCATTTTCAAACAATTTTCTATAAAGCCTTTATTAAAAGAAATTAAATCGAAATAATTTGTTGTTGCGTCACGTATTTTCTGTTAGAAAAGTTTGAAAATAAATTCAACGCATAGAACAAATCAATAAGACTTCAAAATGGGAAAAGTGGCGGTTTTTGTGAAAAGAATTTATGTATCAAAATCCTCTCCCATCACCAAAAGCACATTTATTTAAAATAATATTAAAACTTTGTTTATTTACACAAGGATTTCATCAAAATGGCCTATCGTTTACATACCAATGCTTGCTTGCACCATGAATCGATGTTTTTCCTCTGCGCTTTTGTGAAATGATCCCAGACTTTCTTATGACTTGCAGCATTAAAAACTTTTTCAATCTGATTGACTGTGATAATACGAATAATATGAAGGGATTTGTTTAAAATAATTAATAATTTATAAAATATTTTATAATAGAAAAAAGAATGTTTTTGACGTTTTGAAAAGGAATGAAAGAGAAGGAAGTGGAGGAACTAAAGAGAATAAAAAAAATAAGTTTAAAATAC